ATGGATCAAACTCGTAACGGCTACGCCCCAGGATACCCTTTTTTTCTTTCTTTTTTTCTTTTCTTTTTTCATTCATAGGTAGGGCCTGTTAAGTTGGAGTTGGGCTGCTGCTAAGCAGGGCCAGATCTCCACGCCTTTTCAGTTCTGAAAGCAATAGTGATTTCTTTGGATCCATATTGTTCGGGATATGAGAGGTCAAGGACACGTTCTGGTCGTAAATCTATCTCCGCATCAAGGGATCTTGGAAACTCTCAGCTATGCTAGGGCAGTCCCCATAAAACCCATGGATCTATTCATGGTGAAAGAGTAGCACTCGCCTCCGGATCTCACGCCAACCTCATCTCCCTCACAAACGCGATCCAGCGGGCGCGAGCCTCCTGTCAGGATGCCACTAATAATCAACGAATCCTCTTCGTTCAGGATGCAACCAACCAGCCTCCTCCAGCCGTCTGGGGCAATTGTCTGGGATATCCACGTGGTACATGTTGCATCGACGCCTGTGGAAGGGCCACTCGGTGGCACTGAACCATGCCAGCTCCAGGGCTTCGATCCCTCCGTTCCAAACCTCTTTGGGACTGGTTTAGTTATGCATCCATGTCCCATCCATCCCTCCCCCAAAAATTTCTCGTCGACCACGCACCATCGGGGATCGCTCGGGATGGTGAAAGGGAGGACCCCCAGGTCGGATTAGCTCATGCACATGGACGAATTGAGGACTAGCAGGGCGCAGAAAGAGGGAAAAACGAACTTCCTTCCCCAGCAAGCTTCTCTCTCAATTGTACACGGATACCAGCGGAGGACTCGGACCTTGGCTAACGACTATATGACAATATTCCTTCGGACTGGACCCACTCCCGCACTCCAAGCCAAGGGCAAAATATCCACATCGATGGATCATTCTTCAGTCTGGGAGCAACGAAAGGGGGCAAAATAATAGCCCATCGTTCAGCTGCTGCTCACAATCGCCTCTGAGTGGAGAAGAAGGTGGAGCAAACTGTGCAGCCAATGGAAATTAAACAATAACCCCAACACCTATTGTCGAGCAACGTTCCTGAGTCAAGTCGAGGAGGGGTGGGCTATCAGAATTTGCTCGAACGACGACACCTCTCAGGGTGGTGAGGCGGGAGAATGCGAGCATGAATATTGGTGGACGATGAGCCCCAAACCATTCTAACAGCCTTCAAAACTGGGTGCATTCAGGAAATAACCAACTTGGGGGTTCTCGGCGCGTTTAGCTCGTTTCCTCGACGAGAACGACGTGGGCGATAACGCTGATGGCCAAAGGCTATAAGACAAGCTGATGATTGATTGCCCTGCAGGTGTGCGTCATGTAAACTCTGGATAGGCAAGAGGATAGTGCACGCAGCACAAGAAGCAGCGCATCACGAATCCGCCCTCCAATCAAGTTTTCCTGTCTGTCTACTCCATCCCGTCTTTCAACCCCGGCCGACCGGAATACCCGCTCCCCACGAGCGGCTGGCCCTTCCGTTCTATAACTAGTTTCAGTGGTTCTTGCTCGTCCCCTCTGTACGGTTCTTCCTCTCTGTATAAAAGATCGCCTAAACGGCACTGCTCGCCTCCCATCCCGGATGCTGTTCGAGAGAACTTTGATTGTCGTCCCGTTCCCCATCTCCCCCAGATCCTGCCGCACAAGAGGCCGCCAGCCGCCATTACACTCTTGATGATCCATCTTGAGTGGCGCCTGTGGTCAAAAGACGCCTCATCTAGTCGTTGGACGGAGCAGGTAGGGATGACCTCTACATCCACCCACCCCTTATCAAATACTCGTAGAACTAGCTATGCAAATCTATTCCCCCTGGCCATTGCCATGATCGACGACCTCTCATATAGGGCTGGCAAGGAGGGGCGGGGGTAGAATTCACAAAGGGAAGTTTCCTCTTTTCGCAAAACCACGGCTAAATCATGACAAGCGGGTGGGGGTGGGAAGGGAGAAAGATCAGCCATAGAAGCAGGATCACTTATACACATTGGCATCTCACCCGCCCCTTTGACACGGAACGTCAACATGGAACGGAATGGCTTCCACTTACCCGCACCTGCTTCCCCCCCACCCCTTCTCCCCTTGCCAGACCCAGGAAAATAACTGGAACCCGGAACAGAAAACTAATCTACACGGGTAGCCTGCCTTTTCCCTTTCCCCCTCCCAAGGACCAACCTACTTTATACTAGCGTGTCGCATCTAGAAGCACCAGCGATATGTTCAAAAGATACATACATTGTCTCGACCAACGAGCGGCCTTGCTCGTCGACTGTCAACTTTTGAGGCGTCGGGGAATAATATGCGGCTAAGTCTCGATCTGCGCTTCTCACCAAGAAACTATCGCTTTTAGTGATATTGGCTACTATAAACTTGCACCCGCCGAGACATAAAATATCATTTCTTGGTGTGCTGGGGCACAAGGACCTAGCACCTTTACCCCGATTAGGCATTGCTTGTTCTTAAGTTTCCAGTTTAACCTCCGTAGAACCATAACCCCGAACGGAAGGTTAGGGATGATTGAAAGATTCCTTTGAGGAAAGAAGAAAAGGATAGATCTCATCATCTCTCTCTCCGATGTCTATCTGCGAGCAAGCGCGAGAAAAGCTACATGGGGCATGATGCCGACTTTACCGTTTTGCTACCGCGCGGGATAGCGAGGGAGTACGGCGGGCGCATAGCTCGGCCATGCGCTCACGCAGCTGTCTCTCCTAGTCTGGGAGCTGTCGCTCAGTTTGATGCGGGACGGCATCTTGCGCTTGTCGGCCGACATGCCAACGTCTAAGTATAGGTCTCGTCTCGGCGTCCTCGCCGGGTGGTGGGAAGTTTCTGTCCGCCTCCCGCTTTCAGAGGGGAGCAGGTATACATCTTGATGAAAAGTAGAGGCTTGCCCTGAGTAGGTAGACTTTCTGTTCGACACGACTTGGAGGGCCTGGATGGTTGGTAGTAGGCTAGGACGGGGGAAAGAGGCGGGGGGGAGGACCTGCAGGCAGATCTTGAGTATCGAAGAGAAGAGGGGTGGGCGTGAGCGCACACGCGCAGGCAACGGGTTGGAGTGTGCGTACTTGCGTACCACACGCGGCCTTTCCATCCCGCATTCAAAACTCTCTGCGCATCATGCAGGGCGGGGACCACCCTTTGATTGCCGCCGAGTATCGGAAACGTCTTGATTGATGTTTTGGCATCTGCTGTGCGGCGTGACGTTGGCAACGATGGGGACCACGTTGAATCCCAGCTTGGATGTCGTGACATCGGAGTGCCACGTTTATACAAGTAGACAAGAGAAGATGGAAAAAGGAAACGAAGTCCCAAGAAAGCAGGCCCGCATCCGAGAGAGGTAAATATCGGGGCGCCTCGACTCGTTCCTCACGACTCGACTAGAGCCTGGATGACAGCCTTGGCAGGCGCGCGTTGATCGATATAAAACGCGATAGCTTTACATGGGAACAGGGTTGGCGGAAGCGAGGAAACGTCAACGAACGGCGGGCAAAACCTGGATCTAGTGTCCACTTTCACCCCCTGCGTGAGAAGAACCAGGCACTCCTCCGTCGTAAACGAAGATGGAGTTCTCCGACATAGCCGCGATGCGTGGCAACATCACCTCGACCTCCGTGCTATTGTTCAAGCAGGCTTGAGCCTACGGTGATCTCTGATTAAGGTCAAGTTCAAAGATAGCACAGTTGGGTTACCAAAGCGAAATGGTGTTTGGTTTGGTACTCCTCTTCATCGTTTCTATTTCGTTGTGCCAATGTAACTTAGGATATACAAAAGATGGAATGCTTCATGAAACAACAGCAAACAGAAAGCTGAAAAAATCGGCGTCAACAATACCAAACGCACATGACATTCTCTCTCATATCCCATCTGATCGCGATCAGACACAAGTTGGCGAAGACCATGAAATCCGCCCATGCTCCTCTATCGACCCCCAGCCCACCCACCAGGGTGATTCGGAAACCCCGGCCACCTTACGTGCGTACCAGGCCGGCATGCAACCGCGTCGACGATCGGAAAAGGCGCACATTACCAAAACCAACCAGTTTCCAGAAGGAGCATGAGACGATATCTCGTCTTCTCTTCCTATTACTTGAAACCGAATCTCCCCTTGCCCGCCTTCCCGCCAACTCCCGGCGCGCTCAGAACGAGATCCCCCTCCTAACACCTCTGTTTTTCTTTTCTCCGAAATGGTGATCGGGGATCGCCCGTGCAGCTCATGCACCGCAGATATCGATCCTTTCGAGAAATCGTGCACAAAGACATATAAAATAAGTCTCAAGAAATGTGTAGTTGGCCAAGATAGCATGAGTCGAATATCTATCCTATATGGGGTTGATCTTGCTTCCTTGTGGGTTTGCTTCAAGATCCGTGGGGGCGTTGGTGCTCGAGGGCTTCGTGCGCATTTGAAGCTCGCCTAAGCTTCTCCTACGCGTCTCGTATATCTGAGCAACGAGGGTTTCTCGTTTGATCTTGCAATTGGCGCATGGAATTACTACCACGAACAGCTCTACGTGCTTACCGCGGAAAAGGGGCAGGGCTTGGCCCTGCGGCCCAAGGAGCGGCGAGCCCGCAACACAACCTAGCTCTCAAGGCTCGTTTGTTTCACGTTGCACAACTTCCAGTCACACCAGAGAGGCAAATGGGAGGACTATAGCTTAGAGTTTAACAGTCATGAAGCAGTCGATTCAACAGCTAGCTGATGCATGCAGAATGCGCCCAAACCCAGGCGCAGGGGGTATCCAGCAAAGGACAAACAAGACAAAAAACAAAAAAGATCAAACATGTTTCCCGCATCTAGTCTCTAGGAGAACGCCAGGGAAACGAAGAAGGCAAGAAACTCCCATCCCTCTTCCGAATCCATGCCCTGTTTGTATGATCAGTATAATGAGAATCAACACCAAGCCCATCATCCTTCCCCTTTGTCCATGCATGCAATTATGCGGCCCGCAGTGAAAAAAAAAACCCCAAAGGAGAAAAGAAAACGCAAACAACCATCGGTCGAGTCCTAAGCTCCCCGTCCGTCCCGGTTGATGTAGACGGGAATGCCGTACACACACATCGCCGCCGAGGTCAGGTACTTGAAACGACAAGCGTCCCTCGCCCGCCCCACGGCCTCCACGAGCGAGCAGCCTTCCTTGAACCCGCCGCGCTCCTCGCTCGAACCCTCGCCCGCCTCCTTCGCCTTGCCCTTGCCCTTGCCCTTACTCCTACCGCTCTTGTCGCCCTCGCCCTCCTTGAACGTCCCCGCCTCCATGAGGCCCCATTCCTCAAACACCTTGCCCGCGAAGCGGTCAGCCTCGCGGTCCGTCACATCCCACAGCGCGCCCACCACCGCCGGCGCCCCCGAGAGCATGTAGTTCCACACGGTGCCGTAGCACTCAAACTCCCCAGCCGCTTCCAGGCTCGCCGAGCTACAGCCCATGAGCAGCACCGCGGCCCTGCACTTGTCCATGCGCCGAATCGTCTTACCCCGGATGTACTGCGCGCCGCTGCCGTGTCCAAAGTAGAGCATGAGGTCCGATTCCGTCAACGCCCGCTCAAACTCGTCCTCCGTGGGCGTCCTGCCCACCACCCCGGTCCAAGACGCCCCGAGGCCCTCGAGCGGCTTCTGGAACGCTGCGAGCGTATTGGTCAGATCACCGCCGGGGTTGAGAATGTACGTTCCCGAAGAAGGAGAGACGTGGTGGCCCGGCCGCGTTGCGCTTCCGTCACCCGCACCACCGTCCGAGTTAAAGTTCATGGTGACTGGTTTTCCGGGCTGTTGTTCGATGATCAACCGCCTGAGACATGCCAAGGACGGTACGCGCGACACTGCCGTACCCTGCATGCAGGGCAGCGACTCCCAGGGAAAAGCGTGCAGAGACTTGTCGAGCACGAGAATGGTGTGCGCATTGCTTCCATCCTTGTCGTCCGCAGCGTGGACACCTTGGTGATACGCCGCGAGCGCGTCAACCGTATCGACGACCATAGAGTCGAAGTCGATTTCATCGTAAGCATTTTGCTCGCCGTGGAACTGGAGAATGTCAATCGTAAAGTACAAGAGATCCGTCAGCGCCTCCTCGTAGTCGAGATCGTCGTCTATCGGGCCGCCCAGCCCGACAAACAGCTCTAGGATTCGGGGATCAAAGGTAATCTTGGGCGTCTTGGCAGAGCGCTTTCCTCGAACTTGACGCCGCGAGGGTAGGTGCTTATCGAGCATATTCTGGAAGGACTTTTGGAACCTCGCGAGGAGGTCAGGCCTCCGCGTGTGCTGGGAGAATACGCCCTTGAACCCGCCTAGCCAGACAGACTCAATGTTGTCCAGAAGCAGCTTGAAGCGCTCGTCGAGCATCTCCCGCTCTTCCCACCACGCCGCCTTGGCGCCCTTGATGGTCATGTCCCGCGCGTCGTGCGAGTTCTTGTTCGCGAGCCGGATGAGCTCGCGCAGTTCCTCCATGCCGTGCTGGAAACTAAACACTTCGTTATCCGCATCTCGTGAGTTGGCTCGTTCCAAGGGCAGCCGCAGGACGAACGGGGTGTGGCCCGCCTGAAGTCTAGTGATGCACAAGTCCTCCCTGTTGTCGCTAGGCGAGATCGAGACCACGGTCCAGCTGCTCGGGATGATATCGATGTAGTCTTTCTGGAACCTCGAGATATCAGTAGTAGCACCGAGGCTCGAGCGATTACCGTCTCCCGTGCTCGCGAGGGCCACCGGCCACTCCATCTTGGCCGCCGAGCCCACGACCTGGAGAGCCTTTCGCTCTCGCCTCCACGTGATGTTTCGGGCGAGCTCGACCGCGCAAGTGGCGTAACCGGGGTGGCCTATGAAGTCAGACTTGGTCGCGGACAAGAAGATAACGGTGCTTTGCAGGAGCGACGAGATTCGGTGGAGGGACCCGCCGTCGCCGCGGATGACGGCCGTAGCGTTTGCGTTGATGAGGTATTCTTGCGCCTCCTTCAGCGCGTCCACAAAGCTAACCGCCGATCGCGCCTTGGCACCCTTGCGGACGGGAGCAGGCTTTGCCGGGGATGCTTTATCGTCAGCTCGCTTCACGAGCGACACTGAAGGATATGAGATGGTCGACTCCTGGACTACGGAGAAGACTGGATCGTGGATCATGTCGTCTAGACTCTGGCCAACCAAGCACGCAGCTCTGATCATCTGTTCACGGGACACGTCCTCGAGCCCCTTGAGTTGCCCCTTGATACCCTCGAGAACGCTGGAGGCCGAGGCCCAGTCCTTCTGATGAATATGGCCCAGCGCGCGGTAAAGAAGGATAGATGCCTTCATGAGCGACGTGCGTGCGTCATCCTCAACCGGGACCGGCTTTGGCGCGGCTTCTTTCCTGCCCCTCGCCGCCGGTACCCTCTTCGCCACTGTCGTGACCGGCTTCTTGGCCGGTGCGGGTGCTTTGGCCCTGGTGCTTCGCGCAACCTTGGGCTTCTTGTCCGCAAGACTCAGCTTCTCCATATCCTTTGCGATATCGTCATCCAACGCGGGCCTGCCTGGGGCCCTGCCCGCATGCTTTACGTTTGATTCCGCCAGCTGCAGCATTTCCTCCTCGGATGCTGAGTCGCCCATGAGGCGGTATAGTTCGCTCAGCTGGCAGGCCAAAGCCACAGATTGCGATGTGTGAGGGTTCTCGGTGACAAAGGCTCGGGCGTTTGCCACGTACTCGATACCCTTCTCTGGCCTGCCGCCCTTGATCCAGACGGAGCCTGTCCAAACCGCCGAGCGGGCGACGTAGAGGGCCGATCCAGAGTTCTCGGCGACTTTATATGCCTGCTCGGCGTAGTAGAGCGTATCCTGGAACATGCCCATGTGCGCGTACAGAGCCGAGAGTCGAAGAAGCGCGCGGATCAAGGGCGAGGCGAGTGCCCAAAACTCGGAGCCTTGAACCACTCGGGCAACCATGACGCTGTCGAGATTACTGACACCAGGTCCGAGGCTATCGGCGAAGCTAGCTATCTGGGCTGCCGAGGGCGCAGGTGTTTTGTCCTTCTTCTCGTACTTGTTCCAGTCGTGGAACATGATCTTGACACTATCCTTGGCGTAGGCGAGCGCTGGCTGGGTTTCCCCTTCTCCAACGCAATAATGGAGTAGAGGAGGTTGGCCATAGCCATGAGGGAGGACATTCGCGATTTGGCGGCGTGTTTCGTGGCAAGCGATGCAAACGCTTCTTTGGCCTCAGCAAGGCATGTTTCCCTAAAAACAAGTCTCACAGGTTAATAAAAAGTGGGCGCTGCAGGGTAGTTGGACAGGATGACGACTTACGCCTTGTCGAACCTGCCGGTAGTAATGCAGTAGTCCGCAACGGCAAGGTGGAAATCCGCAATGGTCGACCCGGAAACTTTGTCTACCTGCCCGGCAATCGCCCTGGTAGCGTCGATGATGGCCTCGGCCTTGTCGACATAGCCCAGGCTTGCGTACTGGTTCGCGAGCAAGCTCGAGTTAGCAACCACCTCATCCAGGGCGGAATCCTCCAGCTTTCTCGCCATGTCCGCCAGCAGCTCCAGGACGGATACAGCCAGTGCGCTTTCGCCCTTCATGCTCGCCAAGTCGGCCAACGCTCTCAAGTGTGTCATGAGCAGCACGGGGTCGTCGACGTGGTTCAAGATCTCCGCCCTTGAAGCTGAGCTGCTGATGACCTTGTGCCAGGAAGTGATGGCCGCAGCGAGATCGGGGCTGTTGGGTGCCCAGTGAATCAAGGAGGAGACGGACGAAAGGTAGGCTGCGAAATGAGGTAGGTAACGGACTAGCTTTGCGTCTTCACCAAGGGATTTGCCTGACGCGGCTTGCATGGCTACGTCGATTTGGCCCCGCAGTGACGAAGAGTGGTCGGGGTTGGCAATATGCATCGAGTATAGGTGAATAAGTGTCCTCAGTCTGCGGACAGGGAATTTTTCCAACGAGTATATACGAAGTAGCGTGTCGACGGGGGCATCGGTTAGTTTAAGGGGCTCCTTGATCTTTGAGTTCTCGCCCGAGGTGATGAAGTGCACAATGTGCTCGAGAACGGCAGCGCGCTCAACCTCTGGCATGAAAAAGGTCCAGTCGTTCCACGTTTTATCCAACTTGGCAATGGAGCGCAGGGTTCGGGAGAAGAGAGTGCTCTTGTCGTTCGCTGGCCACGCCATGGAAGGAGGCTGTTCGTTGAGGAGGGTTGCCACCTGGGATAGGACGCCCTCCTCTACCATGGCGGTGCATATCGACTTGAGGGATTCTCTGGCCTCGTCGATTCGCCTAAACTTGGTACATATGTCGGCAAATCGCTCCAGCTTAGTGACGAATTGGCCGGCTTCCTGTTCCTTCGGGCTGCGATTGCGGATGGCGTCAAGGGAGCGGCGGAGAGAGCGCAAAGGAGTGAGGTCATCGGCGTTGTCCGCAGATTGTCGGAGCAGGGCGTACTTCATGTAGTAGAGGTTGGAGATCTTGACGTAGTAAGAGTTGCCACTGCTACCGCCGCCGAGGGGGCCTTTTAAGTCGCCCATTCGTTCGAGGAGCCCAAGGCAATCCTGCAAGACACCGTCTGGTTTGGTCCAGTCGACAGTACTAGAGCCGAGTAGGGTTTTGGTAATTACGAGAGCAGAATCAAGCATCTGCCCAAGTGTTCCCTGCACGGCCTGTCGCCGAGATTCAAACCGGAGAAATTCCTTTGTGTTGACGCCACCTTCGTGTGCCGGCGCCTTGCCTAGCCACCGCATCGTAAACCGGGGATACTGTATTATGAACGACTGAAGCAGCTCAGTGAGCGCGGGAGAGAGTTTTGACTTTGGGTCCGAGGCACTCATGAGGAGACCTACGGCGGATCTGCGAGCCAGGGCCAAGTCAACGAGAAGCTGATCCAACTCGGCACTCTCGCCCCGTAGCGTGCCCTGCATCCCATCGATAGTTTCCGCCAGGAGGGCTGTGAGCTTCGGCTCGTCAAGTTTGCATTTCAAAGATGCCGCCAGGAGATGCGCCGCTACAGAACAGCGGCGTGCCGCCGAATCCTTTTCGATATCGAGGAGGCCATACAGCTTTTGGGCCCAGTCTCGCGCTTCCGCCGGTCGTTTTAAGTTGAAGGCGGAGGACGCTAGGCTTTGATACACGGCAGCAGCGGGCGACTTGGAGGTCTCAGACCAGGTAAGACCCTGTTCCTTGGTCATGGCCTGCAAGTCGAGAAAAGCCGTCTGAGAAAGCTCATGGACGTCGGCCGAGACAGGTTTCAGACGCCGGCCAAGGGCGGCCAAGTAGCGGGAAAACGGGGTAAGAATGTCCCGATCCACGTCTCCCACATGCTTCGATATCCTCCAAAAATGCATCTTGATCTTCAACGCCGCAATTTGGAGCTCAAATGTACACGGTGGAGAGGGGCTAAGACGCTGTTCCATAGCCTCAATGTCGTCGCGACTAGAAGAGCTTGGTGTGAGGGAGAGCACGATGCTCGCGAGAGATTCGATTTGGCGCGCCGTCTTGGGGGCATCTTTGGGGTCGTCGCGGAGGGAGCCGAGGAGGAGATTGAGAGGGGATGTTTTATTAGAGTCGCGAAGAAAAGGAGTAGCAGCCTCGATTTGCTCGGGCTTCTTGGTAAGCATCATGAGTCGGAGGACGTAAAGCTGGGTCGATATAACTAAGCTCCGCGTCAAAGCCGTCACGGTAGACTCCTTGAAGTCCAAGAGATCCGACAACACGCGAGCGCCGCTGATAGGAGCTTCCGTGCTTCCGGTCGCCTTGGCCCCCTTGGAGTTATTTCCGGCCACCGCGCGCTCCTCGAGCCGCTTCTTCAAGATCCGCAGCTCCTTTAGCGCGTGCTCCTGGAGCCCCAAGGAAAGCAGCTTTCCGACAAAGGCCGAGATGCCCATTTCCAGTTGCATGTTCTTCTGCGAGGGAGCATCTGGAGGGTTCAAGCTTCTCAAGCACTGGAAGGCTACCCTCGCGCACTCGACGAGAGCCAGGCACGCGGAGCTCACGGGAGGCGCCACGCATCTCGGGGATTTACTCGGCGGCGGTTCGATATTGGTCGCGGTCCTGTTCAAGGTTCGGGGCTGTAGGGGGAAAGAGGCATCGATAGAGATCTCCGCAGGTTGCCGCCGCCAGCTCGTCGGGCGGTAGGCGTCGCCTCTGGTCTCTTCGAGGGAGTTTGGGGGGCGGCGCTGCTTTTGACGCTTCATTCATCGCCTTTAACGCAGCATTGATTACATGCGTGGCCAAGGCCTCTTTTTCCTTTGCCGATAATTGAGCATGTTTGGTACTGGTTTGCGCTTCGGCCTTGGGAGGCTCGGCCTTAGTTCGCGTCCTTGAGCTCGATGTCACGCGTTTTGCGGTCGCTTTCGTGGCAGGAGGGGCGGAGATTGAGGATGGATTCGTTTCGGGTACAAGGAGGTCGCGTAATATGACCGTGGTTGCCGATGTGCAAGTGTTTGTTGTCGATACCGCCGCCTTTACGGCGTCGATCTTCGAGTTGATAGAGGTCATTGTGGGGGTATTAGTAGGCTCATAAACATATCGTCAGGCGTGCTGATATGTTGTTATTTATACGATGGAAAAAAAGATTATATGAAGAGCCTCAAAGAAAGAGGAAACAATGCGAAATGCTATCACGAAGCACTTATTATTAGGTAGGAAAGGGTTATGATATTGAAGTCGTGATTACTTGTTACCAATCGTTGGATTGGGTATGTGCATTTTCAGGCTTACAGTGCACAAACCATACAAAGTCCAGTCATTTGTGGACTTTGGGTCGGTTAAACCTCGGTGGTTGTCAGGGGCAACGAAAGAATTTGAAGCCCATGTTCGGCATTTGACGCCAATGATCCAGGGTGGAGCTAGAAAGGGTATTTCGCAGTGGTCGAACTTTTGGCGAATGTCAAAGGGTTCAACCTCCAAAACTGCGTTCGAGTACTTACGTCGCGCGCAAGAGCAAACCATAGAGAATGACGAGGATAGCCGCACAAAGATCTTGGCTCGGCCAATGGCCTTTCGGAGCACTATGATGCTACCGAAAGCCCTCCCCTTCACCCAGGTCCGGTGCAACAGCTCTCTTCCGACAGTAGCAGACGCCTCGTTCTGGTCATCCCTGGTCCCGAAGCCCTTTCGCAAGGAGAATAGAGCGTCGTTCCGAAAAGGCAAGAAGAAGTCAAGGAGTGGAACCCGGCGACCTTTTTCATCGTCATCTTCCTCCTCATCGGGTCCATGTCCATCAACACCATCGCCGTAAGGACTGCCCACGCTAACTTTGTCCGGCAAGCCGACACCAAAATTGGGGTTTTGCGGGATATCGTCGATAGGCTGCAAAAGGGAGAGAAGGTCGACGTGGCCAAGGAGCTTGGATCCGGGAATTCTGCGGAGGAAAAGGCTTGGGGAGATTGTAAGAAAACCCCCACCACCATACCAACCCTCCCTTGGGCCCTCTGCAGATGTGCTAATGGACCGATGATAGTATTGCGTGATATCGAGACGAAGGATGGCCTCCAAGAGGCGCCGAAGCAGAAGAAGTCAAGAAAGGCAAAGGCAGCAGAGACTACTCAGGTAGATGCTCCGGCGATCCAAACCCAACCTGATTCTTCCTCTTCACCGACACCCACGCCCACACGGACCTCGACGAAACCTAGCCAAAGCAGCAGATCGTCATTCTATTAGCCTCTAGATTTCTAGTTTATTGGCGTCTAATGCATGTATACTATCAACAACACCTCATAAACTTACAGAAGCCGCCCACCATAGTGAGCGACTCTCAACTACGACAGCATGTTTTTAAATACAGCGGAATTCTTCAGGTCCAATGTTTCCCCTTCGCGAATACCAGCTTGGTGCCTGGCCTGCTGCTTTAACTGATTCACGACTTCGGGGAGTATGGTATCCGTAGCGAACTCGATCCGCACCCCTCCGCCCCCGACTGGTCGTGGTTTACGTCTGAAAAGAAGTAGTCCTCGCCTCTGATGCCACCAATGTTCACGACGGCCATGGGCATACCTCGCTGCTTTGCTCGTCGAGCCAGCATCCAGGCCGATCCAGTAGCAAGGGACGTGCCCAGGACAAGCAACCGTCCGGCTTTGTCGATAGCATCCTCCGCTACCATCTTGACCCTCGGGGAATACTCTCTCCAAACATGATGACCGCCGGTTTTAGGATACCAGCCGTGCTGCCGGCCTTCCAAGCGCCATCATCGTCCGTCTCTACGAGGAGCTCGTCCCTCCTAAACAACCTAGGTGCTTCGGCCAAACAGCTCGGGCAGGGAGGGTAGCGGAACGTTGTGTATGGTGCGTCGGCCAGGTCCACGTCACCATCTGGGTTAGTCCTGAGTCCCTTTATCCTCGCATTGTGGGGGACCTCTGTATTTAGTGCCCCTGAGGCTACGGCCTCCTTCATAAAATCATCCCAGGCGGGATTGAGCCTGGCAAGCTCGTGCTGAAAGACGTCGCGGGAAACTCTTCGCGGCAGGTCGTGCAGACCGTGGAGCGGAGGTAGCCGTGAAGCTCTACCGTTGAGATGCTAGGATGCGCCGTAGAATGAAATGAATCAACATTTTGCGTAATCACGTTCTTCACCAAGCCGAGCAGGCCAAGATCTCGTACAGCGTGATGGCCTGCGTTAGGTGCTGCTTTGTGAAGTGAGGACCAGCCCAGGAAGCTCCTCGCCCAGTACCGTTGCCGCGAGGATGGCTAGCCAAAAACTCGTTGTGGTAGATGGGCCGGTACGATTTATTCACGCGGTATGTGCCGTTGACGCCACGGTAGTCGGCCAGACCGCTCGCGACGGAGAGCCCCGCGCCCGAGAGCACGACGGTAGAGTCCGGGAGGCCATGGGGGGTGGCGTAGTCAGAAATTGCAAAAGGGCGGCGACGGCAGCGGGAAGAGAAGTGGCGGTCTTGGGGATGATGGTCGGGGAGGGAGGGGATCTCGATAAGGGATCCGCATTGGACAAGGCTGTTAAGATCGACAAGGAGAGTGGGCTGGGGCGCATCCGTGAAGTGAGTTTTGGTGGGAAAAGTGCAGTGGTGCTGCAGGGGAGGCCGCGGTTACGTGCATTCAACGAATTGGCCGCGAGAAGAGCACCAAAGGCAAGACTCAAATGTTGGGAGCTCGACGTTTCTCGACGCTTTGGAGAGTGATCATCAATTCGTGGGTGGTGGATGGTCCAATAAAGGTAGGGCCGAGGTGCATCTAGATCTATAGATGGCGAAAATCGATCCCCAACAGCACGACTGAGGCATTCGCTGAGACCGTCTGCAGCCGTGACGTCGCCAGCTGCTGGATGCGCTCACTGCGGGTGCTCAGCGACTGTCTAGACCGGTGACTAATCCCACTAGAAGGTGAAAATGGCTAGAACCCCACATCATCCCACGGACAGCGCTATGTCAAAACAGCCCCTCCTGCTGTACCCAGTCCTAACGGTGTCGGTTTGCCTCCTTGCAAGCAAGGGTACCGCTTAGACCTGACATTTCCAGACATCGGCGTGTGTCCTAGGTGGAAGGCCCCTGGATCAATCTATGAAGTGCCGGAATCTTCAACCTGATGAACAGAATTTGGGTGATATTGAGGTTGCGAGCACGACCACATTAGAAGACCGTGGAACAAGCCAGTGAGCCCGGCGACACAATACCTAGTCGGCTAACTCTAAATGGCCAGCCATGTCCCACCGTTCCCCCAAGGCTTCAATGTCCCTTCAAGTGACTTCTCCCTGAGTTTCGTTCTGGGCGGGCGAGGTTCCGAATCCAAGCCAGTGCGGTGGGAGGGCAGGCAGCAGACTCGCTCGGGTTTCCCTACATGATACAGGGGAGCACCACAGTTGTACATCTCGGGTACTCAAGCTTACCGGCCGAGTCGGCCAATCGCCCCTCCCTTTCGTGTAGCGGAGAGGAATTTCTCTCCCCAAGGACCCCATTTCTAATCAAGTGCCCACCGTAGGACAGAACGAGAAAAGGTGCCATTTCATTGTTGCGCTAAAAGAGAGGAGCAATATTGCCCCCTCCCCTCTCCCCTCCCAGTGTCAATGGCCACTAAGCCCCGACGGCGGAGAGTGGAGGGCAGAAGGGGGGCGGAGGAAAAGAAAGCTCATGTCAAGGAGGGGCGGAGAGGATTCTTTGACCGCGATTCTCGACCACGTCTAGAAAACCTCGCTGGAACCACGGAGCGAATGCCATGTCACAAACCTGGGATCAACCGGCATCTGTACAACGTTGCTGAGCACCTCTGATCCACCGACGCATCCCTTGCCGCACTGCTTCAGGCATCACAGCGCAGTCTTTGGCTTGTCCCGGCAGCGACTCTCCCGTTGGGCACCGCCGTCGCTTGACGTGGCCGATACCGTCTCTTTCTTCGCCGCCGCTTCTTTGACTCTTCCTTCTCCTCCTCCCCCACCGTCCAGGGCCCCATTGTTTCGTTTGGCCGCCTCGGCTACCCCAAGACTGATAAGCATAGCTGCCGCTCTTGCTCCGCATACTCATAGTCCGCCCATTTCTCTACTTTCTGCTTCTTTTTCTTCCCTTTCTTCCTTCTTTTCCTCCTTTCTTTTTTCTTTCCTCCACCAAGGGCGGTTTCTAGTTCCGATTACTACTGCTGCCACTGCTGCCACTGCTGCTGCTGCTGCTGCTTTATAGAGATCTCCATCCGGTTCTTACTGGGTCTAGGAAGAGGTTCACGCTGAGTTTCGTTGGGCAAAGACAAGTCTATAGTTCCGAGGCAGACAAGAAATCCTAGTCTTCCATCTCTCTAAAGTCTTTCACCGCCAAAATCTCTTGACTCCTCCACCCTCTCTCTCTCCCTCTCTCTCATACACGCACACAACAAACACACACACACACACTCTCCTCTCTCTCACGCTCTCCTCTAGCCTCTAAATTCCCTACGCTTCTCCTCCCCTCGAGCCTCTCTAAGACTATTTTTGAACCCCGCACCCCACACTATTCGGGATGGCGGACTTTTCTGGGCACCCCGTACTTGCCTGCGTGCACGACGATGACGGCTCCGCGCTATCCAAGAAATTCGGCCCGGGCCTAACCAACTATTACTCCGGAAGCCCCTCAACAGGGTTTCCTTCCTCCGAGAGGACCACGGCTTCATCTCCGCAGCGTTTTCCTCTCCGGATGCCCAATTCATCGTCCTCCATGATTTCTCCCCTCTCGTCCAAGACTCGGCTACAATCAAGCCCGTCGGCCGAGAGGATATCCTCTCTATTACCGGCGAGAATCCGTTTGGCTCGTCCGAGAAGGAGCTCATGGCCGCCTTTGATTCGACCGTGACTAAACCGTTGATTATTTTCCTTGGCATCTGGGAGGACCCTGCCGCCGGATTCCAGCACCGCACGTTCTGTGGTAAGCCGTGGTTTGCTGTCGATGCCACGCCGCGCGGCTCCTTTGCGGATGCTGCGACGGCTTTGATCGACTCGCTTGCCAAGGATGGGTGTACTTTTCTCAAGTCGACAAGGCAAAACACCTTGAGGGCAGATTTCGGTACGTACACTTCAATAGTCTCCCAGAATAGAAATTGGACTGCAATCTGACTGTGCACCCTTTCGCGATCAGCTGCCATGTATGGCCAGGCCAGGGGCATTGTCGACTGGAATCTACGCAACCAGTTCTGCGCTGGATGCGGACACCCCACCACGCCAGTCTATGGAGGGTACAAGCGCGTCTGCCCTCCCACCGATCTCAATGGTACCGCGACGCCCGTCGTCCGAAAGGAATGCCCCACGCGCAACGGCATCACCAACATCAGCTTCCCCAGGTCGGATCCGACCATGATTGCCGCTGTGGTGTCCGCCGACGGCAAGCGCATGCTCCTCGGCCGCCAAAAGCGATGGCCTGCCGGTTTCTATAGCACTCTGGCCGGCTTCCTCGAGCCGGGCGAGTCAGTAGAGGAGGGTGTCCGCCGCGAGGTGTGGGAGGAGAGCGGCGTCAAGGTCGGGCGTGTGGTTTTGCACTCAAGCCAGCCTTGGCCTTACCCGGCAAGCTTGATGCTCGGCGCTGTTGCCTCGGCGCTGCCTGACGGCGAGGATATCCACCTTGGCCATGATCCTGAGCTGGAGGATGCCAAGTGGGTTCCCCTCGAGGAGGTCCGCGAAGCTCTCAAGAAGACCGTAACCCTCGATACCGTCCCGGTCACCAATGGTGACAAGCCGCCTACCCTCCTTCTTCCGCCCCATACCGCGATTGCTAACAGGCTGATAACTGCCATCTGTGAGGGGTATGCTGGGGAGGCTTAGGGGTTTGGAGTCCATGGTCCTGAAAAAATTTCCTTTCCCTTTTCTTCTTTTCCCTTATCTCGGTTGTATAGATTGTCACATTGGGTCCATTTCGCGGTGTTGGGCTGAGGCGTTCATACGCAAACATTTTGTTCTGCCAGTAGATCGTAATAGTTCGTCCTTTCTAGCGTATTTGAAAAAAAAATGTTACGGTCACTTCTCATCAATTTCTTTCCCATCGTCTGTGACGACTTTTACGGGCGACTGCTTCTTCAACGCCCGTCCTTGGGTAGGAGACGTACGGGCCTCAGATCTGGTTACCCAGTCTTGAGGTTGTGATGCGAGCCCAGTGCCCCGGCTCAAGACAACTGGTGCACACCCGCTCAACCACGTCAAGACTACCCATCGATTCACATACTGGCTGCCAGATATATAATTACTATTCATTTCTACAAGCAAAAAGATGTTGAGACCACCCCACAGTCAATAACCTGGTAGACCAGACGTTACCGGCTGATTAGGAAGAGTGTTCACATGGACTTTTTCGAGGAGGCCGGGAACGGAAGGAGACCCATCGATTCATGGTAACCCTCAGCAAGCCACCGTAGTGGAGCCACCATATGGTTAAATCGGCCCCTGACATTTGACGATGTCAAGAACCGACCCAACTGATGATGAAGAAGAAAAGAAAGAAAAACCAAAGCAAAGCTCGTCGCGATAAAATTTCTTTTATGTGCCCTGGTGGGGTCACCCAAGGCTTTGCTGACCTAATGAACTGTCAGTGCATATTACGCAGTCGCCCACGGCTGCCCACGGCTGCCAAGCGCTCGGACCAGGCAAAAATTCTGAGCTGAGCTTCCAATGACGGGAGTTTATCGGAACAACTCCCTTTTACTCCCAATGTGAACTTTTTTTTCCTCTCGCGGTCTCAGGCATTCTTGGTCGCGACGCAGATTCGAGCTTCGAAAAGCCAACCACTCCTTTCATCGCGGACTCGTGATAGCAACGGAAAGAGGCACCATCGAATCCGTCCTTCATTCGCATATTTCCAGTTTACGTTGGCCACTATGTCTTCGATTTGGGACACTTTTACGGGGCGCAAGTCCTCCCAGCAGCAACCCTCCCAAGTTCCGAGCTCAGCTCCGGCAGCCCCTCGAATCCCACAACGGCAGCATTCGATCCCACAGAAGGCCAAGGCGTCGAGGCTTTCCTCAAGCCATCTGCTTTCGCCGACCCTTCTTCACTACATCCCCTTGCTGGCATTGATAAGGATACCCTCGAATACCTCTCGCTCGATGACATCGCCCTCGCCGACGGCCACACTGTTGTCCCTTCCCGAGGCTTTTTTGACGACCTCTGCTATGGTACCGGTATCACATACGTAACAGCCCTCGGAATAGGAGGTGCATGGGGTCTACAAGAAGGCCTGAGGAGATCTCGCGGCCAGCCCCTAAGCTGCGACTCAACTCCGTTCTCAACGCCGTCACGCGACGAGGTCCCTTCCTCGGTAACTCGTGTGGTGTAATAGCCATCGGCTACAACTGCATCAACTCGTACATTGGATACCTCCGCGGCAAGGACGACGCGGCAAACACTGTTCTTGCTGGTATTCTGAGCGGTATGGCGTTCCGTAGCACCAAGGGTATCCGCCCCATGATGATTTCCGGCGCTGTTGTTGGCTCGGCCGCCGCCTGTTGGGCAGTAAGTTCAACCCTTAAAAACCTTCGCTACAGTCATCATTCCAAGTATCCCGAATACGCGACAGTTCCTTGAACCCGTTACTTACGTTTCATTTAGGTTGTGCGACGAAGCTTCACCCCTGAAGACGTGAAGAAGCTCGAGAAGACGCTGTGAGACGACGTCTGACTCGTTTGTAATCATATTCATATATCCTCCACGCCGCGTGGCCTTCAACACCTGCTTGTGATCTGCGTCGTCACCTGCAGCGATTACTATTTATTATCATCATTTTGGCAACCACCACCTTGGAATACGATCCACACTCTACCGAATCTTGCATCGGCTAGCAAGTGGCACTCTTCCCTTACATCTCTACTCCCCGTCATCGTGTACATTACTTTGGGTTGTGTATCATCTTTAGACCGCATAGGCAGTGGGCGTTGAAGGATCTGTTTAGAACAAAAAAGACTTGAGGCGAGGCGGCTCTGAACGGGCTCAGGCGAGTACGTATTAATGGAAGAATAGAGACTGCAGCACTATATAACTTTTTCCCGTTCAATGCCTCTTTCTCTTGCCCCCTCATCTCGACACTTGCTGCTCAGCTTGCTAGAGTTTCCAACCATTTGTTGCGTATATGACTCGTCATGAGGATCGTTGGCGGTCCGGCCAATCTTAAGGGGGCTTTACCGATAGCAACACGCTTCGCAGAGCCCTTCTCTAGGCCTTTTGGCCTCAAAACTCGACGCTGGCCTCCTTTAGGTATGCCCTTGCCTCCATGGTGAGATGTGGCTGCTATAACAAAGCAAACTGCAATTACCCGTGTCTTCACACCACCGGCCCCCTTTTCCTCTGGCATATGAGTAGCTCATGGAAGGCGATATCACCACTGCCATTGACTCCGTCCGTCCGGCTAGGCCTGTAACTAAACTCACATTTTGAGGTGCTGTCACAACTATATGTATCCAGGCAAGACGAGAGTTTTGGCATTCTTAATTCTATAATTCGGAGGGAATTGATTCTAGGTGTTGACTTGGTGATATTCAGAACGTGATAGATATTAGCAAAGCTGTACGCCTTGTTGATTAGATTTCTAGACCAGGTGGGTTTCCCGAATTAGCTCACCAGCATCATCGGCCAAGAGCTCCTTTTACCTTTACCGGCCTCTCATGCGGCTTTGACTGTGCGGAATGCCGCCTGCCGAGGCAATAACTCTATTCCTTTTAAGACAATACTTGGGTAAAAGCAAAGCCCCATAGAAATCATCAGCAAATGTATTACTGTATCAGTGTCTATGCATATGTACAATAATCCCCTCGAAGCTCCATTTAAGGCAATGACGTGACACTCAGGACAAGGAATGTTCGAAGAATGAAATACGAAATTACCGATATCCCCAAATTCTCAATTCGCTGAGTCTCTAATTCGAAGTTTTAATCCGGTTACGATATTTCGAAAGGAGCAGCAGCAGAAGAAAAGGAAGAAGAAAAGCAAACATGTTGTTCATCGGTCTAACGGGGTCTATTGCGACCGGCAAGTCAACTGTGTCATCCATCTTAGGAGCCCCTCCATACTCCCTCCCGATCATCGACGCAGATGTTCTCGCGCGGAAGGTCGTAGAGCCCGGAACTAGTGGGTACAACGCCATTGTCAAGTATTTTGGGCCTACGACACCTGAACTACTTGTTCCTGCCTCGGATGAGATGCCGGAGAACGGCCCTGACGGCAAAGGAAGGCCCCTGAATAGGCCGGCCTTGGGCAGGAGGGTTTTCGGCGACACCGAGGAGCGCAAGAAGGACCGAGGGGTCTTGAACGGCATCGTACACCCCGCTGTGAGGACGGCGATGTACAAGGCCATCCTAACCGCCTACTTCAAGGGCTACTGGGCAGTCATCCTCGACGTGCCGCTCCTGTTTGAAGCCGGCATGGACAAGCTATGCGGGACGGTCATGGTCGTTTCGGTATCAGATCCAGAGATCCAGATGCAGAGGCTGATGGACCGCGACACGCACCTCACGCGGGAGGACGCCGAGAACAGAGTGCGCAGCCAAGGCGATGTCAGGGTCAAGGCGAAACGCTGCGCGTCGAGGGGCTCCGGCCGTGGCGTGGTACTACTCAACGACGGGTCCAAGGAGGAATTGAAGAAGACCATCGACGAAGCCATCAGAGAGCTGGAGAATGCGAGCCCGAGCTGGTGGGCCTGGTTGTTGCTTGCCTGCCCGCCCGTGGCTGCGGCCAAGGGCGCTTGGGAATACTGGAACAACGGCAAGATTAATGAGAAGTGGGCGGCGCAGGAGAAGGAGATTGCTTCGAAGCTCTGATTCTGTTTCCAAGGGAATATTTCATTCCCCTCTTTCCTTGACTGTCTATATCTATCATTGGGCGGAAGCATTTTGTCGTTCGGCTGCCTTTTCAGCCCGCGTTTATTGTACGCTATATCACTAGTGGCCACTCAATCAATATCCTTACAGAGGACTCTTATTCTTTTGCTTTTGCTGGTTGTCGGCGCTATTCAAGCCGCTTTCCTTGTCTTCTGATTATTGATAGAGCAAAGTAGCAAAAGCTTCCTGTGCTGTCACGAATCCTCCGACTTCTCGGGCTGAGAAGTCCACAACCTCATTCATACAGTATCGGCCTCTTCTTACTTGGGAAGGCATGATGCTCGAGGAAGATTTGTAGAACTAGACTCCCAACTCCTCCTTGAATAAAGTCAAACCACGCATACCCTGCGTCAATCGATGGGTTTAAGTCAGATGGAAATAATAGTGGTGCGGTTGCGCCTTCCCCGTCTGACGGGGCAGAACCGTGCTCCAGTTGGAATTGCTCGCCATTTGTTTCCATCGAGCCTTCCAAATGCCACAGCAGGTATATATATTTCCCACATACGCCCAGGAACCAATCCATCTTCTTCTTCCCTGCTAACCCATCTCCCACATCCATCACCGTCGCAAGGACCACACACACAACCGCGAGAAAACCAATACCACGTCCTACTCAAACACGATAGGGAAAGCCCACAACTTTTCACCATGGCTCGGCGAGAGCCGCTGTTCAAGCCTTCGTTCTTCTGTGAATGGGCGGCTGGTACAAGCATCGACAGCGCCTTTGATAGGGCGGAGAAGCGTAGACTCCGCCAGGAGGCAAAGAGGCAAAGGGCGCCGCTGAACCTGAACCAGAACCCGAACCGGAGCCCGAACCTGCACCTGAAGTCGCACCCGAAGCCGAAGCTGGAGCAACCTCTGAAGACACTGGGCCCGGAACCGACACAACTGAAGAAAATGCCCCTCCCAAGACCAAGTCGGTGATGAGGCTCGAGGTCACCACCGACGATGAGTCAGATATGGATTGCGTTACCGTCAGCTATCCCCGGAGACGAACTACCACTCAGATCCCGAACCCCCTACTACGAGCGACTCTGAGTCGGCTGCAAGCACTAAGAAAGTTAGGTTCGAAACTCCGTTGAAATCCGCTCTAAAACAAAGCTCAGGCAATTTGGGCGCGCTGAGGAATCAGGGAAGGCGTAGGAAGCGACTTTCTCCTAGGCTGTATTCTTCTTTTGATGCCGATAGTATGTCGGACGAGCATTCAGACAGACCGGATTTATTGGTTAGGGGCAGGTTGCGGTATATTCCAGTGAATCTTCCACGAGCGGGTCGGACACATCCTCGTCGCGGAAACGACGAAACTCTAAGATCCGCTACAGGCTTCAAAAACGGAAGAGTAGAAGTTCAAGATACGACAGCCCATCAAGCTCATCCGAATCAGAGAGTAGCGATGAAAGTAGCAGTGACAGTAGCTCCTCCGGATCCACTCGGAGATACAAAAGGAGCCCAAAGCACCAAGGCGAAAGCTGAAGCGGCGGTCAAGATCAGATCCGCCCACTGAAAGTCGGGCTGAGAAAAAGCCGCTCCTCTTCCTCGGACAACTCCTCGACAGATGGGGAGAGCGAAAGCGATTCATCTCATTGTACAACGAAAAGCAGCACAGAAGAGGACGAGGATGAGAAAATGAAGGAAAAGAAGGGCAAAAAGAAGAAGGCCACGACTGGCGAGGGGAAGGGCGATGGGAAGGGTGAGGGGAAGGGTGAGGGAAAGGGCGAGGGGAAGGATGGAGCTCAACCTTCAAACACGCCTCAAAATAAGAAGCAGAAAAAGCCCTCGGGACCTGCCCCTGGGCCCTCCGACACGCTCCCGCCTGATGCACCCTCAAATTCATTCCAGACAGCTCAAGGCGAAGTCATGCAAGTGGAACACGCTGTGGCGGGACCTGGGGATCCGAAGCCCAATGCATTCATAGACAAGGACCAGAAGATTCTGCGCATATATCACGACTCGACATCCGGGACACAGAATGACAAGCCTTGTCCCAAAAACGATAATCCTCATGCCACAGCGGCAAATAGTGGTTCGTGCCCTCCCAGTGGCCCGCATCGTGATGGACTCGCCCCTCCCCCAGAATGGCCCTTTCATCCTCCTCCGCAGATGGGCCGAGGTGGCGATTTCCAGGGGCCACAGGGTAGAATCTACTCCGGTCCTGGTGCCGAAGCGGGCGGTTATCATCTCCCGTACCCGCCGTATCCGCATTTGATGCCTGTTCATCCAGCATTCGGACCCAGCCAACCTTATCCTTATCCCCAGTACATGGCGGGGCACCCACAAAATCAGCCTCAGAACCCTGCTCGGCCACGATCTCACGAGGTTGAAAACGACGGCTGGAGTCGGCCACAGGAAGGTATGCCTAAGAGGGATAGTAGTCATGGCCTTTGGGGAATAAAAGACAAGCCCAACCATACGAATTCCCAAGGTAAGAAAGGAGACTCCCCAGACATGTGGGGTGCCATCCCTCCACCCAAGTCTAGCCATAACAGTAACAATGCGGTGCCAGACCACCAAGGTGCACGAGGTTCGCAATGGCGGGAGCCATCTCATCAACAAAATACAACAGCACGCAGCTCGAACCGCGGCGACGGTTGGGCAAGCGGCGGTGGAAATCACGGGCGACCGGACAGTGCCCCAAATGGGTGGGCTAGCAATGCTCCGAAGCCATCCGATCACTGGAACGCTCCTGCATCTCACTCAGGAGCAGGTGGATGGGGTAACGACAACCAGGGTGGATCTGGATCTAGGAAGCAAGATAGCCATGGTAGAGCCGGATCTGCATGGGGCAATACTGGCGACAATGGTGCATGGGGTTCGCATGGTAACTCTCATCGCGACCCGCGTATGCATGGGTCCAACAATGAATTCCACCAAGAGTGGCAGCACGACGGCAGGAACCACTCAACAGGATATGGTAGGGCCTCCCAGATCAACCGAGATAACAATGTTTATGGTGCGGATGGAAGCCCTCCAGGCTGGGGTGCGGATGGAACTGGTGAAAATAAGGCTCAACCAAGGTCAAGGATGCCCGGTTCGTGGGATGATCTTTCTGGGAGCGGACAGGAGCCGCGCGCGGTGATCAGTGGGATTCATGGGGCCCCAGTGGCTCACACAACTCGACGAGGAGGCCGCCATCAGATGAACCTTGGTAGAATCCTCCCACCAAGGGATTGGCCCATTTTCTTGCTTTTACTTCACCTGCTGCGATGCGCTGGAGGGGCTGTCTTCTCGGAAATTCGTCTGGTGGTCCAGCGACTCTCAGACACTTGCTCCTAACTTTTGAGCATGATATTGATGTTCGCACTTAGGTAATGAGGAAGGGCAGTGCTGGCGTGCCACTCGGTATCAGGGTTCAATGTTATTATCGAAAGGTCATGGTGTGTGAAGCGTCCAGCTTTTGGTGGATGGCGAATGTTCTATCAAGGATCCATGGGTGTCTTTGTTTCGTTTTCATTTTCATCGAGTTCAGAGGCAGGGGAATACAGCGACGAGTGCCGTTGTGGTATTGCTATTCCTATTATTGATTCAATATGATTTTTTTCTCCTCCTTCTTATGCGCCGTGCCGTCCAGCCTGCGATTTCAACGGCCACATGGTTTACGGGAGGCTGCCGAACTGAACGGGTGTGAAGAGACCCGCTGTATGCCGATAAACTCCGGTGTTGGCCGCCGTTGAAAGGCAATGCTCTTCCTGACCCCTCCACCGCTCCCGCCACTGCCGCACGGATCGATAAGGTTCAGTCCATCACATTAACTCTGCCCCACCATAACGTGCCCGACTTCAACCAACCCCTCCACACCCGCCCTATCAGGCCTCTTATCTCTTACTGGGAACAATCTTACACCAACACACGCAACGCTAGGAGCACACTCTAGAATAGTAGAGGACGACTGCCCGAGCCCTCTTTTCGTCTTGCCCGCCATGCTGCTTTTCTCCCCGTCTTCCTGGCGGGGTGCTCGTCGCCGTGGGTCTTGTCGCTGTCGTTCTCCGGATCCTATCTCCAATCGCCAAAGTACCAGGTCCGGCGACGTCGGTCTTTACATCTGCTCTCCTGAAATGGAATGAGCTCAAGGGCCGTCGGCGAGTATATACATGGGCTTCATGTGCGCTACGGCCCTGTTGTGAGGATTGGGCCTCGCGAGGTCTCGTTCACATCACCAGAGGCGGTGAAGGAGATTTACTGTTCTGGTGGTAGTGGCTATGATAAGACGGAATTCTATGACCTTTTCCAGGTTTACGGAAGGAGGTGTGTTCCAATAGATCAAGACGACAGAGCGCGAACACCGAGCCGTCTGCTGACCGTAGCATCGTAGAACCATGTTCACGACCTTGAACAAGAGCGATGTAAGTGCATTTATGTTTCCGTAGAGCAGGAACGCCGCGCCCTAATGTTCTCAAACTGATCGCACCACAGCACGCGAAGCGTAAACGCATACTAGCAGACCGCTACGCCAACAGCAACGTGATGCGCCCCGTTTCAACCTCGGGGATCCAAGACCGTGCCAGGTTGTTTACCAAGCTCTGCGAGGAGTCGGTCGGGCGGAGCCTTGACATTTTTGTACGTCAGCCATGTTTTATGTGGTATCGTGGTATCGTGGCCGAGTATTCTTCCTCTACGGCTAGAATCGCAGGTTTTGAGGCTGACTTTGTGTGAATATATAGATGTGTAAGTGGTTAGAGCCACTCCCCTTTGAAGTTACCTCTTAACTAGGGAATGGGAGCTCACGCGACCTCACGCGGAAATATCTAGGTTTGCACGCTTACGCTTGTGACTGCGTGACACACCATCTCTTCCACCCGTACGGAACGAATTGCTTGCAAGATGAGGGTCATGCTGAAATGATGCATCAGGTCGCTTCGGATGACAGCTTGCAGAGTAGGTGGCTATAATTACCACGATAGGTTACCCCATGCTAACGCTCTCATGTTAGACCGGCTTATCCAGTTCTATAGCCCTAGAGCGCATAAGCTGATTTCCAAGGCGCTCTACTTCCTCGCCAAGCCTCGCGAAACACCCTTGGCCGACGAGTTCGTGTTGAACGCGAGCAGACAGCCCGATCCAGAACACTTTACCCTTCTCAAGCGCATGCTCGAGAAGTCGGAACTCGACCAGCTCGATATGGCTGCCGAGTGTCTCGATCACATGGCAGCAGGCATTGACACGACGGGCGATGGGCTTTGCTTCCTCATGTGGGAAATCTCGCAACCTCGGTCTTTTTCCATCCAGGAAAAGCTTCACAGGGAACTGCGAGAAAATCCCCTCAAATCATTAGACAAGCTGCCATACTTGGAAGCCGTGATATGGGAGGGACTTAGGTGTTTCCCCGCCATTCCGATGTCCTTGCCGAGATATGTCCCCGCCGGGGAGAGTACTCGATGGCTACAAATTGCCAGGGGGACAATTGTTTCCGCGCAAGCGTACTCTATCCATAGACTCAACGAAGACGTCTTTCCGGCCCCGGAAACCTTTGACCCAGAGCGGTGGTTAGATCCGGAAGGCGATGCGGATAGGAAGCGGTTGCAGTTTGCATTTGCAGCCGGAGGTAGGGGTGCATTGGAAAACAGTACGTCATCTTCTTCCTTTTTTCTTTCTTTGTTTTTCTCGCTGCCATGTGTCCTTTTCTTCTTGCGGTGACTGAACACGTTTTGCCTTTAGCCTTGCACTTTTGGAAATGAAGACTTTGCTAAGGGAGGTGTACTCTCGATACACAACGACGCCGGACCCTTCGACTACCGACTTCGATATGGCGATGTCAGACCAACTAATCTCGAGCCGCCCGGCGGCCAGCGGTGCCAACTCAGATTTGAGCGACTTCAAGCAGCAGCGTAATCACCAGTAAACCGGCGGTCGGTTAGCTCAGTTGGTTAGAGCGTGGTACTAATAAGCTATCCGGCTTATCAAGTAAATGCCAAGGTCATGAGTTCGACCCTCATACTGACCATTCTCAACATTCTTTTTCTTTTTTATAGTTCTTTTTGACAGTATTCAATCGATCTCGATGTCTGTCAGCATGTTTCCTTGTGCATATTCCCTTTTCTTCATGATAAACCCGAGGAATGCTTCCTTCCAATAATTTCAAATGGCTGCGCGCCAACGTGTTGTTTGTTGCGTTGTCATTTTATGCTCAAGTTATTCTTGATGCAAATGATAATCGCGTTCCGAGACCTCCGCCAGGCATGGCAACACCCACCCTTTGCTCTAGCACCCTTCGCTATGGGAGGTTACAGCCGATCACCGGCCAGCGATTTTCAACGTGTTCTTTGGTTCTTCGAGTGAGACATATGTGCACCTTCATTTCACGCTTGTGTTGCTTTTTGTTGGCGGTACGAAATTTGACTGGCAGGCAAAAGAGGTCGCCTAACATCAAATGTACTAACTAAAGCCAGTTTGCGAGACCTTCCAAACCTCATGTGCCGGTTTTGTCGTGGCTGGCTTGGTTACACGGCTGCTCTTCCTCAAACAGGGCTGTGACAACTCAAGCCGAGATGCCCGCGTCGTAAGTCCGCGGCATAAAGAGCAAAGAGGGGCCGGTTCAAGGGAGGGAAGGAGCGGGATTGATGAAAAAATGGTGGAAGTGGTGAGCTCCGGTATCTCCGACTCAGAGAGAGACGGAGTAATAAAGCGACTCAACTTTTCGAATGGGTCCCTCGATCATCATTGATCTCCATTTTCGGAGTTCCCAAAGACACTGGGAGAATTTGCGCTTATTATCATCAAGGTGGGATCGGGTGAGTCGCTCGTTGAAGTATCCGGCTCCGGCCTGGGCGAGGGGGACGGAAGGAACACGACCTGGAACCTACCTTCCTGCCTTGGCCCCTCTATCCTTGGCCCCTTCTGTTTGCGATTGTCTGGCGCAATGTTGCGACGTGAACCGAGCCAGAGAGCTCTTCAGGTTCCACGCATGCCGTGCAGGTGCAGGTGAAGAAGCCAAGAACCCGCTTCTGGTAGACCCTAGGTACCGATACTTCCTCCCCGCCGTAGGCCCAAGGCCCCTCCATGCCGTGCAGAAGGAAAGCACGTGTCAATGAAAAGCTCAACCAGAATCAACTTGAGGCCTCTGCAAGCCTGGAACCGCGCACAAAGAATCAAAGTGTGTTTGCGGAGTCAAGTCAGTCGCTCCTGGATCCGTCCACAGCCCTGTGCAAGCCGACCGCAATCATGAGGGTGTCGAATCCAATAGATCATGGTGTTGAACAAGACTCGACCCAGGGAGCAGTGTGCGAAAATCGCAATACCTATGTTACCACTTGACGTGTTGCTAGTGGGCTAAATTGTAATTTAGCCCTGCCAATGCCCAACCCTCAGACTAAGAGGGCTTCGTTTTGAGGCAGGACTGAAGTAGGGGCAGCTTCCTGTGCAGGTCGAAGCGGACGGAGCTCAAGCTTTTGAAACCGCCTGGTGTTCCTGGAGCTTGCCCTGGTCAAGCAAGAAAGAGGGGGACACAGCTTATTAGGGCAACTTGCGATACACGAAAGATATTGACTAAATTTGATGTGATAATGGATCCTCTTGTCACAAAGTTGGAGAGCTACTTTAGTTCGAATTCTAACCTAGGCTGTGCCGATAATTCGTCCCTCACAATTTGAACACCTCTTGACGGATTTTCGATACGATGTCCCCTCTTGTCCCGCTATGTGATGTGATGTCAATCAAGTCGCGGTACTTTACGGCATTCTTGGTTGCGCGACGACTCGCCGGGGAAAGGGAGCCAAGGGACGCACAAAGTCCAGTGACTGTTGAGCTGTCTGTTCAGTGCAACTGCCCTCAATGTATTCTCCGAACTGGGAGAGCCCCGGCGAGCCCCGTTCTAGACTGGCGACTTCCACTGACGAGAGGGCTTTAGCGGCCCCATTTCCGGTCCGTCATTCATCAAATTGGGTGCCCCTTTCCCCTCAAGGAGCCCCCACCCCTTCTCATTCGCGCCTGCCCAGTGGGGTAAGCCTGCCATGGAACAAAAAAATAGAAGAGAAAAAAACTTTTCCACGGCTTTCGCCTTGGCTTCTGACTCCTCTTTTTGTTCTTTTTTTCTTCTTTTTTTGTTCTTTTTCTTTTTCGCCCCCAGCCTAACCGCTTCCCCCGGCTTGACTCTGATTATTGTTCCAACTTCTCCCTTCCCCATCCCCAACCTTTTCCAAAACTTTTTCACCAACAAAACCCAAATCTTTATTTCGCGATCTTCTACCCAGAGCATCGCCTTATCACGTCTGACGTTTTTGTCATACACTCGATTCTTCTCTCTCTCCGCGAGCCTCAACTCGCCCCTCTAACCTTTGGAGCCTAACTCGGCCTGTGAGAGGACCAGTTCGCATCTCAACTTGTTGACGACATCAACGAAGCAACCGAAACTTCCATCGACGTTGCCGCTCTTCTTCCACCTCCTTTTTCTCAACCCTACCTCGGTACACAACTCGCCAATCCGATCTTGTTCGCCATCGAAGGAAACCCCCATCTCGCTTTTGGTGCTTCACATTACGACAGCTTCTCATTTCCCACCACTACGCCACTTGAATCGTGCGCTATCAAACGCAACGCCCTTTCTACATCACGGGTTTGGTACATCAACACGCAGAGTTTATGTATCAGCACGACAATATTCCTGTCTTTCGACACCGTTCCACTACCAGACTGCGACGTTTTCGCATATCAACGCCCAGTAGTCCTGACCTGAAATCCGTCGGTTGAAGCTCCCCCACAGAGTTCATGCCTAACCATCAGAACAAGCCTTTTAACGGTTTCCCTATGATCACCCCTTTTCTCGCTGAGTTGTAAACTCCCCTTCTGCTCCGCCTATCAGCCAGTTCTCTTGAACGTCTACGACAAATCAAAAAGAGCTTTCATGCCATCCAGCCCGTCACTTTAACTTCCGTTAGTGACCTAAACCTGCCAAGCTCTCTAGCATTCTATCGCCATCTCGGCCCTTTCTCCTTTTCCCTTCTGGCCTGCTTTCAACGCGTATGACCAACGAGTCTACCTATCTGCCAACCACTAGCCCATCGCTGAACAATACATAAATATATCCTCAGCCCCCCGGCCAATACCGCAATCATGGCTCTTATCAACGTTCGTCGCGATGTTAGCGACGTTTTCTATCGCTATAAGATGGAGAGGCTCCATACCAAGATTGAAGGCAAAGGCAACGGCATCAAGACCGTCATTGTCAACCTGAGCAGCGTCGCCCAGTCCCTCTCCCGCCCTGGCTCCTACGTCATCAAGTACTTCGGTTTTGAGCTTGGCGCTCAGACCAACATTGACCCCCGATGATCGCTGGATCATTAATGGCGCCCATGAGGCTGGCAAGTTACAGGATCACCTTGATGGCTTCATCTCCAAGTTTGTTCTTTGCAAGAAGTGCAAGAACCCCGAGACCGATGTCGTAATCAAGGACGACCGTATCCTTCTTGACTGCAAGGCTTGTGGTCAGAGGAGCGATGTCGATATCAGATTGAAGCTCAGCGGTTTCATCTTGAAGAACCAGCCGAAGAAGGGCAAGAAGGACAAGGCTGAGCGCAAGGCCGCTCGAAAGGCTAAGCAGCAGCAGCAGAACGGTAATGGTACCGAGAACGGCCACGGCAGTGGCGGTGAGGATGCCTCAGACGGCTCCGGAAGCGGAGGCAAAGGCGCTCCCGCTGTCGACGCTGGCAGCGACGACGAGTTCGAAAAGGTAAAGGCGTCGGCCTATGAAGCGGCCGAAGAAGCCGAATCCAAGGAGGACGAGTGGGCTGTCGACATGAGTGCGGCCGCTGTCAAGGCCCGCCAGGCTTCACTTCCCGAAGAGTTCAAGCAGAAGCTTTCCTTTGGCGGTGACGAGGACGAGGATGGAGAGGGCGGTGTTGAGACACCTTATGATGTTCTCGGAAATTGGATTCAGGAACAGGTTGCCAAGAAGGGAAGCGCTGATGCTGTTGACGATGTCGAGATCTACGTCAAGGCCAAGGAACTTGGCATTGAGGGCAAGCACCGCACTCTCCTGGTTCTCGTCCAGACCATTTTTGATGCGGACAAGATCTGCGCTCAAATCCCCAAGCGCGCCGGTATGCTCAAGAAGCTCATCACCTCGGACAAGCATGAGCGCTCTCTCCTCGGCGGTACCGAGCGCTTCATTGGCCTCAGCAGCAAGGACAAGCCTGAGCTCCTTCAGCAAGTTGTCAAGATTTTGCAACTGTATTACCACCACGACCTCGTCAGCGAGGAGGTCATCAAGAAATGGGGTACCAAGGCCAGCAAGAAGTATGTTGACCTTTCCACCTCGAAGAAGGTCCGAAAGGCCGCCGAGCCTTTCCTCGTTTGGCTTGAAGAGGCCGAAGAGGAGGATTCCGACGATGAATCCGAGTAGGAGGTTTGCTCTCAGCGTCTGAGATAATGGCCCTTTGAGCGAGTCACCCTCCCGGGAATCGGTCTCGTCTACGGATGGCTTGCTCGCCTACCAGTAGTGAAGGAGAAAAGTGGGAGAAATGAGAGAAGCGAGGAAGCGCTGGAAAGCAAAAGCAAAAGGAGGGTCAATTAGACTGGCTAGATTGGGAGGTTGGATCAAGGGTCTAAACAAAATGCTGTAGGTTTTATTCTTTGTCAACATTGTTTACCTACTCTACACGTCAACTCTCCGCTTGCTCCATGATTAGTTTGTACTTATAAATGTCCACAATTCTTGCCCCTCACTCGCAATTACTCGTAAATGCATTTCTCCTCTTGTCTTGGCCTAACGTACACCACTGCCAAAACGCGAGGGCCCGTGAGAGCAAAGACATGCTCGGTTACGGCACCGGGGCCTAGCTGCCAAGGATCGCACGCAGGTGCTGCTTTCAACCGAAATGAGGCAACTCCATCTCGAGTTGGTTCTTGCGTGTTTAAGGGGCCCTGTATTGTTATGACAGGGCCTCAGTTGCTATGCCATCCCTGAGCGGGCGAAACGAACATGAGCTCGTCGTCCCCTGTCTTGACACCTCGACAGGAAGCGCTTGTGGCGGAAAGAAAGCGCCGGGCGATTCGTATTCGTACTCGGCCTTGGGACTGCGAACGAGCGCCAAATACATCTGCCGCGCACACGCTCGCTTGGCCACGACTACTCGCTGCTACTAGCTGGTATTAGTTGAAGGAAGCGAGAAAGTTTCACCATTATTTCATTTAGTTGTCTCCTTCCCTTTGGTGATGCGTCAAGTCGTCCAATGGCATCGATCTGGGCGATCCGAATACGAATAATCCACTGCCTACATGCGCGCTTCCGTTCGAGCTCTTGGTGTTGTTGGTTATCACTGACCAGGTTCTCCTACTGGAAGCATCCTGGCGGTGAATGCTGGTAAAGACTTTTGTTCGGTCCACGGACCGCTATGGTACTGATGGGACTATACTCTGGAGGACTTGGGTGGCCCACAAGCCGTACGTCTTGGCCTAGGATTCTATTTAGGAGAGCTGAGTGCTAGAGAACCATGAGGGTAGGGGAAAACGAGATTCATATTTAGATTTAGAAGATTGTCTTGAGGATGTCATTTATTAGGCTTATGGAAGGTTTGGGTTGGATACGACGTCCTACAAAAGCACCCTTGAGATAGCATGATGCAACCAAATTTCACGTTTCCTCCAAATTTTGAACTTTTCTACCAAATACCACAGACGTAACTTAGATGGTGGAGAGGAACTCGACCACCTTGTCCCAAAACCCTGGATGGCCTCATCGGAATCCAGGGTGTGGTTCGCGTTGGGGAGCACGCCGGAAAGCGGGCTCATGTGGGAGGTGGCCTTTGCCCAGCGGTCGACGAGGGCGGCCTTGTCGACGTGCGGTGGCACGAACTCATCGTCGGCGCAATGGAGGACGAGGATGGGTTTCGCGAAGCGGCCCCAGACGCGGTTGACGAACTCGTCGGAGAGGTCTGTGGAGAAGTAGTCGTCGTCTCCGCTGTAGAAAGGGGAATGAAGCAAAGAGGAGAACGGTCACGATGGTTAGTTACTGCTGGCCTCGAAGCTGATGCCTTCTTCTTCCCTTTTTTGCAAGGTAAGGAAGGCAAAACTAGAGGCGAGAAGAGGGGAGCATGCGGAGAGAGTGACTTACCCTTGGTTGCGAGGGAGTGGTACCGATAGGCGGAGATTGGGTCGCCGGCGAAGATGGGAGGGAGCTTTGCAGTAGGGAGACAGTCATTCTTCCTGCCTTCGGCAATGTACTGCTCTGCGCAGGCGAGGGTGTCGGCAAAGTCATGGTCTGGGAACATTTGCCCGAGGAGCTCAATCGACTGGCGGTCGGAAACAGGGCCTTGGAGGACGAAACCGTCGACAGGTTGGGAGTCTTGAGCGCCCGAGTTGACGTATTCCATGATGTCCTGGGGAAGCCAGGAGGTTAGGGTTCAAGAAGGAAGTTGAAAGGGGCAGGGGAGAAGGAAACGCTTTCTTCGCCCTTCTAAAGCCAGAAGGCCATAACACAGCATCCACACTTCCAAAAGGGGCAAGAACGATGTGTTTGAAAATGCTTACCTGAGTGCCCGTAGAGTGACCGCAGAGGACAATCTTGGACTTGCCGATGGAGCGGAGGTATTTCACGAGGGCGGTAATGTGGGCAACATCCTCGGTGAGACTAGAGGTACCGTAGCCGACGTAGGAGCTGCGCATGCGGAACTCGACAATGGAGTAGCCGGGACCGCCGTTGGCGGGGTCGAGGCGGGCGGCGATCTTGGTGAGGGCGGGGATGGTGTGCGGGCCGTCGCTGAGGCCGCCGATGACGACGAAGGCGTTGGGGAGGCGTCGGCGCCGGTCTCGTACGCCGTGGTGTTGCGGGTGGGGGAGTCGTAGTAGTGGACTCGGGTGAGGAAGGGGGCGGGCTTGTTGGAGGCCATGATGCGGGAGCTAGGGATGGGGAAAAGGAGTAGACGAGGGGGATTGGAGAATGAGAGTGGAATGGATCGAGGGAGAACAATGTGTAGACAGAAAAAAGGAGTAGCTCGATTTATAGCTTTGGAAAAGAGGTAGGACTAAGAGAGAGAAATAGATAGAGAGAGAGAGGCAGAGCTATACTGTTACACGAATACGATGGTGATAGAGCTGAGGAAGGATGAGAGCCGCGACTAACACAAGGGGGCGAAGACAAGGGGTGCGAAGGATGGTAGGGCGTAAGGTCTTGCAAGGGGAAGGCGTACTCCCACCGGATATGGAGCTCCTCTTCGGAATAGCTCCGATTCGGACGGGGTGCTGCCCCTCCTCTTGGTGCGCTGTGCTGTGTGCTCTCTGACAGCATAGATCCACCAGAATGTAGCCCCACCATCCACGTTGTCGCTGGCCAATGTGAAGCTCGAATGGGTTTGGTGGTGACGCCTAAACAGCTCAAACACGCGCCAAACACGCCAGACGAGTGCGCATCCAGGAACATATTTGTATAAAACGGCTGCTTGATCTTATATTGGGCCTTCATTCTTTATTTATTTTTCTGGATTTATTTCCATCATTAATATCGCGGACAGAATGAATAGAGGATCTGAGACTGGTCAACCAGAGTAAAAATTGAGGTTTATAGCAGCGGAAGACCTAAGTTGCCCCTCCTAAGCATTCCCTAGCTAGCCCAACCCCGCTAAAGGCGGTGGCAGAAACCCACTAATAGACTGGCTGCTCACTGTTGATATTAGAGCTCAAGCCTGGGGTGTAACTCTTTCTGAGGGTGGGCAACAAGAGCGATTGACCCTTTGCAATTTAGGAAGGCATCACTGAGCTCACCAACCTTCACTTAGGAAATCAACGTCTCACTTCCACTCACTTCACATTGATTTTGCAATCTGTACTTTGTATAGCCCACACCTTAAACCATCACCATCGCCGCTATTTTCCTTAATACACACCTATCATTTCTATCTAGAATTCAGCCTCAAGAGCTACTGGCTCACACTACTGTTGGGGTCAAAATCAAAGGATGCCTAGCTGGGGGCACGAGCATCACCATCCATCATGGAGACCGACAATCTGAGCACCTCATCACAAGATGTGATGAAGGATGCTCGAGCAAAGCTTTTCCGCCAGGTACACCTTCCATCCTGATCCTTGATCTCTCTTTTCATTGTTTCCCCGCTCCTCTCGCCGCCCCGTGCTTATAGAGGAAGAAGAAGAAGAAGAAGAAGAAAGCGGGCTGACGCTTTCCCCCAGCTCAAACCTCTTTGCGTCACTGTGGCCGGACTCACCACCACACCTCCAACGAGCGCCGCAGAAGCAAAGAGTTGGCCACTCGCATCGACGAGATTTTCTCCATTGTCAACTCCCACGTCGCAGCCAATGGCGGTAGCCAGATCCTGAACGACGGTCTGGCCGATTACATCTTCTGGCCCATCTCCCGCATCTTTGCCCAGAGGGACAAGTTCTCCCTCCCCGTCGTCGAAGCAGCGCTGCGCGGTATCTCCGTGCTCATAGCCAAGGGCTGGAGCGCTAAGAATCTGGCCGAGCTGTTCCCCCAACTCCTACTCTTATTTAGTACGATCCTCGGCAGCCGCCCCGATAGTGGGAAAGAGAAGTCGCCCACCGCGGAGCATCCGGAGATGGCCGAGGAGACTATTCACGAGGCTCTCGCCGCTATCCGGGTAGCCTTTTCTACTTCACGAGACAGTCCTGGGGCAGGCGCCATCTACAAATCGGAAAATTCCTTGACTCAAATCGGAAACACTCTTGCTTCTATCCTCGACCAAGCGCACAGTCCACTATCACCTGAGATCCAAACTGATGCCCTGACAACGCTAGATAATGCTGTAATGTCCATCCGGGATGCTCACACACTAGCGGGCTTCTACCCGGGAATAGCTTCGTCCCTCGCCAAGCTGCTGGCCCACTCGAGCCAGAGACCCCGCGTCTTGGTCCAGGCCATCGCTGCCTTCCGCTTAATCCTGACCCGCGTTCTTTCTAACTTTGAGGTCGAGCTCAGGGTGAAGAGATTTGAGCGCAGCGGCCAAGAAGACGTCCCCACCGAACCTTACTCACCCGAATGGCTCAAGTTGACCCAGGAGCAGACCCGGGTGGCCCTCGGGACCGTGCTGAAGCTGCAGCTCAGCGACTCAGAAGTCGTCCGTGGTGAGCTCGAGGATTTCTGTATCAAGGTGTTGGACGAGTGCCATCAGTCCCTCCAGAACTGCGCCGACATCCTGGTGGAGGCGGCCATCATGGTCATGTCGAAGGACCGCCTCGATTCCCTCATGGAGACGTCGCTCAAGGAGCTGTGCATGGTGCATGAGAAGACGATTCTCGAAAACGTGCGCAAGGCCGCGTTTGATAGGGCGCGCAATTTTGGCAGCGTCATGCAGATGGGGGATGAAACCAAGCAGCGGCGGTACCTGCAGTTCCTCGTCAACGCCACGACCGTGCTAGGCCAGATGCAGAAGAGTACGGCTAAGGCGGCCATCATCCACGGCCAGATCCTCAAGGGCTTCCGTGAGGCGTTTGACAGCCAGAGCCAATGGGTCAAGACGGCCGAGCGCGTGGTCCTGGACGACGAGGACCTAGACACCGTCGAGAGCACCACCAGGTCCCTCATCTCCCGCGGCGCGAGTAGTCAGCAAGTCTTCCGCCCCATAGCCCTGGCCCACGAAAGCCAACGTACCGCCCGAGACCTAGTTGGGCAGCTCATCGCCAAGCTGGGAGCACCCGAAGACAAAAGCCGATACGCAAATACCCTGACAGGATACGCCCGGGACGCCACGGACCGCCATAGTTTCTCGTCGTTTTGGCTCGCCTTCAAGCTCGTCCAATCCGCCCTGGAAAGCACGGGCGACGAGTTCGACATGTTTACCGTCTTTCCCGACGATGACGAGAATTCGAGTCTCGGCCCCGCCGGCAACCCCCAGGAAGTGCTCCAGGACATGTTTAGCTTGGCCTCTTTTATCATTTCCCTCGTGCTCAAACCATGGAAAGCGACTGGAGGTCGAGGGCCCAGGCTCTCGAGGTCATCGAGTATACGGCGCGTCGGCTCAAAAGAGACTTTAGGCCCGAGCTCATGGACGTGCTCTTCCCCATCAGCACCCTCCTCGGCGACGAGCACCCCGAGGTGCGCCGCCACGCCCTGGTCACCCTAAACGCGCTCGCGGCGCACTGCGATTACGCCGACGTGTCGGAACTGATTGTGAAGAATGCGGACTACATGGTCGACGCTGTGGCGCTGCAGATAAACTCGCTAAACCTGACGCCGGCCATGGTGAACGTCTTGGTCATGATGACCCGCGTTACGGGACCCAAGATCATTCCGTACCTCGAAGATGTCATCGAGTCCATCTTTGCTGCGCTCGACAATTTCCACGGCTACCCCGTTCTGGTGGAGGCGTTGTTTACCGTCCTCAAGGAGGTCGTCGACCAGGGTGCCAAATCGCAGACCTTGCTCATAGAAGCAGGCGAGGCGTCGCGCGTCGACCACCGCAAGAAGCAACCGCCCAAGCTGACTTTTGAGCAGGCCCTAGAGGATATCGAGGCAACTAAACGCAAGTGGGCGGAGCGGGATGAGAGGGACCGGGAGATTGACGAGAAGATCAAGACGGGGCACCCGACGGTTCCTTGGGGTGATTTACATAAACAAGGCAGCCGGGTGGAGGAACTTCTGGATGAGCGGGAACGGGAAATGGATGAGGCGAGGAGCACAACGTCAAGTCACGATGGGGACGATGTTGAGAATATGGATAAGCCGAAAAAGGGCAAAGACAAAGCTAATGACAACGGCAACGAAGAGGAAGATGATGATGATGACGATGCCCCTTCCCAAGCTGGGGATGAGGATGAGGAAAAGAAGGCAAAGAAATCCACCACATACACACTCCTCAACCGCATCGCCAATCTCACGCAACACTATCTCACTTTTCCCAGCCCTCATCTCCGCAAGCAGCTCCTAGGGCTCCTCGCCACGGCTTCGCCCGCGTTGTCGTCAGACCCCAACACTTTTCTTCCACTCATTAACGACGTGTGGCCCGTGACGATGGCGCGGCTGTACGACTCGGAAGGCTTCGTCACCATTGCAGCCTGCGAGACTATTTCCGCCCTCTGCGTCAATGCGGGCGACTTTATGTCCTCGCGTTTCAAGACGGAATGGGGCAACGGCTTACACAAGTGGTGCCTCGCCGCGAAGAAGAACGCGGAGAGGGCGACGATGGGCAACCGACAGAGGCAGCAGCAACATCAACAGCGTGGCATCGGCGGGCTCATCTCGGCCATCGACAGCAGCGACGTGGGCACCCTCCGAATGCCCTTGGGAGGCGGGAAAATCCTCGAGTCCTCCGCCAAGGCGAGGAGCGCGGCCGACGACGGTGGCGCGGCGCTAGCGGCGGCGGCGGCAACCCAGCTAGAAATCAGCGGCGGTCTGGGCAACTACGCGCTCGCGGTCAAGGTGTGGGAGGCGGCGGTATCGCTCCTCGCGACGGTCGTGAGCCATGTGAGCGTGCCGCCGCTCGTGTTTGACGAGATGCTGGACCTGGTGGCGGATTTGCTGCTCGGGCGGCCCGAGGTCAAGGAGGCGTTTGAGCTGGTCAACAAGGATGCCGTGTGGCTCGCCATGTACGAGAGGAGAGGTGCAGTGGCGTGCGCCGCCCAAGATTGAGGGTGGGATTTCGTGCCCATGACAAAAGGGTTTGGGTATCCGGGGCCGGATAAGGTGGGCGAGGAGGACAAGGGCGTGAGGGAGGAGGAAGATGACGAAGACGAGGAAGAAGACGACGATGAAGATGAAGAGGAATAAGTATAAAAGGGGAAAAAAGGAAAGAAAAAGGAGATTTTTCCGTTCGGACACACTAGGCGTTGGAACAGAGATGGAAGGGTGGTCGGATTCAGGGAATATGAGAGTAGGGGCTTCGCCCGGCGCATGGATCTGGTGTTTACGGTATAGGAATTCACTGCGAGTTAGAAGATAATGAGAGACGAAATTCTATATTACTATGTGAGCAACGGTGTCGCGGTCTTTGTAGCAGGCAAGACTCTCAATGAGCGAGCCAGGCGAGATGTGAGAGGATCACGGGCACTTATACCTATTTCTCCACCTCAGAGGGACCTTTTCCTAGCATCCGCTCTGCGTTTTGACCGAAAAGCGTATCCGCATGCGCCAGAGGAACCCTCGAGCCATCTTTATTCTTCAGGAGCCTTATAAAAAAGAAATTACTTTTATGAGAATAATATTGTTTGTCTGGTCTTTCCCATCGCCTGTAACGTTGAGCCATGTAGTTCGCTGACTAATCACACGTCATCCCTCAAGTTCATCGAGATCAATGTTCGCCTCGTGAAATTCCTCCAGCGCAATCATCCAAAGAAAAAAAAAAAAGGCGTCCTCCATCGCGCCCCTCTCTTTCCCACCCTCATACTCTCCATCGCCGATTCCCTCCCCAAGGCCCGGAAACTGATATTCGCGAACCGTCTCTGAACCGAGAAAGAATACCCCCACAAAAAACCACCAGACACACTATAGTTACAACACAAGCACGCACCCATCCAAACCATGGGCCTCGTCGACTACGCCTCCGACTCAGGCTCCGACGCCGAAGCCGGCCCTTCTCCTCCTCCCCTTCCCCCTAAATCCAACCCTTCCAAAACCACAACGACAACGACAACGACAGCCACCGCGAAACCCGGCACCGCCCCCAAGAAACCCTTCCAAAAACTCGTCGACCGCGCCGAGCCCGGCAAAATCCGCGTCAATCTTCCTTCTACCTCCTCCTCCTCCTCCGCCCTCGATACCGTCGCGCCCCCGAACCCCCACCAAGAGGGCCCGCACCGGCGGCGGCGCCTTTAGCGGGTTCAACGCGTTCCTCCCCGCGCCCAAGAAACCTTCCCGGATCGGCGGCGGGGTAGGCGCGCCGTCGGGCGATGCCTCGGTGTCGTCGGGCGGTGCAGCGCAACGGGTGGGCGCTGGTCTCAAGACGGGCGCGGGGCCCGGCTTCGTGCGCGGCGGCGATAATGATGGCTCCTTTTCCAGCATAAGCGCGGGCGCGGGGGCGCCAAGGGCCCCGAAATCCCAGAGGGCATGAAGAGCGAGGAAGAGGTCAAGCTCGTAGGGAAACCCCTACGCTTCATGCCGCTGAGCGTCGCTCGCAACGCGGCCGCCAAGAGGAAAAAGACGACGACGACAACAACAACAACAAAACCCCGCCCGTCACTTCCACTTCCACAGCCAATGCGACGACAGCGACAACAAGTAGCGCCGCGGCATCAAAGCCCGACGAACCACCCCCGCCAAAAAGAAAAAGTCTCCCTCTTCTCCCTCGACGCCCCTCCCCTCCCTCCACCACCGCCCACGACGACTACGACGACGACGCCAACGACCCCTCCCACGAAGACTACTCCCCCACCTCGCCCCTTACCCCCACCCTCCGACCCTTACAACCCCACCCCCTACTACGAACCCCAAGAACACCAGCAAGCCCAGGAACCCGAAACCGTCTCCTCCCTCGCCTCCAACCTCAACCTCGACGCCACCGCCATGCGCGAACTCTTTGGCCGCTCCTCCTCCTCGGCTCGCGGCGGCCCCGCCGGCGCCGTCGACCCCAACACCCGCGTCGTCAACTTCAACCTCGACGCCGAATACCGCCGCAACCAGGCCCTCATCGCCTCGGGTGAGCTCGTTCCCAACCAGCGGCCCGCCCGCGCCGCTATCCAGGGCGGTGGTAAGCATAGCCTGCGCCAGCTCGTCAACGCCGTCGCTAGCCAGAGGGACTCCCTCGAGGAGAGGTTCGCCGAGGGCAAGAACAAGCGCAAAGAGGCTGGTGCGCGGTATGGATGGTGATGCGGTGATGGCGGTAATGATCAGAAAGAAAGAAAGAAAAAGGGGGATGAAAAAGGGACAATCCATTCTTCTTCTTCTTCTCTTTGCCCCTGTCTCCTTGGACGTCGGTGACCCACGCACGGCTTGGTTTTCTTGAAAGAAGCCGGAACTTCTTGTACACAAATTTAAATGGAAGCGCATCATCTCGACAGGTATATCGATATTTTGGACGTTATCTCTCAAGCATATATGTATAATCAATCCATCTTATACAAAGCATCAACCCCATGGATCTATCCGCCTCAACGTGTCACTCTCTTCAGTTCAGTCCAAACAGAAGAAGAGAGGAGAAAGAAGAATAAAAAAAGAAAAAGTCCTTCGACGCCTTCCATGCTCTCTAGCGTTTAGAGGCTCATATATGTACAGAGAATCTAAGGGAAAACACCAAAAACGAAAAGAAAGGAAACAAAAACAGCCCACCGCGTAGATCGTAGTGATTCATAGCAGCAAGGCAAGAAAATTGAAGGGCAAGGAACGAATACATAGGGGTTATCGTCTGAACAAGGGAATAAAAGAAAAAAAAAAAAGAAAAGAGAGCCAAGCTGATTGCACCACTACCATGTCTCCACCGCCGCCATCTTGGGTTGGAAGCTCGGATCCGAAAACAAAAACCCCCACTCGCCCCTCGTGATGGGGAGATATCGTCGTAGCCGTTGGGCGTCATAGGGCCCAGTCTCGACATGTCCGACGCCCGCGACGAGTTCCCGCCAGGGCTCTTGAGGATCTGGTCAATGGAGGAGCCTCCCAGGGGGACCGCGAGGGTGGGCCACATGGGTTTGAGCATCGCACGCTCCGGCCGGGCCGTGAGGTCCTCGTCCTCTTCAACTCTGCTCCCGGCGGCGGGGTCTTGTTGTCTTCGGCGGGGTCTCCCTGGACACCGGGTCGAACGTGGTCTGTAATCGAAGAAGTGGAACAGGCGTTTTGGGGCTACTCGTTGCCGGTGCTTTCCATCCCAAGGGGGTAGAGAGGATAGGCACGGGGCGCTCGAGGATGATGAGGGGTTGGGAGGGAAGAGGCCAAGATTCTTCCTCAAGGGGCGATACCTCGTTGTCCTCCCGGATAAAGAGGACATCATCAATGGCCTCGCATATCTCGATCTTGATCTCGTCCACAGACGTGTGGAACAGGTCCCGCATCTCAAACTTGACCTCTGTCATACCTTCAATCGCGCCAGTCCCCAGAGGACCGCCATACGCGCGGCGGTACATGCGATCCAATTCTGCCAGGGCGGCGTCGCTCAAGTTTAGCCAGTCATAGGATCGGAGAATGTCCGCCTTTGCGATCTTGCGGCCGCCCCGGAAAGGAAAAGCCTCCGCAGCTCGTCGACGGCATCCTCTAGGCGGAGGGGCATTTTGTTCGGGAGTAGCTAGAAAGGGCGGACTTGAAAGTGTACAGGCGGTCGAGGGCGTAGAGGGTCAAACCGTGGGACGAGAAGAGGGTCTCGCCCTGGTTCAGGGAGCGACGGATGATGCCGTCAGTAAGGCCGTAGGTGGAAGCGTACTCGACCGTGGGGAGCCACTGATTGCTAAAGTTGCCACAACAAAAGGGTTAGAAAATTCCAAGGAAGCGGCAATTCTTCTTCATTATAAAGATAAAAGGCCGAAACAAAAGCTTTGATCCGAGTGCACATACCCAATCTTGTACTTGCGGGCAGCCCGTTCCAGGACCTGCCCTACAGCCTGCTCGTCCTTGGCGCAGAGCACATCACCGTGCACCAGACGGATGCTAAAGGGGCTGGAAGAGAGCGACGTGGCATCCGCCGTGCTAGAAGGAGCGGTGGTCGCCGGGGTCATAAGCGGCATCGACATGGGAGTTGCGGGTGTGGCGGGAGTACAAGGCCAGCTAGGCCGGTCGGAGGCAATGCTGCACGCTGCGGAGCTGTAGGCGGTGGTTCGGGAGGACACCGACCAGGTGGGCGAGGTAGCAGCGCTGCGCAGATCAGTGGTGTTGATAGACGAGTTCAGGGAGAGGACGGGATGGGTGTTGGACCGCGTCAGCCGCTTCTTGACGGAGGCGGCGAAGCCCATCACGGAGGACGTCGGGACAGGAGCCGGCGAGGCGGGCGGCGAGAACATGGGGCTGTTGCAGACGGGAATAACGGATGGGGTATGGTATTCGCGGCAGACGGCTACGAGAGCAATCTGCATTCCCTTACGGGAGAAGCGGCGTGCAGCGTACTCGAGAGCTTCCGTAACGCGGGTGGGAATGTGATGAATGTCCAGCAGGGAAGTGCCAGCCTCGAGAGGCGTGGAAATACAATCCTTGGAAAGCGCCATGACGTATAAAATAGAGAAAGAATAAAAATGATTGTGATGAAGGGTTTTACACTCGTGTCTTCGGTTTGTGGATAGGTATGAGCTCCCACTGAGGTCAAGTTCGAATCCGAGCTACAAAGAATAGCAAATGAATGCCTCTATTGCAGCAATGGCCCAGATACGTTTGTTTCGTTTACCTACACAACCAGTTTCTCTCTTTCTCTCACTCTCTTTCTTTGTAAGAACAGAGATGAGTATTTATGTCGGCAAGCTCGTGAGTGGGGGATGGTGAGGGAGAAGAGAGGCTGGTTGATCGAGGCCCATGGTGACGGAGCTCGAATCTGGTCAGGGTGCCTCCGGAGACTTATATCGAACACAACGCCGGCAGAGAGACCAAACGATTGGGAAGCTGGGATAAAAAAGAAACATAGAGAATGTTTCTGATCTGGGGTTTGACAGGGTCTTCAGCGGCAAGGCTAGAAACTGAAACGAGCCGGGGGCGTATGCGGGTTCCTTCTGTGCTGCGTTTCAAGTGCCTTCCGCCGTGGTGGGATCTCATCACCGCTGGCAAAGGCGGACAAGCAACAAAATAAGAAACAAAAACACTCGGCGGGAAAAGAGATGAAACCAGTACGTAGAGTTGTGCCTGACCATGCATGTGGTCGTCTTTGGGTGGGCCAACTTTGTTTACCAACACTAGCCACGCGGGCCAGTTCTGGCGGCCCAGAAAGGGTTCCCTTGAGAGCTGCAGCCGTACAAGGGGGAATTGCTCTATGATCCACGATGGCCTCAGGGAACAATAGCAAGGAAAGCGAGAGCCAGGCACTCCAAGAGCAAAGGGTAGGCAGTACTTGATCTTGAGCGCACTTTACTATCTACAAACGAGTCATTGGCACGTCCTCTCCAGTAGGCCATAAGCGCGGACTGTCCCCACCCGTCACACTGCATGAGATGAAGAGCGAGCAAGGTAGAAAGGAAGAAGAAGAGAAAAAAAGAAAGAAAACGACCCAAAGGGAAAAAGACGGGCAAAGAGGAAGCGCTGGCCAATAAAATGACAAGGCCCAAGCAGACCTCACTGACGGCCAACGAGAACGCGGGGAAGGAAGGGAAACGGCCAAAGTATCCGAGAGATCCCAGATGTGCCGTCACAGCGGAAGGGCCATGATTGGCTGCTGCTACCGTAGGGCGCCTAGCAGCATGACGTGAGCAGGGGGCAGGAGCGGCAGTAGCTCGCCCGCCCAACCGGCGGGTTTGTGCTATTTCTGGCACACGCTGGTCCAGGGCAGGAAGCTCAAAGCTCAAGAACGAGCACAGAGACCAATCAGACATCCGCCAGGGTCAGAGCCGCCCCATCAACCTCTGGCCGCCGTTGAATGAGGTTGCAAAAATAGCAATGATGAAGAGTCGAGATGGAACCAAAAGAAAAGAAAAAGAATAGGAAGGGTGGGAGAATGGATCAGGGCTAATTAAGTGCGACAATGACGTGGAAGCTTTTGAAACGCTTTCGAACTAAAGCTTCGAGGATTCTTCAAGGGGCGTTGAAGGAAAGCGCAATTGGCAACGCACAATTGGCAACGTACACGTTACGCGTCAGTCCTCCACACGGGGAAGGCGCACTTGGCTTGGGATGAGGTCAAGGCAAGAAATCGGCAAGAACAAGGGGCCCGAAGGCCTAAAGCTTCAAGTTCTCCTCTTTTCCCCCTGTCCTCCTCCTCCTTTTCCCCAGCGATCGGCAGACAGACTCCAAGGCTGGATCGACGGCCGCCGATCACCGCCAGATTCTCGACGCAAAAATATTCATGTGAACCACCAGGCTCGGCCTGGCTGGCTGGCCATATCCACGCCGGACGTGTCCAACATCACAAAACGAAAAACTAGGAGAATTGATGCAAGAACAGACTCAGCTTCTCGCGCTCCAAGATGACCTGCATCATCTTGATCAAATAAGCCCCGGCTTAAGCCGGATGGCGCTTCCATGCCGCTGTCCTGGGACGAGGAGTATTATACACAACACATGCACACCCACTCACGCAGTGGACGCCTCCCTCCCCTCTCGGACAACGAGGCTGGTGGCCGCCTCACCTCCCCCTAAAACCTGCCTTAGTACCTTTTACACTCTTCATCCTCCCCCTTTTTTCTTCATCAAGGTTGCCCTCTCCTGCTGTCACCTCTCCCCAGCCTTACCACACCTGCAAGTCTGACCTGGGGCGGAGGCCTGCCCCCTCCAACTCGCCTAGGCTAACCGAACCACGCCGCTCTGCAGTCTTTTTGGGCCTATAGTTGTCAATGTTTATCCAACACCGGCTCTCTTCTCCTTGCTTGATCTTGTTCCACAAGTCTTCAGCTCATGCAAAGAGAGCCTTCTTCACTTTTTTTTTTCTTTTTCTGCATGTTTTTGCTATGCTGAAATTCCCTACCTCGGTACACGTAGTTGACGTATGCGGCCAGGCTCCGGCCGCGAAGAACTGATCTTCACAGAGACTCTGCCAATCCCGTCTCGAATAAGGTCGGCAGCCTGTTAACTCCCAAGTTTCTCGCATACACCAGCTCCACGCCAATCACGCGTTACCTAGCCCAAAGACCCCAGTGTTGTGTTGTTCCTGTCCAAATTATACGCGCGCCCACATCACCTTGATCCTTCTAGCCTATGAAGAAGAATTGTTTGGACAATCGACACCCGCTACATTTTTGGCCTGATGTATGCCACGTCCTACCGCCCCTGTCCCCCCCCTCCCCCATCAATCCATCACATATCACATCACCATCAAGATGATACGCGGGAGGTGTTTCTCAAGCCTCTTTGCCTCAAGCGCTGGTGCGTCACAGGGGAATAAAACTAGACAAGCTAAAGAGTCCCGATTCGTAGATGACCGAGAACCAAGTATAAGTGATCCGAAGAAGCAACATGGTTTCTTATGTATACATGTAATCTTCACTTCCGTACCAATAGGAAGGAATACCAGAAAACGGCGCTTCCGTGTCATGGTCGCCATACCTCACCTCCTATCTGTATATCTCATGCCAAAAAGAAAAAAGGCTCCAAGTTCACTGGTGTACTATCACAAAAGGTGTGAGACACAAGTTGGTTGCACATTTTGAAGTACACGAAAGGCAAAATGAGTTGGAAGTAGATCAAGGCACGGATCGAAGAGGCAAAAGGAAAATGAAGAAGAAGAAAAAGAATGTATGATTTAGAGCCCAAATTCCCTTCTGGGGTACGCCGTATCCTTCTTTGTTTCCCCTTCCAAACCGCTCATGTTGCGCGAGGCATAGCAGATGATTCCATACAGAGTGTGTGGTGACAAATGTAAAATAACGTTAGAAAAGCAGGACAAAAGAAAAGTCGAGAACGGAGAGGTGGGAGGGGCCCAACAACCGGACGAGAAAACGCAAGTCGACCTGCCCGTATACGGCTGTCTGCTTCTTTTTCCACCTGAGGAACGGCGGGCGGGAGGCGGGAGGCACCTCTTCCCCAGGGACCAGGCCCCAAGCATCTCTTCACTTTAGCAGTCAATGGCTCAAGCCTATAGTCGTACCTTTGCCATAGACCTTCTCAGCGTTCCGTTGTCGGATTTTAAGTGCACCCTAGCCGAAAGAGAAGAAAGGAAGAACGAGAAAAAAGAAACAAAGGAAAAAACAAACCCAGGGAAAGGGTTAGAAGGACAGAAGTGCGGAAGAGGAAACGAAACTCCTTGTCAAGACGTAAATGCCGTTATCATATCTTCGTGTCCTTATCACACATAGCTCAAACGAGGCGTGCAGCTCCTCGAATGCCTCACTTCGAGCACGCGCCGGGAGCTCGTCACATAGGGCTGGCGCGCGAAGCCCTTTCTTCGACTTGTCGCTACTGCAAATCTGCATCCGCCAGGGTTTCAAAGGTCTCCATGTCTCCTCCAGACGACCCGCAGGAGTTATCCCATTCTGTTGCTACAAGTTAGCTCATGATTCAAATGTGCGTGAAATAGTCACTAGCCACCGGCGCGTCTGCCCGGTGCCCCAATGCAATGGATGCATGCAACTTACCGGATCCGTCCTCTTCCAATTCATCGACAGTGATACGCTTCAGAGCGTCAAGAATTGCTGTGCAAAGAAAAGTAAATGGTCAGCAATGATCCTCAAAGTCGGCCCGGACAAGTCTTAAAAAAGAAAAAAAGAAAAAAAGAAAAGGACAAAGACCTACTCTGGCTCATCTGCGCAAATTCCTGGTCGGGACCTGGCTCGTCCGGCTCAAGGTTAAAGTACGCCGAAGCCTTGGCTACAACGCGTTGCAAGGGGAACACCATGTCTTTGGCGACGTGGACTCGGCGCTGGATAAAGTGATCACGGAGGTAGAAGAGAGCGTTGAGGCCAAGCTCCCTCGCAGCTGAAATGAGCACTTCCTTGCGCCTCTCACCACCTGCTTCTGGCTCGAACACGGGCGCTACACCGTAATCAAAGATGGCTCGCTGAAGAAACTCGTCTGTCTGCCATCGAACTTCCCCATCATAGTAGCCGAGGAGGTATGGTGTCCACTTGGGGATCTGCGCCGTCATGCTGAAGAATATGGACCAGGGAGACACTGACGAGCCCGGGGCGGGCGCGCCGTACATCTTTTGGAAGAACTCCAAAAACGCGCGACCCTCGGTGTTGTTGAGCTGTCGACACTGGGCTATCACGTGGGTGAGCATTCTCAGCACCGTATCATCATCGTCCGAGGCCTTGCAGCAGGCTATCGCAGCCCGAAGGTAAGGTGCATTGGAATGTCCTTGCAACATCTGCCCCGTGATGTTTCCTCGCAGGGTCTGGAAAACCTTGAGCGCCAGTTGCCTATTAGCCTGTACCAGTCGCTGCATGATATTGTCCGTGGCCTGAAGTGACTGATTTATCTCTAGGAGTTTGCTCACAAAGATGCTGCTCCCGGGGTTCGTCGCCCATTCTTGATGTGCCGTCAGTACCTCCGTAGATGTCCACGCGGGTGATGTCTCACCGTGGCAGTACATGAGCAACCGAGTATCTGCCTTCTCCACAATACTGTCCGGGCCGAGAATCGGCTGCAATACTGACATCAAGTGGTCGGCCAGAGCAATAAGGTTCTCGTAGTTCGGCGGCCTGTTTAGTCCCCTTCGAAGCAGATTTGTCATCATCCTCTGATAATTAGGCGGGAGGTCGATTGACGAGTCGGCCTGGATGACCCGAAACAGTCGTGAAAGAAGATCGTTGTTTAGTAGCACAACCGTCTCCAGTTCTCCAAGCCGAGCAAATCTCAATATGGTTCCAAAGACCTCGTTCCAGGAGCGAAGGTGTATATGAAAGGCAAACCAGAGCGTGTCAAAGATGTGGGGACCTGAGCGACGACAACATCTTGAGTGTGCACCCAACCATCCGCATCATCTTGCCCTAGCGCATCCTCCACGACACCATAGACTCCTGGAAGCCTTCGCTTAATAGTTGCGACTGCCAGCATCAAAAGTTCCCCAGAGTCTGCCCGCACAAGCTGTTCCGGGTTCCTCTGGACCAGCATTCTGAAAGATTCATGGCGATCTCGGAAATATCTGAACAGTCCGAGGGCACAGCTGGGGCAATCTTTCACGGCCTTTGCCAGCATGTCATAGTAGTCGACAAAGTCAGGGATGTCTTTTGTCCGGCTGACTACCTGATCAAGGTGCCCCAGCGCTGCGTGCATTGCTGCCTTTTCCGCCTTGTGTTCTTGAGAGCACGCACCGCTATGGACCACGCAGTGCTCGAAGATGCGCCGGACAAATACAGCATGGTTTGGATCGAAGAGGCAGTGTCGTCGAAGAATATAAGTGTTTTCGTTACGAATGTGGTCCAGTATCTCTGCCGGAATGTCAACCTTGAGCGGGACGGACATGGTCTCCTCGTCTGTCCGAAGGGTATTAGATCGCTGATAGAAAAGCATGTACGCGCTGTAGTTCTTGTCGTAAACGATGCCGTTGTTGTCATATCGGAAATCCGGCCCACCAAAGGTCGAAGCCTCCATGGTTTCGGGATCCCATGGGCTGACAAGATCATCATTGAATTCTATCCACGTCTCCGCGCTCCCCGAAGATGGTCGCTCGCGAATGTAAGAATAGTAGTGCCCTGACTCGGCAGTGCCTGAGTGGACAAGGATTCCGACGAGCTCAAAGATATCCTCTGGACCCGGCGTGTCGGGATCCGACAAGTAGTCAATCGTGTACGGGCGCATGTCGATCTTTGTGGGGAATGAGAAGTAGTCGTTAATCTTGCTACGCTGCATGGTCCTCAGGTTGAAGTCGAATCGTTTCAGGTGAAAGATGAGGTTATCTGGGATATCCTTGAGGCAAGCCCTGAATTCCCAAGTTAGAACGGATATGGTTCGGCTCTCGATCTCCTTGTAGACCAAACCTACCTCTTGACGGCATCAACATGCTTGTCGCAAGTGGAGCATTTATACTTGTTATCTGGATGATCACAGGACGGTTAGCAATCACTCAGCATCTTTTGGTCTTCCTTCTTTCTCTTCTTTTGAAAAGACAAGTTAGTAGATGGGTTTTTCACTTACCACCTTCCATTATCTCTCCGCCGACATACGCCTGAAGGCTGTCCTGTAGAGTACCTTTGCCCTTGATGTCACACTGGATCGCGGAGAATGGTTCGAGTCTTTCGGAGACGTGCTCGCACTCCTTGGACTTGACCTGTTGTACCAACTCGCCGCCGTAAAAAGACCGTAGAATCTTCTTGTCATCGGAGTTGGGCAGTTGAAATTCCCATCGATCGAATAGGAGATTGTAGAATTCATCAACATCCATCTGATTATGGATATCGATCAGGGTGTCGTCATAAGTCTTGATCGAGTTCACCACAAGGTAAGGGTCTACAAAACGCCGAATGCTCTCCTGCATGGAGGCAAAAGCTTCTGTGTCTGGTAGAGGAGTTTCTGATTCGCACCATCTCGGATAGTGGCAGCAAGAATGAATCTCCGAAAGTCGGTGTTCATAAAAAGCTGTGTGAAGAGAGAATTCAAGTAGCACGTATTCGATAAGTTACGGAGGCCCACGTAGCCACACGGAGAACGTATAGCCTTGGTGCGCTCAAACTGCAACGGAAGATCATAGTGATAGGGGTCTAAAACTCTTGGGGTCAGTGTCCAAGCAACATCACAACACAATGGGGTTAAGACGAACCGTCTTCGTCCTTGTCATACGGTACTAGCTGCTTGAGATCGTCGAGTAGCCACTTAAACTGCTCTCCGTCTCTCTTGACTAGTTCGAAGATGACGTTATAAAGCCGCTCGCGACTGTTCCGGTTCAAGAGCACAGTTGACGGTGCCTCGTCCAATTCTCTAGAGACCGGGAAGAGGTAGCGCCACAACAAGTCTCTTGCGGTACCTCTGTTTGTAAAGGGATCAGCAACAGCGATACAGGTGAAGGGGCTGCCTGAAATACTGACCGTCTAAATAGCCGGTTGGCTGGGTCCGCAATCGAATTGTCGAGCTCGACGCAGCAGTGCAGCAGCCTTACAAGCCCTCCAATAACGTAATCATCAGGATCTGGGTCGCAAATGTCCTACAAAGAACCAAAAATTAGTTTTTCTAGCCCTTGCCACTGAAGGGATGGACCAGGCACTAGGGGGACAAAATTCGTGGGGAAAAGGTGTGGTACCTCGGAAGAACTTGACTCAAGAAGAAGGTTGCAGCATTGATCTGCGAGTTGGGCAAGGTCAAGAACAGGAGAAAGCTTGGGTAGGAGCCTCAAGATCAAGAACTCGGTAAGATTGAAAGCTTCTTTACAAGAAGCTGGGTGCTCAACCAACCGAGGAACGATACCCGAGACATAGGGCCAGAGAAACTCGGCCATTTTGAAGTTGAGGCGACTTGAACTCATGGACAGCGTCAGCCATGACATATTCCCATCTCAAAACGGATGAAGGAAGCAAAAAGAAAAAAGGCCGGGTTTTTGATCTTACTGTTCATCTCTGCAAGCTTCCTTGACGACCTTGCTAACCTTCTCTCGAATGGCAAACCTCGGGTCGAGGAGTAGCTCCTGCGTTAAGGTCCCAAATTCGTCCGTCTTGACCAGCTCATCCCAGCATCCGGCGCGAACAACACACAGGAGAAGGATGGCGGTGAATGTAGCTGGTATAAGTCGAAGGGAGTGCTCGTCGTTAGGGTTCGAATGAGCCTCCCGAAGAATCGCCAGTAAACGGTCCAAGGGTGGCGTACTTTCTTCCCAATCGGTCTCCTTGTTTGAAACAGATATTTGCCATGCTATTGCAACACAAAGGGAAAAAGAAAAAGGAAGAAAAAGGTTAGCTAATTGCATGGCACGTATCCACGGATTTTTAACAGGCAGAGCCCCACTTACTTGTGAGAAGGTCAACGAGACAAGTCATGAGCTGAAGACTAAGCTGTGATTTCAAATGACCGGATGGGCATCTTTCAATCACATTGGGGTCCGAGATGGCCGCAAATGTGAGTTTCAAGGCCCGTTCCATGGCTTCCTTGTAGCCATTTGACGAACCGTCACCCTCAAAGCTTGGCAATGCGATGTTGTTTCGCCGGCGGGCTGCGTCCGTATATTCGACAAGCGCGTAAAGTGCATACAGGCACTTGAAAGGCTGCCCAAGCGGGAATACCTCGAGGTACGACGTCGAATTCGAGTCTAGGACTTCAAGACGATGGCTATCTGCGGGGAGTTTGACAATAAATTGGTAGATCTAAGGAGGTTCGCTCACACAAGATGGTTAGCTTGGTCTCTGCCCGCGGCCAGCCCCGACTGGTAGTTTTACGATATCCTTACTTCTTGCGCAAACTTCTCTTCTAGGCTCAGATAGCCCCACAACTCTTCAAAATGACTGAGAATCGCGATTTCGAGGGGAGACACGCCGGGTCTCAGTCGCGAAGAAGGTGGGCCCCCATCCTCTTCACGTTTAACTAGGATGAGCCCGTCGTGTATCCTCAAGTCTTCGAGAGATTTGCAGACTTCGGTCTCGGTAGGAACAAACACCTGGCCCTTGTAATAAATGCGATAGTTCTGGAATCCCGTAGCTTCACGGAGGCTTGCCAGGAGCGAGGCAGCCGTGTTCTGCCTACCAATGTTAAGGGGTTGTACATCCGTCTGCTTGACGCCGTCAAATGACTGGAATTTGAGCTCTGCCGACTCACCAACGACCATGGTTGGCGAGAGGGGCATGAGCGGTCGTAAATCGGCCGCGGCAAAATGAGCCTTTGACTGATGGGCTTGTAGAAATTGGCGCAATACGGCCAAGGATCTGATAAACATGCGTTCCTGTTCAAGGACCTGTTCATCAGAAGCCACAATAACCATCGACTCTTCATCACCACTTCCGGTGCCATCACTAAACGACGTGAGCTTCTTGGCAGCCCCGCTTAGTTGGTCCAAGCACCGGTTGACAAGAGCGAGATGGACCTGTCGTGCTCGATGATGAGGGTAGTCGAGGATGGCTCTGCTCTCAATGTATATATCCTTGACCAACACATCGATTGCGGCATCGGAGACGGTCTCGTCAGGTGCGGTCAGTGTCATTCGCCATAGCTCTTCGATCCCGCTCTCCTTGACGCTTTCCTGACTGTCCAAGGTAATCATTCCGCTATTTAGGCGCGGGACTATCTCATCCTTGAGAAAACGCAAGGCACCCTCGCTGAAGCAGTTTGCAGGCAAGGTAGGAAAATGCACCGAGAGACAGTGCGACATGAACAGGCTATCAAAACCAGCTTGCGCGGCGGCGTCATTGAGTATGTGCCATCCGGAAGCCCTGTCCTCGGCAGATGGCGAGTCAGGTCCGACCATCATGTCCCAAAGTCTCTTGCCCAGTTCGGCGGTGAGCGAACCAGGCTCATGGCAAATTAGACTGTAGATGAAGTCTCTTCTTGGGGAATTACTAGCACCGGTCAGCACGTAGAGGCCATTGGTTGGGGTGCATAGCGAGATGGCATGTTCCAACTCGTTAATGAGGAGGCCACTGAGGTTGTGCTCGGCGGTCAGGACCTGTAGCTCCAGACCTAGGGCATGCCGGATAGAGATAAAAAGGCCAGAAAGGCTTCCGAGGGTAGTGGGAGATTTTGCCGCGATATCCTCGATACAAGTGAGGTATAGTCGCCTCCGCCCATCGCGGTCTGGGCCATGATGGTGAAGCTCGCGAAGTTTCTGGGCCGCGAATGCTTGTATTTCTGGGTAGGCAACCTGAGACTGGGCTGAGCTTATAGACGACTCCCGAAGAAGCCGTAGGCAAAGCTCGTAGGAAGAAAATTCAACAACTGGCGTTCTCCTTGCGTTTTTGACATGAGCTGCTTAAAAATCTGCTCGCAGAAGTGCCGGATGGAGGCTGTATTAAAAGAGTCGATAGGGAGCAGCTGGAGCTTTTCGCAAAAGTAGAGCAAGTGCTCTTGGTCGCAGAGATGGGTGATATTCGCAGCCATTCGAGTCAGTGCATCCGCGACGCGGCGATCCTGGCAAGACGTAATGGTTTGCCAGAGCAGGTCGGTCTGTTCTTTTTGATAAAATTTGGTCACGAGTAGGAATCCGACAACGTTTCCGCTTTCAATGGTGATCTCGGGGTGGCACGTTGGTCCCAAGATATATTCCACAAGTTTTGTGCGCATCAGGTACTCGGCAAAGTACGCAAGGAAGGCAGCGAGATCCTCTTGACCGTCGCCGCACCGGCGCCAAAACATGACAAGATCGCTACACATGTGTCCGACTGCCCAGACCCTGAGTTGCATCTGGCTCGACATGATCAGTTTCCCAAACATATTAAACCTCCATTCCCAAGCGATCGCGCCGGGAGCGAGATGGGCGGGCAGGTTCGGGTGGTTCTGAGCGTGAGCGGAGAGGATGTCGGTCGCCATTTTATGCTCGCCGTAGAGGGCGCAGTGGTAGATGTCAGTGAGGGATATAATCTGACCACTGGCGCCATCTGTGGAGAGGTGGTTAACCAGCCTCTCTATCGTATCGGAGAGGCTTTTCGACACGATGAGGTAAAATCGGTGGCTTTGGACAAGACGTTGTTTCGACTGGTCGATGGCTGGCTGGGATTGCCCCGCAAAGTGTAATCGTCGGTTACTTTCCCAGGCAAGGTCAGACACTACCTGGCAAACGGCAGCGGGCTGATCCACGAGCCGTGGATAACGCTCCATGAGCCGAATCTGGAAGTCAACGAGCCGGGTCAGAGCTTGGATAGTACCACCCGGCATTGCTTGGAAGCCCTGAACTAGTTCAGATATGAGGTCTGGCCGAAGCCACCCAGACTGGGAGTCGAGGTTGGTCAAGATGCGAGGCTCGTCTCTCCTAGTTAGGCTATGCATACTAGTAAGAAATGCATATGAAAAGTTTCTGGGACCCGGCCGTCGTCCAGATTCCCCGACTGGTTCGCGACACCGGCCAATGTCTGGCAATCCAGCGCCACGAAGAACGCGGTCAGTCGGGCAAAAATAAGATAGAAGGACGATATCGCCTGGCGTGGGAGGGTTGTTCTGTTCAAGGCCCTGTTGCAGGCAGCCCAGGCGAGATCTGGGAAAGACTGCCAGAGACCGCTGTTTTCCGAACAAGACTCGTACGCAACCTGATACCCGGCCGTTTCCGCCCATCGAATAAAAAGATCCGCCCACGACTGGAGAGATTCGAATAGGCCCTCTTCGAGTGGGTGTTCTAATGCAAAAAGGTGAGCCCAAGGTCAGTGCCTTATTACTTCGTGCTCGCGTGGGGAACCTTCGAATCCTCCGTGATGGTACAAGATACAAGGATGGGGGAAGAATAACTTACGGCTAGAAATGTAGTTTGCCAACCGGGAGACGGTCTCGGCCAAGGGCTCTCCCTCGTTGTAAGGGAATTCTAGTGTAGGATCCTGGAGCGCGTCTCCTCCTTCGCCAATGATGGAGACCTCTGGCTCGCCGTCTCCTATCATGGGATCAGGGTCGTCCGTGGGGATGTCAATCACCTCAATGTCAGGACTTCCGCTATCAGATAGCGACGTAACGGGCGTTGCGGGGATGGGCGAGGTTACAGCATCTAGGTCGACGTCTCGCTTCGAGGCGTTGGAGTTCATCTCGCGATCGGGGAGCTCGACGCTAAGCTTGACATCATCGGCGAGAGGGGGCTCTTGAAGGGCCTGCATAGATGGCGACGCAGAGGCGGAAGATGTGAAGTTGGCGTTGCGCAAATTGATTGTCACGCAGCTTGAACCGGGCTCAGCGGGGCCGTTGGGATTCGACGACATTTTGCGGTCGGGGGTTTGGGGGTCGAGGGATCTGTGTCCATGGCCGCGCCGTCAAGTGTTTCTGGAATGGGTTTGACCATGTTGGGTGGCACGGAAGTTGCGTCGCGTGGGGACTGAACCGTGTCAACAGAAAGACTTCGAGAGCCCGAGAGCGATGTGCGTCGTCGCTTCCTCGAAAAGTCGCCGTCGTCAAATGGGTTCGGCCTCGTAGAGGGGGTTCAGCAGAGACGGCGCGATCTCGAGCGTCGGGGAACTTGGAGCTTGCTCCATGAGGTAGACTGGAGTTAAAATTGTGTCACAAGTCCCAGAGCCAGGGCCCTGGACGTGACGACAATGCCCAAGGCGGCTCGAGAACAACTTGGAAGAATTAGCATGTGCGGTGCAGAAGACTTGAGCTTGTCCAAGGAGGCTGATGCTATGATGAGGGGCTCTTTGCTCGCACGGGGAATTGTGTTGTCGAGGCTTTGCTTTAGGAGCTTGTGGTGGAGCTAGGCAATCGATAAGGAGTTACACCACAAAGAGGCACAGTGTTGACAGATACACTTGACAGAAGGGAGGGGAAGAATATAGAGTAAGGGTGGGAGAGGGTAAGTGGGGAGGAGGGAGAAGGGGAGATAAAAGGAAGATCTATGAGAGAAAGCAGATCTTTGAAAGGCAAGGAATGGATTGTGGTGGTGGGAGAAGAGTAAAAGGCGAATACGGCAATGGGATCTTGCTTGGAAGGAGCACTGCGGGCAGGAGAGGGCTGAGAACAAAGTCTGGTCAGCGACTTCCACTGTAAAGAACTCGATTGTCCACTCTTGAGCAATAGAATTTTGGGGAAGGACCAAGGCGTGCCCTGGCCATCTCCAAAATGGGCAACGCTAGGGGTGTGCGTAGTAATGACGCGGCGGTCAGAGAGCTCCTTTTGCCAAATTTAGGGGATCAAGCGCCCTCCTTTCAGTGGACTGAGGGTGTCACCAAACGCGGGGATGGGGGTGGGTTCAGCAGCAATTACATCAACAGGCTCCCACCTCTTCAATCACACACAGTCGCCCTGCCCTCGGTCGATTCCAGTCTCCTCTCAAAGGCTGAGGCATGCGCCAAGCAACCGAACGCCTAAGAAACCATTGAAGGCGCTGGAGAACACACAACGATCTAATCCATCCATTCAATCAATGACTCCAGCCGAGCACGCAGAACGAAAGCAAGAGGATAAAATATGAAGTCGAAGGGGATGCAAACTGGACGAAGCCTTCCATCCTACCACCGCGTCCTACATCGTCTTAGGTGAGAGGAAAAAGACAAGGTACAATAGATCTAATGGATGAATCCAGCATTTGGTGAAGACAAGCTTTACAGTTTAACAGCAATTCTTGCTCTCAAATTGATGGATGAATATTTATTTTGGACGCGAGGCCGGAGAATCGCTGACCAACAACAATTACTCTATTGAAGAGTACCAAGTACATGCACGTAGAAGGCGCGCCCCCGACGAGCTCAAGCCAAGGCGAGCGCGGGGCGCGAGCGCAGACGGCTTTGTTCAGGGACGTGACACTGGAGATGGTGATGGCGTTGGTCGCCGTCAGCGAGATACGATTTCTTTATCACTCGGAAATCCGGCAACAGCAAACATTTGATAGAAGCACCTTGAAGCTCTAAGAAAGGAGGCTCAACCAGACAGCAAGATGTATGTGGCTGCGACTCCGACAACGAACGATTCTTCGCGAGCAGAAAAACGATAACTCGATAAAAGGCAGAAAATGGACAAGATAGTCTCACACATTCCCTTCTCTCCCTCGTCCCATTCCCGTCGAATTATCGAGATGCAACTTGCAGTGCTGCCTAGCTTCTTGGTGGGCTACACTAGGGCCCTTTCCGCTTTGTCGCAAGGCGGTGTTGGTGCATGTTTAGTCTTCCACCACGCAGCCAATCGATTACTATCCTCCCTCTCTCACTTGTGCCCGGTTGGTCTCCCGAGCTCTGAGACCATACTATTGATCAACGCCCCAACGCTAGAAACAATCAACTCTCGTGTAGAAGCGAAGGTTGAAGGGAAGGTTGTACAACAAGGTGGGGAATGTCAGGTCGATGGCTCCATCCGGAGCGACACAATTAATACACATTAGGCGCTGGAAAGAACCTATACCTCAAGTAAGTAAGAGAAGGCGAAAAGAAGGAAAAATCGAGATTTGAAGGAGAAGAAGAACTAGGGCGACTGCAATCGATTAGAACCATATATAAACGATACAGCACCAGCTTGAGGGGAAGAACCGAGCCGTGAATAAATCGGACTTCCACCGAGCCTCAAATTATCACCAAACTCAATGCACTGATTGGCTGATTAACACGGCAGCGGGCTCTGGCACCAGCAGGATAAGGCTCTAGTGTCATTTCGTCAGTATCCAATGTGAACATTGAAGAATTTTGTGACTTCCTTCGATCAATACTTTCACCCGCTTTTATCAGTGGTAAACCGATCCAAACCGGCTTAACCATACGTGTAAAACTTGGAGCTCGAGGCCACCTTGCCGCAGGATCCTCCCATTTTTTCTCGCCACAGCCGCCGCGGATGATCATGGAGCGAAAGAAGACCATCTATCAGCTTGATACGCCCTTCTCTGCTATAACCTGGTATGTCATTTCTCAGAAGCTGAAACCCGCCGCTTTCTCGGCAAGCTTCTCGTAAACGTATCCGTCCTAAACGAGTCATACAGGCCAAATATCGAAGAGGTCGCCGCCCAAGAAACTATTCTCGAGCTCTTGTACAGGTGAGGACACCAACCCCACGAGCTCAAAATCGCCGCCATCGCAGGCTGGAACCCTCTTTCTGCCTCCCGCTCAGAGGAAGGCTTGACTGTTTGGCTTACGATGGATTCTTGAAATGCACGTAGTCTCCTCGAGCCCGTTGGCCAGCATCGCCGCCTCTTTATCCCCCTTCCAGAGGTAAAGGAGCAAAGAGGCGGAAGAGGGCCCTAGAGCGCAAGGAGGCAAAGGCGACTGGTGAAAAGCCCGTCCCTCCACCTGCTCCCGAAATCGCCAGTCGGGTCGATGTCGGACTAGCCAGCATCTCACGCCGCCTCCAGAAACTGTCGTCCAACTTGGAAGAGGAAGAAGAAGAAGAAGAAGGGCCATCTGACACATCGTCGTCCCCAGTCTATTCGACGATTTTTGTTGCCAAACACGGCCAGCCCACTGCCTTCCACTGCCATTTTCCACAAATGGTCCTTGCCGCCTCCCAAAACAGTCGCTGTAAGGAAGCTATCCGGCTCGTCGGGCTCTCCGGCCCCTGCGGTGATCGTCTAGCTACAGCGCTTGGCGTAGCCCGTGTCTCGGCCATCGCGATATACGATGATACCGCCCCGGCCCGAGCTTTAGTAGACTACGTGCGAAAACACGTTCCTCCTATTTCTTCCGCATGGCTATTCCCGGGAGATTCGTCGTCTCCAGGGTATCTAGGGACCAATATCAAAGCCATTGAGACTGTGCAAAGAGATCCTAAGAAACCAAATGTGGATAGTAGTAGAAAGAAGGAGGTAGCAAGATAGCCCGCAAGAAACACAAAACATGATATACTATAATAGACTAATTCCCCATGATCCTTCTATACCTTGTCCATCACTGATAAACGCTCTGTATTCCGTATAGCCAAGGGGTGGCATTGGTAGAGGTATCTCTATCCATTGAATCCAAACTATACTTGGAAGACGGTGGAAAGGACCCCGTACCGGAGCGTTATCCAATGGTATAGTCTTTAGACTAGATAACACGCCCGCCAACCTCCAAGTAGTCTCCCTCTCAATGCAAGTACTGAACTCCCAATGGACATGCAATGAGGCATACGGATCTTGAACCCATTTATCCAACCTCTACAACAATGTTCACCTCGCAAAGTCGTCGACGGCCGAATGCAAACGTAGAAAGGCAAACAAGTCTCGATCCTTTGCCCAAACCAGTCTTTTCAGGAAGGCATGCTGTTTCAGTGTCTGCATTGAGACTGGTTGACTTGCTGGACCTTGTACACATATACCGACGTCTTTCGACCCATATAGTAAGCCTGAAAGAAGCTTGCGCCTCTAAGCCAAGTCCATTCCTCTGCCCATCTCATTGTTCAATTTGTCTTCCATCTTCTCTTCTGTTTGCTTGATTTCTTTATCGAGGAATCACTATATTCCACTCACATAATATAGCATAGCTACCACCTCAGCTCACCCCTTTACCTACGATAACCTAGCCCCTCTCCTTCGCAGCATGCCACCCACCTCCTAGCTGGGGATGGGCGCGCTCCAAGGCAAGACTATCTCCTCAAGCTCACAGAGAAGGAGCCCTCAAAGCCCAAGAGCAGTCCCACCATCTTCCCCAATCCACAACAAACATGACTTTGCAAAGTTCTCCCCCATCTACTTACTCCAAGACTTGTTCCAAATCACCTTAAACCCTCTACTAAGAATAGCCTGCTTTGTGTCCCCATCTGGTTGAAATAATAATCATCAGTAAGTAGTGCCTGACAGGATCTCCTCCCACTTTGCTTGATGCTCAGATGATCTGGAATCAGGAATGTCTGCCAACAGGCTCAGCCACAGCCAGCAGATGGAGGCCGCTCGGCAGCTACAAAGTCAGTATAAAGGAGCTAAGAGAAGCCATTCTACTTCCCAAGCTGGCGGCGGCCCTGCTCACCGAGGTGGTGGTAGCCATCCTCACTCAAGGACACAAGGTAAGGGAGATCATTCGGCAACTGACAGGATATTACCTAGCTGATAACGGTCACGCCTCAAGCTGGCGTTGGCCGACATGCCACACAGGAACCTATCTTCCGTTTTGATCCGAATGCGGCCCCCGGAGCACAGGTGAAGCCCGAGGTCGTCGACTGGCTGAATTACAAGGATGAGACTGCATCAGCGAAACCGGGAGAAAGCAGTGTCACTGCCCGCGACACAAAACCACAGAAAGATACCAAGCCTCAAGATGAGTATGAAGTCCAGTCCAAACAAGAGGTCGCTGCCGTTGAGAGTTGCGACCCAGAGAAAGCTGACGACGGCACCAAAATCCCTTCGAAGGCCAGTCAAGACCTGGCCGCTGCTTCAAAACCAACCAAAATTGCCACAACCAAGATAAGCGAGAGGATTTCCCATGTCGGCCAGGAGGGGCCCCTCGCAACAAAGATCCCGGGCCAGGTTGTCGCCAGCAACGAAGAGAAGGAGAATGATATCCCCTGACACAGCATTTCAAGCTTCTCCAACTCGGATGGCGCCCTCCATCCCCAAGTCCAGGCAGCCCAGCCTTCTCGGTCAGCGGCCAGAAGCCAACCTCCAGGAGCGTCCCCATGCCCGGCCAAGAGGATACCGCAGTGAGCCCGCTCTTCACCCCTACCCAGCCCATATCGCCCCAGGTAACCACCCGAGTCGGACGCCTCGTCTACGTCGGCGAACCCGAAGACCTCATCGAATTCCCCGAAGAAAACGAAAGAAATGCGCAAACTAACCATCGTGATAAAAAGCCCGTAGCACGCACGGGTCCGGCTACCTGCAACTGCAAACCCGCGGCCCGGCAGACCAAGGGCTTGGCCGACTCGAAATGGGCTTCTCCGTCCTTCCGATCGCTCGGCCACTTCCCCAGGAACACTGCTCTCCTCGGCCATGCCGTGGGCTGCCCCGTCCGAGTCCAGTTCGAGATGGCCCACCCTCTCGACTGCGGCGCGAACCCGGCGGCTTACCACGGTAATGACTCGGGCGTTATCCATGTCCAACTCCCCGCGAGGACGACAAGCAATCGCTTAATGCTGAGGCTAAACCATTTATCCCCATGTAAATTGGAGATGGGAATTAATATTATTTTTCTGTGTGATGGTGAATGGGACCAAGAAGGGCGCACTGGGGGTTGTGACCATCTTGAAGAAGCCAGACAATAAAGGAGCGAATAGAACTCGATACAAGGTTTGGTAGGGGGTACACGTTGAGTGAGAGGAATCATGACTAGGGCAATACGGATAAAATGCTGAGTACTGGGATGGAAACTTTCTCCTTCTATGGGAGACGGAGTTGTTGATGAATTCCGCACTTTGAGCAAAGGCGTTAGAAAGGACATGGGAACTACTCCACCTGTCCTCCGAAAGAATTGAAGCCGTTCAAGGCAGCACGCAGATAATACAAATGGATCAAGCCTACCTCAGTATGGTATTGATCAATCCCATTGCCTCAAGGGCTCAAGAACGCGAGCACGCCTGGATTTAGGATGAATGTATACGGATATGACGCTTGAAACAACCAACGCCGGCGAAGCTTTGAAGAACGAATAGGTATAAATTTTACGCGAAAATTACTTTTTCTTTCCAAAGTTCAACAGAAAGGCCGGCTAAAAAATCTACTTGGACATGCCCTTCTCCAGCAACTTGACCCCTTCCCTCACCATGGGCGAAAAATGCTTCCTCAAAATCTCCCCTTCCCAGACCGTCGCAGCAAAAGGATTCGAGCTCTCAAAGTTGTCGGCGAGGGCATTAAAGGTGCCGTTGCCGATCCTGTGCTCCGTGTTCCAGAGCCCCGAGACCTTCTTCCCGTGCGTGTCGGCGACGTCGGAGAGGAGAGCGAGGATGGCCCGACACGACTTCTCGGGCAGGTGCAGGGCGGCGGTCATGAGCTGCTTGGAGAAGGAGGCGAGGCGGATGGGGGCACGGAGCGGATGTTCCAGGGGGCAAGAGGATGTAGGTGAGGCAGCGCACGAGGAGGACGGTCGTGGTCTGGAGGTTGACCTTGTTGCCGGTGGACGGGGGCGGGACGGGCTTGGAAGGATCGGGGAGGTGAGTCCTAGAGGTGAGCTCGAGGTCGGGGTTGGTGGAGAGGGCGTGGAGCGACCTGTAGAGGTGGTTGTTGAAGAAGGAGAGATCAAGGTGGAGTGCCGTGCGCGAGTTGTGAGCGCCCTGTCCAGCGAGGAGGGCAAAGGCCGTAATGGTGCAGAGGAGGGCCTCGCGGCTGGCGTTGCGGATATTCTCCTCATCCTCGTCCTCCTCGTCCTCCTTCGCCGCGTCCCCTTCATCATCTTCGTTACCGATAGCCGCCTCATCGGCGTCAGCGTAGCGGATGAGGTCCTTAAGAGCCTCGAGGAGATCACCGAAAAAGTCTTGGTTGATGAGGTGAGCGTACTTGGCGAGACCTTCGAGCACGGCGCCCATGAGGTGCGGGGCGCGGAGCTTGAGGATGCGGAAGTAGGTCGCGAAGACGAGCTTCAGGGCCTCGGATTGCAGACGCTCGCGCTCTTCGTGGTGGACGAGGGCGTCCGTCTGTGCTGCATCCCTCTCGAGGGCTTTTGCTCCTTGATCGACTTGCGCTCGCGCTTCGTGCGGAAAACTTTCTTCTTCTTGAACCGTTTCGCCGAACCATCCTCATCCTCCACCGAGTTCAAGGAAGCCTTGCCGGAGAACTCGGACAGGAGACGTAGGTGGAGGAAGACGTTGACCACCCTCTCGTCGACGTCGTAGTCCCTGGCCTTCATCATCCTCGACAGCGTGGAGACAACGTCGTGGGAAGGACCGCCATCCTCGTCTTCGTCAAAGAGCTTCTCTATAGCCTTTTGGCACTTGATGAAGTCGCCGTCGACCCTCCGCCTGCTCAGCTTAGCCACTAGAATCTTGATCAGGTCGCTGCGAAAGTTGAAGTGGGGAACGCTGTTCAACAGGCTGCAGGCGCACGTCGTCGCGATACTGGGCAGAGTCTGGCCCTTGTCTTTCCACGAAGGCCGCGATCTCGCCAGCTGGCTGATGTTGCGGACGTAGGCCTGATAGCCTGCGAGCAGAGACTGCTCGTACGACCGCATGCGCCGCACATCCTTTGTAAGCTTCTCTTCCACCACGGCCTCGGCGGCCGGACGTATCCTGTAGCCTGGAATGACGTCCTTGTACACGGTCATCTGCGTGATGAGAGCCAATTTCCGTATCGCAAGAATATCAGACTCTCCAATCTTGGCTAGCGCTCGAAAGGCGCCGGCATTCTCCTCGGGATCCTGATTCAGCGTGTTGGCGATCTTGGCCAGCTCTTCCTGCGCCTCGATGATCTGTTCGGTCTCGGACTTTTCCGGCTTCTTCTTCGCGGGGCGCTCCGGCCTCTCCTCCTTTTCTTCCAGCCAGTCTTCCTCGCTGTCGGCAGCCTGCTCGTCCTCGTACTCGACTTGTTCTATCCGTCCGTCGGCGGTCTTGATGGGTAGTCTCGTGCTTTCTTTGGGCTGGCTCTTTTGCTTCTTCGCCTGTCTCTTTTGGTAATTCTCTTCGAGATTCCAGGTCGAGGCACTGTTGTAGAAATCCTTTTGCAGCGTCTCGGCGGAGACGGTGGACTTGCCCGCCTCTCTTATGGAAAGCTTCCGCTTTTTCGGGACGGAGGCCGCCATGGTCTGGGAAACTCGCTGTAAAAATAGCGGACCGGAATTGAGAAGAAAATAGATTCAAGGCGGAGGCAACCCTCTTTGTAGGCCCTCTACTTTTGGTCTTCTTCTTTCTCCTCGGGGGTGTGATATTTTCGTTTCTCGTCCTGTTTCTGGTGATCCCTTGGTCTCGGCGTCGTCCAATCCCCAAAACTCACCATCAATTGAGAAGTGCCAAAAAAAAAAAACCGATAGACGGCAGCAAGGTGGGGTCTTTGCCCGATGTTTAGCCAGGTACCAAAAAGTTCCCTCACCGCCAAAAGTTTCGAGCTTTTCTGCCAGACCGCCCACCCCTCCAGTAAAAGTACAACACTCTCTAGTATTAACCCGGTGAGCAAAGACTGGAATTGACGAAGCGCTTTTCCTTTATTCGAGCCCTCACACCTCATCCACCCTCCCCAAGACTAGACAAATCCCGACAAGACCGCCCCTCACTTCCAAGATGCGCCAACTCACAGAAAAGGAGACACAAACGCTCTTCGGCAAGCTTGCCAATTACACCGGCAGCTCGCTCAAGAACCTCATCATGCCCCTCGGCGACGGCCCCGATGCCGACCGTTTCGTCTTCCGCCTTCACAAGGACCGAGTCTACTACGTCCGCCTCTCCATTGCGAACATTGCAACTTCGATAGCGCGGGACAAGTTTATTTCCATGGGAGTTTGTCTAGGTTGGTTCCTCCCCAATGCCACCGCCTGGCCCGATCTTCATCTTTCACTCTCGTTTCCCCTTGTCCTTCAAAGTCCTAGCACATACTGTTCTCTCGACGGCACGCTGACTTCACACTCTAGGAAAATTCACCAAGACCGGAAAGTTTAGACTTCACATCACAGCCCTCCCTGTCCTCGCAGAACATGCCCGCTACAAGATTTGGGTCAAGCCCAACGGCGAAATGCCGTTCCTGTATGGCGGCAACGTTGTCAAGGCCCATGTCGGCCGCTGGTCCGACGATTGCCCAGAGCACCAGGGCGTCGTCGTCTACAACATGAACGACGTACCCCTTGGCTTTGGCGTCACCTCCAAGAGCACCTCTGAGGCAAGGCGGCTCGACCCTACTGGTATCGTGTGTTTTAGGCAAGCGGATTGCGGCGAGTACCTGCGAGACGAAGCGAACTTGTTTGCTACCGGTTAGGGTGGCATTTTGTTCCGCCTCCTTTCTACTTCTTTGATTCTTTCTTTTCTTGCGTTTGCGGGGACTCAAAGGACTGTAAGTGTTGAGGCAGGGGATGGGGGAATGAATTGGAACGATGAAGCCCGCGTGGCCAGTATGGAATATTCATATCTATTTCTTTTCATTTCTATTTCTTGTTTTCTAGGCAGCATGGCGCAAAATGAGAGGCACACACTTGGGAATACAAAAGAAACTAAGAGAGCATCAAATGACATTCTCGTTCGACTCAACTCCATCTCTTTAACTTGGAAGTTTTTATCATGTGGTCTAAACGTAAAAAAAGAAAATCATACGTAATTTCGTCTATCCGTCGCGGAGCCTATTTCACCCGTCTCTTGCAACGACTACCTTTGTGACGCCGGGTTGATGGTGATGGCATCAATCGTAGTCAACCCCGGCAGAATTGGCATGTTTTCAAAGCTGGGTGTGACAGGCCGGCTCACACTCTTGAAAAAGCTAATATACTGCCGAGGTGCGACATACTCGCTGTCGGCATAGCCAAGAAGGCCGCCAATGTCAACGCTCTTGTGTCCCTTGATTCGGGCAACTTCGGGTGCGGAATAATTGACAATGGCCCGGCCCACTTCTATGCCAGGGCCGATGTAGCACTTGCCGTCGGGTCCAGGGGTCGAGAGCCTGTCTACCACAACAAGACGGACAGCTTCATGCTGGGCAAAGTTTCCCTCAACATCAACGATGCCGATGGGAAGGAGGCCAGCCTTGTCCTGCAAGGCCTTGTGAGCGCCATTGTCAATGTAGAGAGTGCCATGAGGGGCCAGCCCGTGAAGCACCCAAAAGTGCCGATCGCGAACGGGTTCAGCGTCCGGCACAAAGCGCGTGTGCAGGGGGAATCTCAATATCAAATGAGGCCAGAGACTGAGCGAGCGATACCGTAGACTGGGCCAGCTCTTCGTCGGTGAGGTCAAGTACATTCTCGCCATTGATCACGGGGTGATCTGGGGCGAGCCCTTCGTAGCCTCGATGTACCGGACCAGCTTGGAGATGTTGGCCGGAGAGGAAGCTCGGGTGACAACGGTGGTGACACCTGCAGAGGTTGCAATGCGGGCAGCGACGATCTTGGTCGACATGCCCCCGGTCCCCAGCGCGGAGCCAGCCGAAGATACTAGATTAATAAGTCAGCGACATTGCTCCACCGAACAAAGATGCAACCTAGTGGGGAAAAACAAACCATCCGCCTGCAAAAGGCCTATGTCCTCCACAATTTCGATGGGTTTGGCATCCGGATGGGTCCGGGGATTCTTGTCGTAAAGGCAATCGACGTCTGTCATCAAGAACAACATGTCGGCGTGTACCATGACCGCCGTGATGGCTGACAAGGTATCATTGTCACCAAACTTGATTTCCGAGACAGCGACAGTGTCGTTCTCATTGACAATCGGGATCACGCCCATGTCAAGAAGCTCCATGAAGGTATTTTGGGCATTCTTGTACATTGTACGCTGCAACCTTGTTAGAACCGAGGTTGGAAAGGAAAGAACGAGGCTTTAGCGAGATTAGATAGCCACTTACATCAGCAATATCACTGCGAGTGAGAAGAATCTGCGCAACAGGCTGGCGCAAGTGCTCAAACAGGCTGTCCCACAAGCCGATCAAACGGCACTGGCCGATGGCAGCGAGGGCCTAATCGATTCACATGTCAGCATCCAAGTTTGAGAAGCCCAAAGAGGACAAGAATATAGAAGTACAAGAAGAGGCATAAGAAGAGGGATAGAAGGCAGAAAGGCGAGGACACGACGGCTACGCCTAGTCCAGTACGGAAAGGCAATAAAAGTCTGGCAAGGTATATGACGTATGCATGTAGGCGTGTAGGTGTAGAAACGAAAAGAACATACCTGGAGCGAGGAGAGGCGTTTAGGACGTTTCTTGATGTCCATCCTCCTCAATCCGACGCCAATGGCACCGGAAGAGACAATGATGACTTTGTGGCCATCCTTCCGGAGCTTTACCGCTGTGGCGACGATTAAGGAGAGGATCGGCAACAAGGGCTCGTGGGTCTTTTCGTCCACAATTGAGCTCGTCCCTGGATGACCCGCGTCAACAACGGGGTTCCTGAAAGGGGCGGAGGGGTCGACGAGGGGTCCATAGATTGGATTTGGGTCAAGGGAGCCAGCAGCAACTCCATGCCGTCGACACCAGCATACACACATGCAACTTACCCAACTTGATGACAATGGTCTGGCCTCGAGGTCCTCTCATGACTGCGGTTTTGGAGGTTCCGGGTCAGTTTTCGGAAAGGAAACGAGCAACAAGAGACTCTTGTTTGGGAATGAGGTTCTCCGGTAAAGAGAACAAGAGAAGAAACAGAAGCAAAGAACGACTTTTGTCTAAGGAGGTAACGAAGAAGTGCAAGAAACAGAAGTCAAAGAACTGAAAGCTGCGCGCGGGAACGACATGGATAGCGGTTCTTCCACATGTAAATTGGGTCGAGAAATGAGGCCAACAGGACAAAGACAGGGAGATGAGAATCCACAAGGACGAGAGAGTTGAGAGAGAAAAATAAAAAGAGGACACGGGGAATCGAGTTGATTTTGAAATACTCACCCTCACTCCGGCCTGGAGCCCATTCTCCTGCTGGGTCCATGTTTTTCCTCTTCTTCTGGAAACAGAAGTTTTCTGGGGCCGCGTTCCGAACGGACTCGTTGTCGAGCCTGTTAATCAACCTCTTAGGATGGGGCCAGGCGGGCCAAGATGCAAGGGTGGAGGAAGGACATCAATTATGGAGGGGATTGCCGAGAGAACATCAAGGATATGGCTTAGCAGAAGGGCGTAGAGGGGGTGAAAAGGGCGTAGGTCTGCTCCAATGTCGAGGTGAATCCCTGAGGGTTCGAGGGACGAAGGTTGACTCAAAGCAACGTTGAAGTCCGCTTGTTCAGCCTGTCATAGGCCGAAGTCGGGAAAATGGAAGTAGCACCACATCGTCATCAAGTACCCAAGACTTGCCGTTGGCCGAGGTTCCACGGCGCCACCGCCGCGCCCGAAAGCGCCAAGAATCCCACCGTTCTTGTACTCGAAACCCTGCCAGGTACAATGATCCCTCTTTTTGCTAGACTGACACCCCGAACTTTTTCCTTTCACCGCTTTGCGGGACAACGACCCATTTTCCCCATCCGCCAAAAATCGAAACCTGGAGTCGACCGCCAGAATAGTGCCAACTTTAGTCCCTTCACGTCTTTTCTGCCCAATCCGACGCCTGCTTACCCTCACAGGGACCGATTCCGCGCCTGTGCCAACTCTTTCGATCAGCGTCGACTACATCCCTCTCCACAAAGGCCCCCCTAGCCGAGCCTTCATCGGTAGCCCGAAACTCGTCGAACCAGATCGGACCCGTCTCATCCTCCTCGCCCATCTCTGCCTACCCCCCTTTCCCCGCCTCGAATTGTCCGCTCGTACATACTGAATAGGCGTGATCGTCGATGCCGTCCAATTCGCAATCGCCGGGGTCCTCGGCACCAGAGGCACCCGCCACGTCTCCTGCGTCTCCTGCGCCGTCTACCACTACCGGCGCCAATCCCAACATCCTCACCACGGAGCTCTCGCCTCTTCTCAAGAATGAGCCGAGCCGGACGGGGTTCGACCCTAGCATAGGGTACTGGATGAACATCTTCCACTATCTGTCAGGGTCCATGACGCGCGAGGGCCAGTTCCACTTTCGCGAGCATCTCTACCGCGAGAATGAGAAGGAAGACTGCCGCCGCTGCGAGGATTACCGCGACTGGCTGTTCGCCTCCTCACCCATCGTTCGCTTCATGCGCGAGAAAGTGGCGGACCTCAATGGAGATATCGGCCCCTCCAACGTCTACTGCGTGAGGTGTCCTGCTCGTTTGACGACGGACGGCCAGGTCGTCAGGACAGGTGGCGGTTTCAACCCGTACTCGGGCATCAAGATTTGCGCCAACGAAATCCGGGATAGGAAGCACCTCGAAGACACATTAACGCACGAAATGGTCCACGCGTGGGACTTCTTGCGGTGGAAAATGGACGGCGTTGGGAATCTGAAGCATGCGGCATGTACAGAGGTAACCAAGCTCTTCTTGTCTCCTATGATACCTTTCAAAGCGCGTTCCGCTAACCTGATCAACTCCCTGGATAGATTCGTGCATCCATGCTCAGCGGCGAGTGCAGATGGGCTCGTGAGTTCTTCACAAGGGGCAACTGGAAGCTGACCCAGCAGTTCCAAAACTGCGTCCGCTCAAGGGCGATTCTGTCCGTCATGAATAGACCCGGCTGCAGGGACGACGTGCACGCCACAAGGATAGTCAACGAGGTATGGGAATCGTGCTTTGCCGACACCAGGCCCTTCGACGAGGTCTACAAATAAACAATAGAGGAAGCCGGCCCAGGCCGGCTGTTGTGTTATAACACCAAAATCATCAATGTACAATACAGGCATAGGCATAGAGGATCACCATCTCCCGGATCAATGGCGGAAACAGTACGAACAAGACATATTCATCAGTTCTTCTTTGGGTTTTGGCCAGATAATGTAGTGACGCCGTATCTCGACATGAGAGAGCATGAAAAAGAAATATATAATAACAAATAAACAAAGAGGAGAATCCTAACTCCGCACATGCATATATCGATCCCAACGCTGTTTCGAAAACGAAAATAAAGAGAAAAAAAGAAAGTTGAGACAAAAAGTAGGCCGCAAGGAAGACACTCCTGCCGTGCTCTACGTGTCCCTCTAGGCGGTCGGTCATGTTAATTTACGCCGTGGGCATTAAGTCATTAAAAGGGTTGCGGTATATGTGGAAGAGGAGAGCGCGTCGCCTTTCCAGCAGCGCTCCGCTCAAAGAGGGGTTCAGGCCTATTTGCTTTTGAGGCCGTTACTACTCGTGAGGCTTCGTGCAGTGCTTGACGATCCAGGGATGCGTCTGAACCTGGTCAAGAGGAATCCGCTTCTCCGGGTCCAAAACGAGGAGCTGCGATGACGAGATTAGTAAACGGCACAAGCTAGAAGGGAGGACTTGGGAAGGACTCGGCTGAGTCAAGGGTGTACTCACTTTCTTAATGAGGTCCCTCGCCTCCGGACTAACAAAGGAGGGGATCGACATATCACACCTCACAATCCTCCTCTGCGTCATGACCTGAGAGTCTTCGAACGGCGCCTCGCCGACCAGGAACTCGTACGTGAGGACTCCCAAGCTCCACAGGTCAACCTTTTCATTGTACGAGTTGTCGGAGCTGCCAGGCTTAATCATCTCGGGCGGGAGGTAATCCAGGGTGCCGCACATGGTCTGGCGACGACTGTTGGGGGCGTGGACGCTCCAACCAAAATCAGAGATCTTGATCTCGCCGTGAATTCCGACGAGGATGTTCTCGGGCTTGATGTCTCGGTGGATGACGTGTTTGCGGTGGAGGTAGCGTAGGGCAGAGGCCATCTGGGCGATGTAGTGGGCGGCCTTCCACTCGGGGAACCGGTTCTCGCGGCGCAGGTGCTTGTACAGCTCCCCTTGCCAGCAAACTCGAGAATCAGGAACACACGCTTGCTGTCGTGGAAGTGGCCGTATAGCTGGAGAATGTTGGGGTGGCGCAGATTACTCTGGATCTCAATCTCGCGACGGACCTGCTTCTCGACGCGGCCGTGCTGCAGCTCGTTCTTGTGCAGCACCTTGAGAGCGCAGATGAAGCCGCTCGTACGCTCCTTGGCAAGATAGACGCGGCCAAATTTTCCCTTGCCTAGAGGCCGGCCAATCTCAAACATGCCGAGATGGAACTGCTTGGGGATGGAAGGCTGCTCGATCAGGGCGGCCGCGGATCGTCTCTCGAGCTCGGCCTCGGCGGATGGCCGGGCGGATGTGGGCAAGGGCTTCCGCGTAGGCGAGGGGGATTCTTCCGCTGAACGGCCTGAGAAGGGAGGGTTACGACTGCTGAGCTCGCATTCGCGCTTTGGGACTGAAGGGCGACCTTGACGAGAGTCGGCCGACTCGTAGAAGCAAGCTATACCACTCGACTCGTTAGCCAGCTGTGCCGTGGCAGGATTCTACGCATATCTGCTACCTACCAGCTTGCCATATTTGGATTCACCGTGAGCATCATTCTCGTCATTGACAGTGAGGTTGTCAAAGCGAGCCTCGAGAGTCCGGGTGGCCATTTTAGGTGAAGGAGAGGTACAGGCGGGTAAAGGCGTTCGAGGGTGAGCTGCCGTTAAGATGGCCGATATCGAGAACACGGCGAGACGCTGGGGCAATTGAAATGCTTCTTAGGAGTCCTCGAGTCGTTAGGGATGTTGAACGACGATGGTGGTCAAAAGAAGATGTGTTTTATCAAAGTATTCAAGCATCCACCCAGCGAGCTAATAATCAGTTTCGCCCCTGGTCCCTGGGCCCGGTTTGTTGTGTCACGACCATAGTGTTGTCGGGGCAACCGCCACACCTGTCGGTCTTGGGGTTGCCCCTCGACGACGAAACTAGGTCGCATTTTGGGCCTGGCCATGACAAAGAAACTCTGGTAATCATTGATTGATGAGCTGGCATCGCTGGCATTACTCTGATTGTGTAAGTTTCTCCCAAGAAAGTCAAATCAGCTTTAATCCTTCATAATGGAGAGATCTAGCGGACAGGTATATATATGGAGGGCCATGATGCTGATGTGAAGCCGATTATCGGCGTCGCCTAAGATCATTAACCGCATGAAGAACTAGAGCGAGAGGACTTTGATGCAGTATATGTATAGAATCAAATCCAATGGATCAATCAATTCAGTGAGAAAATGGCCTTGATGAACGCTTCCGAAAAATTCTTTTGTTGGCGTCGAAACGTCTATGCAAGATGTAGTAGCAGTAACGCAGTTCCGACAAACCCGTGCCTGCTCCTCACTCTGAAGCAAGCTCTGAAGCACACAGTGCTGTCCATCCCACCTTCCGCACTCGCAAAACCCCACCCCACCTTCCCCATTCAAGAGCTCAAGACCCAGTCCAAGCCGCCTTCCCGACGAGCTTTCGCGACAGGCCATCTCCATGACGCAAACGATACTATCTCGCAACTCTATTCCCCAGCCGTCGAGCCTTGCCGCTTACAAGTAGACGTCGAACGTCCTCTCTCTCCCCGCCGAAAAAAGAATAGAAACGAAAGCGAGAAGAAAACCCCCACCGCCGAAATGGAACCTCCACCTCCCACCGTCTTCCCCGCCCCGACCGCCCTCGCCCGGTCGACCAAAACCCACACCCAGAAAAACTTTGAAATCGTCACGCGCAAGCTACCCATCTCAAGGCGTCGCCCATCGAGGCCATGGAGAAGTCGCTCGGCATCCCCGTCCCCGAGATGATTTTCGGCGACAACGTCGTCGGCCTGCACCACAAGCCCAGCGGGTGGTCCTTTTCCTTCAACGCCTACAATGCGCTCGACGCCGTCGGCAAGACGGCCGAGAACATGCTGCAGGTGGCGTACGCCCGCGACTGGGCGTCCTCGCGCGAGAACTCGAGCGGCGACATCAACAAGATTGTCAACCCGTACGACTGGAGCTACTCCACCGACTACGCGGGTACCCTGGAACAAGGCTCCAAGGCGTTTGCCACGACGGACAAGGCGATACCCCTGGAACTCCTCAAGAGAAGGGACCCCATACTGTTCTTCGACGAGGTGGTTCTGTACGAATCCGAGCTGGACGACAACGGCGTCTCCTCTACAGCGTCAAGGTGCGCGTGCACGAGAAGCGGATGCTCCTGCTGGCCAGGCTGTTTATGAGGGTGGACAACGTCATCATTAGGGTGCGGGATACTAGGGTCTACGTAGATTTCGAGACGGACGAGGTTATCAAGGAGTACTGCGCGCGCGAAGACAGCTTCGCCAACGTGAAAAAGGTGAGTCTTTTGCCGTGTGCCCCTGATCCATCCCCAACGTCGGCCCAAGGTGACGAAGGACACCCCGTGCTTGCGTATAACTTTCCTTCGACTCACCCACGCATTCTAGGCCCTGCTCATGTCCGGGAGGTTACCCGACGACATCACCATTTCCTGCGAGACCCCAATGTGCTCGCACCTCTAATACCCGTAAAGGAGACGCACATTGTTGCTGTCGACCTCAAGTCATCATGAGAAAAACATGCGTAGGCGTTGCGGGAATTGCTGTTTACGACTTTTCATTTTGGGTTTGGGTTAATCAACGACTAGTTTGCTATCTTGTTCTGATAGAGATATCGGATATCAACTAGAGGTACGCTAGAAATTGAATTTCAAAGCGAGAGAAAAGAAGAAGAAAAAGGACAAAAAGGACAGGGAAAAAATAGTACCATAACCCATCCATGCCGTCCTCGCTCGCAAACTCCGAAATGATATTGGGGAGAAAAAGAAAATACCCATAAGCCATCAGAAACTATCACCGATGTCCCGTGAAAACAACCAATGCTCCATTCCCAGAGAAAACTTGAGACGCCCCCGAAACCCTCCCATATCAGATTACGATTTGCCATGATCCCGACATCACTGTTGGATTGGAGTCGTCGTTTCTCACCGAGCGTCCGCATCAGACGGCTCGGGAGTCTCCGCAACCTCCTCAAACGACAACTCCCACCTGTCAACCTCTTTGAATTTGCGGGTCGCATTCTTGAGTTCCTGTTTGGGATCCTCCAGCACCAGGCCCGCCTCCGTGAACGAATCCTCGGGCAGGGGGCAAAGCTATCATCGGCATCGGCACTCCTCTCGCCATAGGTCCGGGTCAGACGCCGGTTCGGTTCCTTCTCCGCCTGATCCTGTGTCGCCTGAGCACGCGCACTGGCTTGACGCGAGGGCGGGCGTGCCGACGCCCCTCTGCCACGCGAACGACTTGCTACACGTCTCCTTGTTGAGCGCGAGTAGGCGAGCTCGTCCTCATCGGGGCCAATGGCCGAGTAGTCGACCTCGTCCTCCTCGCTGTCGGATCCAACCTCTCCACGGGTGTTCTTACTTCGCCGTTGAGGGAGGAGGGATGCGAGAGCAGACGTGAGGCTCGGGTAATGGGTCTCGGGTCGCCGTTCGGCCTCGAGTCTTTGCGCCCTTCTTGCGGGCGGGGAAGTTGGGCGAATGCGTGAGAGATGGCGGAGATGAGACGTTGGATAGGATGTCATCGTCGTTGCGGGCGTGTAGTGGGGTAGTGGGCGTCACGGCGCGACGTCGGCGATTCGCTAGTCGCCGGATCGAGGGCCACTCGGCGTCGCCCTCGGAGCCCGAGCTCGCGGGGGCGCCATAATCTCCTCCATAGAAGCGTGCACGGGCGTAACGGGCCGCTCGCTTCTAACGGCTACACCCGATACCGGAGAGGGAGAGAGACGTCTGACAGGCTGCTCAAGTCATCGTCGTCGGACTCGATGCTGTTCGTGATGGGGTCTTGGGTTGTTGGCTCTTGCGGAGGAGCTGGTTCAGGTTCCGGCTGGTCTTCCTCGACACGCGTTGTCTTTTCTGGTCTATCGCTCTCCTCGCGGTCAACCTCTCCGCTCTTCCTCTTGCGGGACCGTAGGCCCGACGACGGGACATGCGACGCACGAGAGGCAGAGGCGTTACGCTGCGAGCGACGCCGGTTGAGGGGAGTCGACACGGCGTCGGGGGCGAAATCTTCTCCGTCTAGCTCGCTCTCCGAGGCGGACTGGTCCGTAACCCGGCTCTCGTTGTGCGGCCTGCGGTTCCTACCAAGAATGCTAGGTTCCCTGGCGCGTCGTCTGAACTGGCCAAAGTTGAACGTCGAGCTGACGCTGGGCGTGTTCATGCCTCGGCTGCTGGGACGAATCGGCCCTCCGTCACGGCTAATAACGCTGGGGCTCGAGAGCGCCTCTTAAATTGACCCGCACTCATGGTGGACGTGTTCGCAGAACGCCCGCGCGTGGATGGCGGCTCCAGGGCTGAATACATATCCGAGAAGACTTCGTCGTCAATGTCCAGACCAGACAGATCTCGACGGGTAAGCGGTGTCGCCGTCTCGCGCCTGCTAGTCCCGATATTTTCCGCGTCGGATAGCTCGCGAGAGTCATCCTCTACCGCGATATCATCGTGAATCTCGGGTCTGGCGGCGGAGGAGGAGCGCCGCATCATTGTAGAATCTCGAAGGGCGCGCCCCGCCGAGTGCTCCCAGCGGCAGTGGCTCGGGAGCGCGTCGTGGTGCTGAGCCGGTTCTCCTTCTCTGAGCTATCGACTGAAGCAGCCTCCGTGGGCTTCAAAGGCGTCGATGGAATCGCGTCCGGTTGGGATTGGGCGGGGCTGAGGCCTCTTGGGCCATCGGCCGCGTCCGGCGTGTTCGTTTCGGTCGAGGCATTCGTACGGTTGATTAGGACAAAGTTGGTGCAAATTTGTAAATTGCAAGTTTGGAGGGCTTATAACATGGAAGATAATCGATATCTCGCAAATTTTCTTCCCAGTATTCTCCGCGGCGACGATGTCTGTGGTGGTGGACGGCCGGGTGGTAGAAATGATGGGGATGAAGTTGTGTTGGTGTCGAGGAAATTTAGTTTGACGCGTCGTGGACCTCTTTGAGAAGTACAAAGTACCTCTTACAAGTGCCACCATAACAGTTGGTGGGGTCAAGCTAGACGCGCCACGATATTATCGCTGGACACTGAGCGCGACTTGGCCAAATTATGTACAAGTATGCACATGCACAATTCATTCAGGTTAGTCAATTGGACCTCGACACTCAACGGATCGTCTCCTTTGTCAAGGGCCAATGAGCCAGTTCAAGACAGGGAAAATGCCCATCAGTAAATCGATGCCTCTGGTCTCCCAGACCGATGGGCAAAGCACGTATAGAGAAAACCATCAATACCACTCGTCTTCCAATACAATCCCAGGCACTAGCTAACCACGTCGACTGACGTTCCATCACGCGTCAAGAGGACACGGGGATGAACGTCACAAGAACCGCAATGTTGGAACATATTTTTGCAAAAGCTAGTATTACATTGATATATACCATCTATACCCAGAACTTTTTTCGGTTTCATGCAAGCTATAGTACAAGGGAGATAATTTTATACAGCGTGTTGTTTGCGTTTGGTGAAAGCGACGCAGGTCGTGCGACTCTGCTCAAATCAAAGCTTGGCCCATAAACATGCTTTCCTTCACTTCAGATACAACATCCTTCCTATCATCGTTACCGACGAGCACGATGCCCCTGCCGCGACGGCCCATCCGCCCAGCGCGACCGAGGCGGTGAATGAAATCGATGGAGGTATGTGGAACATCGTAGAGCACCACATGGCGAACTGCCAAGGTATCAATGCCCCGAGAAGCGAGATCGGTGGCGACAATCACCTTGACATTAGGGAGAGATCGTACACCCTTCGGAGGAGCTTCGGGGTAGGAATGCGCATGGGATCAGAGGTTGTGAATGTGTTCAACATCTCGGAGCGGCGCTGCTCCGAAGTATCGCGGTGCAGGGCAATGGCGTCGATACCCTTTGAAACAAGATATTCCGCCACCTCCTGGGTCTTTTCGCGCTCGTTCACGAACACGAGAATTCGTCGGACGTCAATCTCATCTTTAATGGGTCCCTCGTGGCGGGAGGATTCGCGCCCGATGCTGTAGATGGCATCGGCACACGCAAGATTCTTATTGTTTCGGTACGGATCCTTCGAAACATCAATGACACCGAGCTGCACACGGCGGGGGATGGCGTGGAGATTCGGTGTCGTAATTCGAACCATGTCAGGGTATTCTTGTGAGATATAACTGTCGAGCCTCTTGGGGATGGTTGCGGAACAGAAGACGAGCTGTTTTAATGAAGGTTTCGCTTTGTCTATGATGCTTGTCGTGACGGAGGAGAAACTGCGGTCGAGAAGAGAATCCGCCTCATCGATAATAAGATGCGTGACGCGAGAGAGGACGTTGGGGTCCGATTCGGCAATAGAGGCGAAAAGATGCGGGGTGGAGATGACAACATCGGTTCCGCGCGTTGAGTACAGGTTGCGATGTATCTGGTCGGCCGCCTTAGTTGCTGAGAGTGGCTCCGTTCTAAACTTGACCACATGCGACAGTGACCTGGCAACCAAGCGAACCTGTTCAACAAGTTCCGCAGTCGGCACAAGGATCACAACTCTCGGGCGCGCCATCGTGGGATGCGGTTCGTCAAACGGGGACTGCTTGAGGGTGCTGTCCTTGGCCCGAGCCTGTTCCTCCTTCCACCGCTTGTTATAGTCCTGAATCTCGGGATCCTGCGCCTCGGCGAGCTTGAGCGCGTTGATGGCAGGTACGAGATAGGCAAGTGTCTTCCCCGAGCCCGTCTCCGCGGCCAAAAGGAACTCCTTTGGCGGATTCTTCATCCTTTGATGTCCCTGACCGAGGAGCTCCGGTATTGCCAGCCTCTGCACGGGCGTGGGCTTCAGGTCCACCATGCCCTTCAACGCATCATTGCACAGGGCCTCCTTGACCTGCGGCAAAAGGTTGAACTGATCGAAAGACTCGACGTCTTGTATCCGCGCTTTGATCGACATTCGCTTCCCATATGAAACCACCGCCAGCGCCCTGTGCATCTTCATCGCTTTCCTCGAGTCCGACTTCTTGAGGGAGCCAAACGTCTTGGCCGGATCACTACCAGCCTTGCCGGGTTTGGGAGGTAGTCTCGCGACGGTCTGGTTCATACCCCCAAAGGGGCCCTCCGCCTGTTTCTTGTTGAATCTTACTTTTCGGTCTGATGGCGAACGGGCGACCGTCTTCGAGAGCACCATGCGGGATGGCTTAGCATCCCGACGCAGCGTGCGGACATCGGTCCACGGTTGAAGCTGCGACACCAGCGGTCGCGCTGGGATTCGGTGGGCCAATCCGCCGGCGCATAGCGACCTAAGCGCAGGAGGTATCATGGTGAAAATACGTGAGGGCGCTCACGGATGGGAGGGGGAAATTTTCGAGAGAGGCGTGGTTTGGGAGACGACAGGAGCTTGAAGATTTCGAGCCTGGATTCAATAAAATGTTCTGTCACGTGTCGCGATAACGCGGTGCCACGGGTAGTACTTGTAGCAGGCAGTACGTACTGTCCTAGTGCTTTCCCTGTTGGTACTAGCCCACTGGTAAGCCACAGTCAATGAGCGCATGGGTAGCGACCACTCGCTCCATCAACACTAAACACCCATATCACAGCCCTATATGTTAGCGGAAGGCCCTAAATTTTGGAGGACTGGATTACCGTTGACCGTATTCCAACAAAGGTTCTAGTTAGCACTTCTAGATCAATTGATAGATCCATGGATCTCCATGTTCAATGTTCAAGTGTTCACTTCAAATTGTTCGATTGTTCAATTCTCAGTCTGAGTTGCAAACGGGTCTACGAGCGGGACCATTGTTGGCCAGATTGATAGAATCCGCGCAATGGATCCATGGATCCAATGGATGGATGAATGCCTCCAGTTTGTTGATATCGAAGCCTGTAGTCTTGAACCGGATGAGTGGCCTTCAACGGTGGAGGCGTATAATGACCATTCGGCATTGCATTCACACAAGAGTGAGGGATCAAGATCTCGCAAGGCTACCAAGGATGAGGATGGCTTATTTCACCTCTGGTCAGGCAAGATGGTCTAGCCTGCCCGGGATCCGAGCCTGGCGATCGCAATGCTTCAAACCTAGAAACCCTAAAGATGCATGCCTCTAGAGATACGGAAACACGGCATATTTCTTTCCTCAAGCGATAAAATAGATGTGGCATCAGAAACGCGAGAGGCTACGATCTCAACTTTCCGTAGGCCATATCGGAGAGCGAGCTTCCATATAGTAAGGAGATGAGACTCAGAGGACAGGGACCAGTGCTGTGGTTCAGCCACGCTGTCAGCTATGTCTCAAATGATGACTTGAAATCACCGAGTCCCCTGAATATCGAAGACGCTCACTCTTGCTTTTGAAGAGATGAATAGCTGTTGATTGCACGCACGAGATTAGACACGGCACCCCAAGATTTGTTTCAAACCCTCGAATCGTCGATTAAACGCATGAGCGTGGCACTGCTTTCACGAATGCAAGGGCAGACTCGACCCTTGCATTGACTAAAAAGTTAATCAAGGCAAGTTGACATTGTGGAGGTCTCGTCTCTGCGCCTTGTCCAAGTACAGGTACCTCGGTACATCTAGACGACGTCGCACTGCACAAGGCCCATTCGCCAAGCTGGAAAGTGGGCAGGCCCACCTCTGGGCATGCGGGGCGGCTTCGCCCGGCAAAAAAAATGATGACGGAAGGAACTTGGCCCTTCAACGCGATGAAGGCAGCGACCTTCAAACTTTTTCGCCCCTTTACTACTCCTCCGGTCCCCGAAATCCTCGCCCTCCTTTCAACAACCCAGCTTCCAACGGCGAGGTGACAAGTCAATTTCAACCGTATGTTCGCGACCGCCTAATAAGGGGAGGATTGCTAGATTCCGTTCGGCTGGCACCCGACAGCCATGGCACCACCAACCGCACCCTTGAACCTGGACGTGGAGGCCATCTCCGGCATTTGCGGGTACGATCGCATCATCTCCCACTGGCGTATGATGGAATAGGACTAATGATAATCTTCTTGAAATAGGTCCATTTCAATAGCATGTTGGGGTAGGTCTTCCCTTCGAGATCATCCTATAACAGTGGCGTGAGGTGGTCCTTGGCCGGTACGGACCTGCTAACGCAATCACATAGTTGTCGTTTTTCTCCTCAGATATTGCAAAATTTCCAGCGTGGAAGCACCGAGGGGCTGTCGATCCACTTTCTCATAGTTTGGTTGCTTGGCGATGTCTTCAATATCCTCGGAGCCGTCATCCAGGGTGTCTTACCCACCATGGTTCGTCCTTTTGCTATGGCCTATCAAGGTAGTTTATAGCCCGTTAACCTGGTCCTTTCTCTCTTAGGTTATCCTCGCCATCTACTATACCATTGCCGATATCGTCCTACTTCTGCAGTGCTTCTACTATAGAGGGTTTACTCTCAAAGATGAAGTGACCGTAGCTCCCAAACCGACCAACGGCACCAATGGCGCTGGGCCAGCGAGCGAGCGGACCCGACTTTTACCTGAACCCCGGCGACGGACGAGGCGAGATTCGGACTGGTCTAACCTATCCCCGGCAGTACCCATAGTACCCGAACCGTTCGAAGCACCCCCGCAACAACTACGGTCTTACAGACGCTCCTATGGAACACCCTTGCTGTCGTTATGGTCTGTGGCGCGGGGGTTTTGGGTTGGTTACTGAGCCGCGGGCCTCGACACACGCCCGACGATACTCAGGATGGCGAACCTATCAATGACATTGTCTTCAGCCTATGGGGGCAGATTTTTGGATACTTCTGCGCTGCCTTGTATATCCTGTCGCGCATTCCTCAGCTTATCCTCAACTACAGGCGCAAGAGCACCGACGGTCTCAGCATGCTCTTCTTCTTGTTTGCCTGTCTTGGCAACATCACCTACGTCCTGTCCATCGTTGCGTACGAGCCCAAATGCAGTGAGGATGAGTGCGCTCCCGGAGAGGCTAGCAGGATCTATGGGCGGTACATTCTCGTCAACCTCTCCTGGCTTGCCGGGAGTACCGTGACCCTATTGCTAGACTTTGGCGTGTTCACGCAATATTTCATGTACAATAAGGACGAAGCACCCGAGGCAAATGACGACATCCTTTCCGAGTATAGCGACGAGGATAGCATTGAGGACACTCCGTGGGATCGTCCTCTTCTTGCTCGCGGCAACTCTACTTTTGGTTAGGTTGCCTAATTATAAATAGTCTTTTTCTACTTGGCTTTTTTCTCCTTTCTCCCTCCTTATCATGGGCCCGCGTTCAATTTCGTTTTGCATGGTTACTTCCCCTTTGGCTCTTTTCCTAGTAACGAGAGGAAAAGAAACGAGGGCATGGAAGAAAAAACAACGGTGGAATTTTTGTGAGAGGCCAAAACAGAACTCGAAGGAACATATATACGATCGGAAACATTCAATTTTTACAGCTTGGTTGTATTAGGCCGGTATTCTTCATAGACCGAGGCATTTGGTATAGCCATCATTTACAGATATACCCAGGGTTCATTCACCTCGGGCATACGCAAGACGTTTCGGGGATGCTCTATTTCCCTTTTGTCGTCTTCTAGTGTCAGTTGAAAAAATAGAACTGTGGATAGCAGCTACATGTACTTCTAGTCTTAGTTGATCAAGTTGGCCGGGCATGCGCCTCGCAAAAGCCCAGGAGGTTCTTTTCCATCATCTCGGCGATAACGCACTCTTTACGGCCAGGCATGACAAGGTCAAGGCTGGTTCAGCAGCGGATTCGTGGCGTGGACATGAGCATCACGACTTCATGCGTGTTTTGCCACCCTCGCAAACTTCAAGGACGTTCAAGGGTCTTTTGTTTGAGGCTGGCCCCCTTGAGCCCCACAGGGCTTGATGGAGGTCCAATTGACGAATGAGGACAATTCAATTGAGATGTTGCGTACGCATGGAGGGGCATTGTCCTATTGCATCTCATCCCATCTCATAGTACACGATAATATTTTCCTTTAGGATGAGACTGACTGGACGTGTCCGTCTTTTCACGTTCGAGGGCAAGGGGTCTTGTCGGCGTACGTCACGCCTGGGGGATAAGGCTTTAGCGCCTCGCGTCATCAGTGGCTGGAGTTCTTGCCTCCCGAGAAAATTGAGATCTTCTTAGAACATTCGCTAGGTTCCGATTTAGGAGGGATTTGAAGTGGGTGGGCAAGCCCTCCTAGCCTCCCTCACTAGGAAATTCCACAGCAAGGCCTGATACCTATTACATGTGTACTAGATATCGGGCTATCGGCCTCGATTCTGAGCCCGGGCCGCTCTCTAATGGTTGCTCCAGGTCAATAGCCAATATTGAACCAGAGGAGCAATTATCTATGGTGCCTATAATGTACGGAAGAAACATTGATTTGATTCTATGTTGGTTTCGTGCTGATTACTATTATGACCAAATTGCCAAGCCAACTTTGAATTCGCTGTGCTGCATCAACAATGGTAAGCCCCCTGTATTTCACGTGACTTAGTGCAGGAAAGTGGTGCGATTTCATCGGAGTTGGTCCTAGACGAGAGATTGGTCAGAGGCGTCGATGCGACAACTAAAAAGAGCCTTGCGCCCAGTCTTCGAGAGGGAGCAACGTCAGAAGAGCGGTGCTAGCCTTCCCGATCTAGGCTTTTTTCAAGTTTTGTGCAATTGACTTCGGCTGGAGAATCCTCTTGGGTCCCCTTACCTAAACGTTTGCCGGCGCCGGGCTCGTTTCCTTTTCGGTTTCACCCATTCTTTCTTTTTTTCTTCTTGTATCCCCCCACCTTGAACCCTCCAAGCGGCGGCGACCCTTTCTGTCATGACTCGGCCCTGATCTCTTTCGTCCCTCCCTTTCTCTTCAATACTTTTGTTGGTTTTTTGCGGGACCCCTCTCAGCCTCTCATGCAAGGGAAGGCGAAGCACCAACCTTGTACGCCCTTCTCGTTCGCCTCGGATCTTCGAGTGACATTCTCGGACGGATCGTCCTCCGAAGTGCAGGTCAGCACAAGTGACGAGTGCGGTGTGGCGAGTGAGGACGGCGGCTGGTCACAGAAGCAGCACTGTTGACTTCAGCACAATCTTACTCTGATTCCTCCGGTCTCGCCGGCCTTTTCGAACCACTAGACAGAACCAAATCGGCGCCACTTGGGACTCTCCCCACCACCCGAGTTCAGTGCCCCATCATACTAAAAGGTTTACCCGAATTCTCCTCAGCACTTAGCTTGCACAACTCAGCCTCCATCGCTCCAATCGCTTGCTTCTACAGGGTAGTACTTAGAGATCTTTCGAGCAAGATCACAGCCAAAAAAGTCAAGATCACATCGCACTACACAGCCAGCACGGGTGTGCCACTCCAAATTCCGGCTCACAGCGACAGTTACAACTGAACGGACGGATTCTTCTTGGCTCCTACTGGGTCCCGACCCCGGTGCTTTTCCCCTCCACCTATCCGAGGCCCCCAAATTTCCTCAAACTGCAAGGAAGGTACAAGCACGGTCCCGTTTTTGGGGCTCGTTGCGTTTTTTTCCCTTTGGTTTTTTGGGTTACCATTCCCCCCGTGGTCAAACTGGGACTTTGACACTAGGCCACTCTTGATTACTCTATCGAGCAAGGCGCGGCTGGACCCCTCCATTTGGGCGAGGTGAAACGAATCGGCCAAACAGTGCTGGCCAATTACTAACGGTGCTGTGCCACCTTTGCCGGGGCAGGAAAATAATTCTCCATATTGAACTGGGGAGACTTACGCATGAGTTCGGCGTCAAGCAATCTCGAACGAGTAATTGCACACGCGTCCGGGCAATGCCCTTGAGACAGCGGGGATGGAATGGCACCTGGATGCCACCCCAGGGACGGGGAATTTGCCCTGTCGCCAGCATCCATCGGGGTAATCTGGCTCGGGCCACGGTGCGTTTACGTGGACGGTTGGGCCAAAGCCTGGGCCCCTCGTCTCACATTGCGACCGTGACGTCTTCCCCGGCCCTGACATGCCAGTATACTTTGGGCCCGAGTAGATCACTGTGCTGTTGCTTACCCGCCCTTTTTATCCCTAAGAGGACACATCAACCACAACACAGTCGTGGCTTCGAGACATCGACCTCGACATACTTAATGAATTTTGTTCGACGATCGCAAACCTTGATTGCCAAAACACCTACGCGATCGCTCCAACTCCGTTCCACCTCCCAGTTTTCTCTCATCCCCTTCATCATGGGCGCACGGAAACTTCACGGCGACCACAAGCACGGTGGCCTCGGCCATCACCACCACCACCACGACAATGCCTACCTAACCTCTGGAAATAAAGCCGACGCCGGCGTCCGCATCACGAGAATAGGCCTTTATTCCAACCTCGCCATGGCGATCGCAAAGGGCGTCGGCGGCTACATGTTCCATTCCCACGCCATGGTTGCGGATGCTTGGCACAGCGTGACCGACCTCGCGTCCGACATTCTCACTCTCGCGACCGTCTCGTGGAGTTCCAAGGACCCCTCGACAAGATTTCCTTCTGGTTACGGCAAGGTCGAAAGCTTAGGTTCGCTTGGCGTGTCGGGCATGTTGCTCGCCGGCGGCCTCATGATGGGCTGGAGCAGCACGTTCGCGCTCCTCACACAGCTGGGCATCGACCCCTCGTTTGTCGGAGAGCTCGCGCATCACGGTCACAGCCACAGCCACTCCCACGCTGGCGTCCCTAGCATGCATGCCGCCTGGCTTGCTGCGGGCACCATTCTCGTCAAGGAATGGTTATATCGAGCCAGTAAGTGGACCTGTTTTTTGTCTCCTTTCATCTTTCTTCTTTTGGCCCCTGCCAAATAGTGCAGAACGAATCACGTTATTATGCTTTACTTCGTGCTGTCTTTTATTCGTCTCCCCATGGTTGCATAGCTAACGTTGGTAACTTGCTCTAGCCATGAAGGTCGCCGTCGAACGCCAATCGTCTGTTCTTGCATCAAACGCCATCCACCATCGCGTCGATAGCTGGACCGGCGTCGTCACCCTCGTCGCCGTTGTCCTTGCCAATTTTATGGAAAATGCCGCCTGGCTTGATCCTGTCGGTGGACTACTCATCTCCTTGCTCGTCATCAAGGCGGGCGCCGAGAACACGGTTTCGGCCATTAGCGAACTTATCGACCGGGGCCTTGATGACGAGACAAAGAGCACGGTCAAGAGGCAAGTAAGCAAGGCGCTGGAAACTATAACCGAAGGCCACGAAGTCGAGGTTCGGAGAGTCGCGGGTACGAAATCGGGCCAGAACCTCCTCATCGACCTGGAGCTTGCTGTCCCCGGAGCCTGGACCGTCGAGGACGTACGCGAGGTCGAGAATGGAGTGAGGGAGCGGATTGGTTCCCGAATTCGAGGAGCTAGGAGGGTACGCGTCCGATTCGTTTCGCGAGACGCGGCGACGACAGACGGGTTTGACGAGTTTGTCTCGGGCGAGGTCAGCCCCGAAATGGTCGAATCCGAGGCCGAAGAGGAGGCTCATGAGCATGACCATACGCACAGCCATTCGCATACCAACGGCAATGCCAACGGTAATGGCAATAGCCATGCGAACGGCAATGGTAATGCCCGGAGGCGGCACTGAGTTAGCACTTTATCATCACAAGATACCCGTTTATAGAGATGTATGCAACACGGCAACAACCAATGGTGCGGCCGGCCTTTACTTTATCTCGCACATCAACTCGACCCGCTCTTGAAAAAGGCACCGACTCCGCTACCGGCGTCCGCCCAAGATATACTGAAACGTATTCGGCTAGTGTGACTAGCGCGTTCTGCCCATTTTTTCTTCCAGCGGGCTTTGGTGTGCTGAATGCAGCTCCTTGACCCTTGCGCTTGGCGACTGCAATTACCAATTGATCGTGGACACATCATCCGCACCATTTATATCTCTCGCTCCTTGGGGGCCTCCCCTGAACGAGGAGTGGGACACCGATACTGTGGCGCCTACCCCGCGATGTGGCGCCGCGTAGGCAAGCTACTCTGCTGCCATTTTTTCATTGGTCCCAGGGGAGAATTGATCGTTTGTTTGCATTCAGGCTAAATGCGAGGGACCTGATCCCTGCAACAGCAAGGCTGAAGCGTACAAATTATCAGTGCCGTCAGTGACCCCGCCATCGATGATGGCTGAATCTGGCTCATCAATGGGTTCATGTGTGTCGAATAACCCCACACAGATCATGGTTTCTCGATCAGGAATTGTCTCGGCGAGCTACTCTTTTTTCTTCTTCTTTACTTTGGATAGCTGTGTGTATACTATTACGAATACTTTGCGACCTTTTATTTTTTTATTTTATTCCCTCCTTTCCTTATCCCCCTCTTTGCAATTGCCCCTCCCAGACCTAGCTCGATCAAAGAGCAACATCGCACCCCTCTCAACCTTCAACCTTTCTCTGCATGCAGGGCTCCAAGATCTTGGTCCCCTGAAACACGCGAATCCATCCTAGCGACCACTACCTAGATCTGCATATCTTTGGCATATTTGTAAACTTCCGCCACCCTTCTCGTTCTTTGATATAGAAATACCTACCTCGATCATATCTCTTCATCTCAATCCTCTCTCTCCATATTAAATCGCTGGCATCGCCAGCCCCTTCCGTCTCTGCGTAGTGCTCGTACATCGACCTAGATAACCATGAGCTCGGGACCTCTCTACCTCGGGTTCGACCTGTCGACCCAGCAGCTCAAAGGTACAGTGTAGCTTGTTCCATATTCACCAGCTGCCGCCGGCCAGCGTCCCTATTTTACCCTTCCTAACGCAGTTTTCCTAGGCATCGTCATCACGTCGGATCTTCAGGTCGTTGCCGAGGCCAAGGTGGACTTTGACGGCGATTTCAAGTCCAAGTATGACATTAGCAAGGGCGTCTACGTCGTCCCGGCGGAAAGCGAGGTCTACGCGCCCGTAGCGATGTGGCTCGAGGCCCTCGACCTCGTGCTCGCGCGGCTCAAGGAGAAGATCTCGCTCGGGGACATCAAGGGCATCAGCGGCTCGTGCCAGCAGCACGGCAGCGTGTACTGGGCCAGCGGCGCCGAGGCGAAGCTCGCGGCTCTGAGCGCGGACAGCGCGCTCGTCGACCAGCTCAAGGACTCGTTCTCGCACCCGTACGCTCCCAACTGGCAGGATCACAGCACGAATGCCGAGGTGGAGCAGTACAATGCCAAGTTGGGTGACGCTGATAGACTCGCGGACGCCACCGGAAGCGGCGCCCATCATGTAAGTACCTTTGGACAACGCCCATTCTCTCTCTTTATCATGGATGGATACGTTCGAGTACAGACTGACCGGCCCTACTTTGCACCAGCGTTTCACTGGACCCCAAATCATGCGACTCAAGCGCAAGTTCCCCGACATGTACGCCAACACTGAACGTATCGCGCTCGTATCCTCCTTCCTCGCCTCCGTCCTGCTTGGAAACTACGCTCCCATGGACATCAGCGACGTATGTGGCATGAACCTCTGGGACATCCCGAACGCCAAGTGGAACGAGTCCTTGCTCGAGCTTACGGCCGGCAAGGACGGCGCAGACGAGCTGCGAAAGAAGCTTGGCGAGGTGCGCCAGGACGGAGGCGGTAGCATGGGCGCGATCCACGGCTACTTTGTAGCCAAGTACGGCTTCAGCGCTGATTGCCAGATCGCGCCCTTCACCGGCGACAACCCGGCGACCATTCTCGCCCTCCCCTCCGGCCCTTGGACGCGATCGTCTCGCTCGGCACCTCGACGACTTTCCTCATGATTACGCCTTACTACAAGCCCGACCCGGCCTACCACTTCTTCAATCACCCCACCACCCCGGCCAGTACATGTTCATGCTCTGCTACAAGAACGGCGGCCTCGCCCGCGAAAAAGTCCGCGACACGCTCCCCAAGCCCGAGTCGGGCGACCCGTGGGCCAACTTCAACAAGGCGGTTCTCGAATCCCCACCTCTCGACGCCGCTTCCGAGTCCGACAAGGCCAAGCTCGGCCTCTACTTTTACCTCCCCGAGATCGTCCCCAACATCCGCGCGGGCACGTGGAGGTACACGGCCAACGCCGACGGCAGCGGCCTCACCGAGTTCCAGGGCGAAGGGTGGGGTCCCGAAAGGACGCGCGCGCCATTGTCGAGTCTCAGGCCATTTCGATGCGCATGCGTTCCCGGAAGCTCGTGCACAGCCCGAGCGAGGGCCTCCCGCCCAGCCTAGGAGGGTGTACCTCGTGGGCGGCGGCTCGCTCAACCCCGCCATCGCGCAGACCATGGGCGAGGTCCTGGGCGGTGCCGAGGGCGTCTACAAGCTCGACGTCGGGGGCAATGCTTGCGCGCTGGGTGGCGCGTACAAGGCTGTGTGGGCGCTCGAGAGGGCCGAGGGCGAGAGCTTTGACGAGCTCATTGGCAAGAGGTGGAAGGAAGAAGGGGCGATTCAAAAGGTTGACGAGGGGTTTAGGGATGGGTTGTTCCAGAGGTACGGAAATGTGTTGCCTGCTTTTGATGAACTCGAGCAGAAGATTTTGGGGGAGAATTGAGAGCAAAGGTCCTATACGGAAGTTTGAGTTGTTGGTGGCCAATGCCCCCAAAACCTGAGATGGAAAAAGAGGAAATAGGAAAAAAGTTCTCAATCAATTTAATCTAGTAATGGGATAAAGAGAACAAAGGAAGAAAAGAAAAAAAGAAGAAAAGTCTTAAAAACAGGTCTGATATCAAGCGAACCTAGCGAATATATGGAAAGAACAATGCAATGAAGCCATACCCGATGAATCCCTTTCCTAGTTGGACATTACAACACATCTACCTGACGTACTTGTTCATGAACCTTCTGTGGAAGTCGGATCGTAGCGTGTCCTAAGAAGCAGGTTAGAATCAGTCAACGGTAAGATCAAGTAGGGTCCGAAGTAGTAGGGCGACGATAAATGACGGAAGAAAAAGGGAGTGATTTCGGGATTTGGGAAAGCCTTACGTTGATAAACTCCTTCTTCTTCCCGCGCTCATCCGTGTCCCTCGCCTGGTTCTTGAACACCACATCGTCATCCCACCGCCTCTTCATGTTGAAGTCTGGCTTGTTGAGCAAGGGATTACCAAGCGCAATGTCCTTTTCCCGCTGCTCCTCTTCCTCCTTTTGCCTCTCGGCCTCTTCCCGCGCGCGACGCTCCGCCTTTTCCCTGCGCACCCTCTCCAGCTCCCTCTGCAGCTCGGCGTCCGAGTCGTCCGAATCGCTATCACTCTCGTCGCTGTCGTCGCTCGCCTCGTCGCTGTCATCGGCATCAATGTCTCTCGTCTCGGCTAATATCCTCCGCCTCTTCGTCTCGAGATCCTCTGCGTCATCATCGTCATCGTCGTCGTCATTGTCTGCGCCGGGTCCAGAACGCGCTCTCTTGGCTGCAGCGGTGGCGGCGGCACCGTCGAGAAGGGGAAGGCGAGCGGGAGGAGCGATCGGAAGGGGCTGCGCCGGGGCGGAAAGCGCGGCGCGGGAACCCTTGCGCTTGGAGAAGTGGGCGTCCTCGGCGGCGAGGAGCTCGGCGCGGAGGTCGCGGGTCTCGGAGGAGCCGGCGGCGCCGCCTTGGCCTTCTTTACGGTACTTGAGCTGGAGGTGGGCGGGGAGAGTGATTTGGTGGTAGGCGGAGCCGCGGAGGGATTCGCGACCGCGGGCCTAAGCGGTCAACGGGGTTAGCCTACTCTTCCTACAGAGTTGAATTGGTAGAAAAATTGGAGTCGATGGCTGTCGTCACTTACCGGGTCAAACGTGGGTCTGTGGGCCGTCGTCATCGTGGGGGTCCTTCTCTGATCTCTCGGGGGATGATTTGGGAAGGGTTGGTTTTGGTCCTTGAATCGATGGAAACGGGCAGCGCTGGAAGTATGGGAGGCGAGTGGATGTGGTAGGTTGAATGCACGCCAAAGTTGCTCGAGATGAAATCCAGGCCTCACCGCCCGGCAGAATTTCCATCCTTGAGCTTCATTCATTCCATCCCACCCACACACCCCACCATCGGCGACGAGCAGTGGACAAGAGGCTACTTTTTTACCCGTTGTCTTTTTTGATATCACTACATTGCTAACTTCCCCGGACGCGGAGCGACAACGCAGAGGACCCAAATCAGAGAGGGAGAAGGAAAGGACCAGAAGACTCAGCAAGGTCAATCGGTCCACAATGCGGGAAGCCGAACCTTCTCTCAGCGAGAAGGCGTTTGTGCTCCAGGCGATTGAGGAGAAGCAGCGGGTGGACGGTAGAGGGCTCGAGGATTACAGGCCGCTTGAGCTCACGTTCGGCGATGATCACGGCGTGGCGGAGGTCCAGCTTGGAAAGACAAGGTACGGTCCTCTCTAAAAATATGACTTTTTTCTTTTTATTCTTTTCTTCACATCTTCGTTTTATCCCTTTATTTCGAGGCGATCCACTAAACTCATTTTACAGGGTCCTCGTCAAAGTCTCCGGCGAAGTCTCCACGCCCTACACCGACCGCCCCTTCGACGGCATCTTCACAATCGCCGCCGAGCTCAGCCCCTCATCTCGCCCGCGTTCGAAGTCAACCGCCCCACGGAGCAAGAAGTACTACTCGCCCGCCTCCTCGAGAAGACGATTCGGCGATCCGGCGCGCTGGACGTCGAGTCGCTGTGCCTCATCGCCGGCAAGAAGTGCTGGGCGCTCCGGGCCGACGTGCACGTGCTCTCCTGGACGGCAACCTCGTCGACGCCGCGTGCGTGGCCGTGGTGGCGGCGCTACGGCACTTTCGCAAGCCCGACTCGAGCACCGAGGGCGAGTCGGTGACGGTGTACACGGCGGCCGAGCGGGAACCCGTGCCGCTGAGCTGGTTGCACTCGCCGCTCTGCGTCACGTTTAGCTTCTTCGGCGACGAGGGGACAAGGGCGTCGTCGTGGACGCCACCTGGCTCGAGGAGCAGGTCCGCTCCGGGAGCTGCACCGTCGGCATGAACAAGCACGGCGAGATTTGCCAGGTGTCCAAGCTCGGTGGTGCCCCCGTGGAGGCGGTCGCGCTCTTGCAGTGCGGGAACCTGGCGCTGGCCAAGGTCAAGGAGTTTTCGGACCTGCTGGATGCCAAGCTGGCGGAGGATGCTAAGAGGAGGGACAAGGGCGGGCTCATTGCACAATTATCGGCGGAGAACGATAGGTGATCTCGGGGGTGGGAGTTGAAAAGGGGCTACGGGTTTTCATTCACAATGTTTTTTTTGTTTATATCTCTTCTTCACTTCGCTTCGGGCTGGGGAGGTGAAGCTTTACGAGTCTATACAAGGGGATCGGTTATTCAGAATCAAAAGGAAAGAAAAGAACAAGGGAGAAGCAGTCAAAAGAAAAGAGCAAGAAATTGAAGGAGAAGGACTCGAAAAAAGAGACAATAGATACCCTAGAGAAACCTACCGAAAACCCAACACCTTGTGCAGTCCGAACCTCATTGTGAGTCGGTAGAACCCAAAATTGTAGTAACCTCCAAAGAATATCGCAAAGACAAGGCCGTAAAAGGAAAATAAAAACCGAAAACGAAAAAAACGCCAGATGGGACAGCAGGCACCGAATGCTCCGCTTCTAAACCACGCCAACAACAACAACACCCCCTCGACTCGCCCTCTCTCTCTCTTGCTCTCCCAGCCAGTGCACCTTTCGTCACCTCATCACGGGCGGCCGGGATTCCTTGTTCCACTTCACCCTCGAGCGCACCCAATCCACAGCCTCCCGCACGCCGTTGCCCGTCAACGCACTAACCGGTAGGACGCGGGAGTCGCGGATGCTCGAGGCTTTCTCGCCCTCAAAGACCTTTTCACGAGACCCTCCTTGATGCGCACAACCTCGACGCAGTCCTCCCTGTCCTGCTTGTTGGCGAGTATGAGTAAAGGCACGCCCTCGGTCTCCTCGTTTTGCAGCACGTCTTCGAGAACGAGGCGGCACTCCTCCAGCCGGCCCGATATGGTGCGCTCGGCGCGGGCGGCGATGGCGGCGGCGTCGTCGTCATCGTCTCCGTTGAGGTCGCCGTCGCCAATGTCGGTGCTGTCGACGATGAAGACGATGGCGTGGCACGAGGAGTAGTAGCTCTGCCAGAGCTTGCGCAGGCTCATCTGGCCGCCGACGTCCCAGATCTTGAGGTACATGTCGGGGAGGGTGACGGTGCTGACATTCTGGCCGACGGTGGGCACGGTCTTGAGGCGGGGGCTCGGGTGGTCGGGGTTGAAGAGGGCTTTGACTTGCTCGTGGAAGGTGGTCTTGCCGGCGTTATCGAGGCCGAGGAGGATGACGGAGTATTCTGGAAGCTGGGGGTTAGCAGGGCCGAAAGAAGGGGGCCCAAAAGAGTTAGACTCGGGCGCCGCGTAAGGACAAGTAAAGGCCCGCCCGTAGCTGGAGTCTCCATGCGCTGCATGAGACGACGGCAAGCAACGCGAGAAAGCTGTAGCGCGCGCGTGGGGATTGGGGCGGGAGGGGGGGCGGCGTCCATACCTTCTTTACTCGTCGCGAGAAGGTAAAGACCTTTCGCGAGGTGATACATGATCTCGAGAAAGGCGAGCCGAGTTGGAAAACGTGCGGTGCGCAGAGCGGGTAGAGGGAGGTTGCGATCCGCGGATTGTTGCAATCGGGAGGCGCTGGGTCGATCAAAGGGAGCAAGCGGTCGATAATACCGATGGTGGCCTGCACAAGCGTGCTGAGAATTAGATTTGGGGGAGACGGGTAGCAGGCTACCAAAGAGGATTAGTGCGGTCTGTCAACTATGAGGCGGGGAGGGAGGCGAGCTGTGCTGCTGTCTTCTAGAATTGTGCAAGCTCGAGGCCTGGTCTGTCCTAACTCAACTCAACAGCTGGACAGGACAAGGGGCTGGCCAACAGATCAAAATATTTTTTCAGCACCAGGTTCGCTCTTGATCCAATTGAACGTCGTCTCATTCACTCCGTTTGGATTGACTCATGGTAGCTGCCTATAATGCTTTGGATGTTCCAGTTGATTAATCCACCCGCTCTAGGTGCCACCCGGTAGTCTAGCCACGGTTATCCTGAGAAACACAAGCTCTGGCAGCATCAATTGGTGTTGGTACTGCCGGAGCTCAACTCAGCTCTAATTCGAGAGGGGTGATGTGATGCCGTCATCCATCGTGCAATCGTACAGTCTGTGGCGCCAATTGCCCTCTCTCAAACTTGACCGGACGCGCCAATTGCCCCCATACGCTCGTTGGAGCAAAGAAAGGACAATAAATAAGAGTTGAAATACAAAAATTGTCCACTGCACTGGGTTCATTCATTGTCAATCAAGGCTTCTATGAACGTCCGGGCATGGAAGGGGAAGTTCTACAATCATGTGATAGTTGGGAAGCCCGGACGGACATAGGGAACGCGGGTGAAGGTGTCGCTTTATTAGGCTGCCCGTGGCAAGCGTGGGTCTCGTCTCCGGATTGGAGCATGCCTAATAAAAGCAGCGGAAGCCTGCTCATGGCAGGTGCGCCGATGTTGATGTCATCGCTCCGGAAGCTTTTTGAATGACCATGAACAATAATTCTACCCTCACGATCTTGTCGCACGCCGCCCATCCACCCACCACTTTCCCTCCATAGCTAATATTCTCTCTCTCGTCGTCCTCCACTCTCCCCAGCCTCCCGCGGATTCCACTGAGTATCCTCACACAAGTTTGTGCCATTGCCGACCTCTACGCGCCCGCCATGGCCCCAGTGCCTTTGATGATATTCTGGGAGTATGTAGCTAGCTAGCTCGATGGCGACCCCATCCAACCTCCCGAGGATGATCATTTACTAACCAGCGGGGTTTCTTGCCGTTCATCTTCTATAGGGGCTACGTGCCGCCGGCGATATCAACCGCGCACGTCCTCCTCGTCACCTACCTGACCTTTGTAGTATCGCGGGGCCTCTATCGCTCCTACCTAGAGCTTCCGCCATCCCAGGCCACCCGGTCCAGAAAATCGCGTCGCCGACAACTAGTTCCCATTTTCGCTGCGCTAGCCCTGGTGAGCCTTGCGCATGCCGTTTATATCGGGTTTGACTACGCCCTCCTCTCCTACAAGGTGTGGGCGGCGAGGAAAGACATTGCGCTACCCATAAAGTATGCCCCCGATATCCAGAATTCTGCCTCCCTTCGCTTCGAGTATGATTTCAATGAGAAACTTAAACCAATTCTTCAAAGGCTTTGGGGACACGGCGGCATCTTCTCCATCCGTGACAGCCAAATTCTAGCCCACGCCTCGCGATGGCTAGCCGAGACACCAATCTACGCGGATGCTTTCGAGATCGTGACGGAAAAGGCAAGACGTCATTGGTGGGGCCAGCAACTCGACCTCGCGATGCTCTCCTGGACCCTGCTCCTCTCCATCGAAGGACGCCGACGGAATATCCCCTTTACCTGGGCGTACCTGGGACTCGCGCATCTCGTCGGCCTCTCCTTTGCGCAAAACTTATTCCACGTCGCGCTCCTCCTCACGCCCGCCCCCGTCCCTTCCACTCCGAGCGACGGCCTCCCGGGATCGTGGTATATTCGAACCCGGGATTCCATCGTCCCGCCCAAGCCGCTAAACTGGTGCCCGCACCCGCTCTTGTACCTCTTTTGCTACGCCCTAAACGGCGGCGCCATCTTCCTAGCCCCCGCGCTGGCGGGCACGGCGTCGTCCGTCCGGCTACTGGCCGCCACAAGAGCGTTAACGTTTCTACCTCTGCTTCTTCCGTATCTCGTCCCGGAATCTTGGGGTACCGTCCACCCGCACCCCCATCGCGCTTACAGCTCCTTCTCTGCGCTCTTCAGGCTGCTATCGGGCGTGAGCTTGGCGCTCCACGCAAGGGCGACGCTCGCCGCGCTCGCGCGTGCCGCATACGACGACCACCGACACCGACACAGCGCCCTGATGCACATCGACGCCGAGAAGCTCGCCGCGTGGGAGCGGACGACGTACGGCCTGGGTCGCATCCTAGGTGCGAGATTCCATCATCCGTCGTCAACCGCGCCGCCTGGGATGTCATCCTCTCGGCCGCCAGCCTCGGCCTGTGGGCTGCGGTGCGGTCAATTACAGCTGACAACATCCTCTCATCGTCAGTCCCCTTTTACCGCCAACAACAACAGACTGAAGCGCACAGATCAGCCACTCTCTCACCCGACATTACCGACGCGAGGAGATTCTCGCCAGGACCGGCATCACAACGGCTTCGCGTTCTGCCACCCCTTCGCCGGAACCCGCGAGACTGCGAAGTCGCCAAGCAAAGTTCCTCGCCAGGCAGCCTTCCACGAGCGACGACGAGGAAGACCAAGGGGGACGCCGAGGACGCCTACGTCCCGACACCCCATGAGCGGGCCAGCGTTCTTGAGGGGGATGAGATGCGGATTGCCGATGGAGAGCTCGGCTGGGAGTCGGCGGCACTCGTTTGGGGAATGACGGCTATTGGGGGCTGGGATGTGGAAGCGCTGCTGTATATGGAGGCGAGTGTGTATCGAGGTGAGGCTAATAAGTTTTGTACAGTAGCTTGCTGTGTAGTAGAGAAGGTACGGTTAAGGGGAGGGGGTTATCTTCTTGTCATTATTTTCGCTTGTGTAAGAGAATCCAGGAACGAGCGGGATGATAGGGAACCGTTCGGTGGGGGTCGGGTTAAATCGGAGTTCTCGGTGTCCCGGGCTGGAGGGTGTTTGACTTCCGGAGGCTCCGTTTATCACATGTTGGCGTGATTGGCGGGGAATCAAGTCGTTCGTTTCTTTCAGTCTGGTTTTCAATGATATTTGCTTTCGCATAGTTTGTCTTTTAAAAATAGTCTCTACCGACTTCTATTTTTCTTCTTCTTTTGGTTAACTTATTTCGGCGTGACATCTCCATTATGGCGCGTTCCTATTAGGCCCTCTCCTCGCATTCGCATCATTGACGCGCCTCATTCGCGATTGCGAACTTCGGTATTATTCTCTAGAGGGTATCGGAGACGTAGTAGATGGAGGAGAAAATAAAGTAAAATCAAGGGAGATAGAAGGATAGTGAAAATGACGTCCCGTTAATGCCTTTTTCGAATGGATACTCTGCATGATACGACATCATCCCTGGGTCATGAAACTCCCGCTTGCGTTCGCCTTTTCTCTTTTCTTTCCTTTTTTATTCTCTCTGTGAGGTGTTCTATTCTAGAACAAAGTGGCCAAAGGGGGTAGGCAGGTTGGATAGGATGTACTGCATCCTTCTGCAGCCTGACAAGCTGGTGACGATGGCGTCCAAGGGTCTCGATGGCTTCACACTATATAGGCGAGCAAATCAACTTGCTTCTTTTCATACCCTGAGGTTCTTGTTCCCTTTTGTTAAGGCGAGGCCAGGAAGGAGATGGGCAGAAGTGATCGGGCAAGGCAATGGGGTGTTGTCATTGGCCTTTCCCCTCTCTTTTCTTTTCCTTCTTTTCTTCTTTTCTTCTTTTTCGTTTCTGTTTCTTTTCTTTTTCTTTGCCCACTAGCGACAGCAGTGCTAGAAGAAGGAGCTCCACGCAAAAGTGGATTAAGGTCAAAAGACAGCGAAGACGCAAAGAATAGAAGTCGGATAGGCTACGGGACTTGGGCTGCCACCCGCTTCCGACCGCGCCGGGCAGACCGAATGGGTTGGTCACTAGCAGAAATGGGTGACCAATCGCTCCCTCTGTCGATATCTGTTGACCGAAGAGACAAGATCTCGGATAACCAAGGGCTGGGTGGCGTCTTTTGCCCCCAATCTTTACTCCCCTTCGAGACCCGCGTATGTCCGAAAGAGGCAACTGGACGAAGCTGGGACTTTGTTGCATACTACCCCTCCGAAAACCCAGGAAAAGGGTGGTGGTGGGCTTTTCGTCCTCTTCCTTCCCCTTCTCCGACCCTGATGGTGGCTTGCAGGAGAGGTGGCGATCTATCGAAAAAAAAAAAAACTCTTCCATCTCATTCCTGCCCTTCTTTTCTTCTGGAATGCCGCGTGTGCCTTCTACATCGAGCCCATCTTCGTCGAGAGGTTCTCGCAACAGGAATGGTCATTGGTTCTCATGTCGATGCGGCCTATCCATTAGTTTCACGATAATGGTGGGGGCATCTCGGAGAACAGCGGGCATCAGCACGGCTGGGGAGAGGAGACTGGGGAAATAGAGGCAGCTCAGTGGCAGGCAAGGGCAGGTTGAAGGGGTGGTGGATTGGACTAGACCTGGCGGGGAATGGAAGAAGAGGGGGCCGGCCAAGTGCAGGTTCCGCTCAATGGACAACGTGCCAACCATGACGTTTTGGTTTAGGCCCGATTGACGGAGCCGTAGGCTTTTGGAAGTTCCAAGAATCTGCCCCCGAAGACTGTCGTTGGTGAATCAATGTATACACCGAGCGACCATTTTAACCTGAATGGACGGGATGCTTGGCCCGAATACAGAGGTTGAGAGGCTAGCCCTGATGGAAAGGTGATACTCTGAGCTACCGAAATCGTGCTTCTTTTTGAGACCTTAAAATCGATAAATCTGTGTTTCTTTGGCTCCCTGCAGAGCATGGAGCGGCCTGGGATCTGAGATCGTGCTCAGCCGACGAAGCGAAGACTGCATGGAATGGATGGATTTGCGCCGGGCCTGCCAGATTGCTGACCTGCTAAGGCATACAAGGTACATTTGGCAGTACAATTGAGAAGTATAGTGGGGCACGTAGGGGAGGGAGGCGGCTCCCCCACCGTAAGTCATACCTTTGGATCGCTCCTGGTCTCGGCCAATCTGAAGAGATGGCGTAACCCAACAGTGTGGATGGGCGGAAGAGTGTGTGTGAGCGTGTGAGAGTGTGTGCCAGTGTGTGTGAGTGTGTGAGAGCTGGGTTGGGCCTTCCGCAACCGCCGACCTCCGCGGGCGGCGCGGGCTTTTGGAACCAACCTCAATGGCTGTGTCTTTTCTTTTTCTTCTTCTTCGTTATTTTTCTTTTTCTTTTTGTCGTTGTCTGCTTTTTGCCTCCTCGGGAACGCTAGCCGAACCATTATCTTCTTCTGCCCCTTCTCCCCTTCCTTGTTAGGAGATGACCGTTAACTCTAAAAAGCTAAGCGGCAAGAGGAACTAGACCCAGTTTTGTAACGAGACTTCAAGAACATCCAAGAGCAAGCACGCCAGCAAAGAACCAAGCATCCGCGGCCCACACACCCACCGACTACGAAATACATGCACTTGAGGATTATATAGAGCTACTCAAACCCCACAAGCGCATCGGGCGGTTCCCTCGGATCCCTCCCCTTCCCCTCGGCCCTACTTCTAATTCATAATACCGTCTTCCAAGCTTCTCTTCTCGAACAAAATCACTCCGGGCTAAGCTGGACCAAAAACCAAGCCCGTTGAATTTTGTAGTGCGGCTAGTGGCAGACACCTCTTGCCAGAAAACATCACCCCTCCGCCTTCACGGGGATACATGCAAACGCACATTCACGCTCGCTCGTTGGACGCACTCTCGCTCTCGCCGCCAGCTCACCGAACGGCCTGCTCCTTCTCTCGCCCATAATCCGAGTTCCCTCGCCGGGGTCAAATCTTCAAAAGGCAGAAAATAAAACAGCTATTCCCCCTCCACTCTAGCGGACATTGCACGCACCAATCTCACCGCCGCCCAACCTCACCGCTTTTCTCAACATGACTATTCGCGATAAGTTTAGACGCGCCCTTGGCGGCTCGCGACCTTCGTCCGACTCCTCGTCGTCTACCTCTGCGGCCCCTTCTATCCTCTCTGCTTCAAGCCCGACTCCTTCCACCTCTACGACAACCTCGGCTCCGGACTCGCAATCTAGTCTCTCTTCCCGCTTCAAGGCCCTGTCCCTTGGGCGGCGGAGCGGCAGGACGAGCGACAAGAAAAGTTCGTCGACGAGAGGCAACTCGCCGGATCCCCGAGAGAAGCCCTTTACCGAGACCAACTTGCAGTATCAAGCTCTCCTCGAACCTTTTACCATGACGTTCGGTGCCACGCGGCGGTTGAGCGTCGACGATGATCTCATCAGCCCCTGCACCTCGAGGAGAAACAGCGTCATGGCGTGAATCAGTTTGGACAGTGATGACGGCAGATGATCTTCATGACCTTGGAGTTTCTTTCTTCTTTTTCTTTTTCCTTTTCCCTTTTCCTTCTCTTTTCTTATACATCGCTCTCTTTCGGCAAGGAGTTCCATTTCCCTGTGCCCACTTTACTTTTTCTTTTTCCTTTGTGCCTTTCTGCTTGTTCCTCTGCCACTTCGGCTGCAGCGAGAAAAGCAAAGGCGATGACACGAGATGGGTTCTAGAGTAGACCCTCATAGAGACACGAGTCAGGCGACTGAGCAAAACATCATAATCATGGGCATGGATGGAACTTTTTTCTTTCTTTTTCTTTCTTTTTCTCTTCCCTTCATATGGGATGGGGACGGACAAATGGGTATACTGTTCTCTTTCTTCTTCTCGGGCCAACAGGAAAAGATCATGGATATCGGCGTTTTGGAGATACGAGATCGGGTTGATTAGACGGAAGACAATAACATTTGCATCATGTTACACCATCAATGTTTCCATCTTTGCTGCGTCGCATTCTATGGCATATGCTACGAGTGACGCCGCCATGAGGTTGATGTGGAAAGTGGTTTTATACAAAACTGCTCCCAACTTTCACATGCATCCATTACTTGCTGCCCTTGAGACTTGTTCTCCTCTTCATCGCGGCTCACCGAGTCCGGACTCCGGCCAATGTGACCAAATTACTTTACTCAACGTCTCGGCACACGGGGGCAGACACGGGGCATACACGGCGCACGTTGAGGACGAGGCTACGGAATCATCGGGTTGAGGACACGAAGGGAGAAAAGCAAGCAAGATATGTGACGGTAGTTAAATTACGGGGTCCTTCACGGAAAGTGAAAAATAAAAACCCAAGGTCCCGTACTCAAAGAACACCGTGGCGATTTGTTCTTGTCTAACATTGCGAGAAAAGGAAGCCTCGACCTGGTTTTAAGAGGCCGGGGGCTTCCCTTCCTCGCACGTCCAGCTCAAGATCAGTGGTGGAGGCGCCGGAGCTGATCGAGCGGTGGCAGGAGACGACGCGATATTGGAATTACGAGGAGTGGTAGTGATTGTGTCAAGCAAAGGAGAAACAAAAGAGAAAAAAAGAAGCGTTTTACTTCTGCATGTCGCTTACTTACGCCCTGTTCCTCGACAAGGTTTTCTCTTCATTAGATTTAATACATACGAGCGGCTGTGTGTCCCCTCAGGCTCGCAAGCTCGGTCTTGGACGAGAGTCACGCCAACGGTAGGGTTGTCCGATGGATTCTTGTGCGCGTACGTCTGCGAGAAGCTCACGGCGATGAGGCGAAGCAGAGACGTCGTGTCGTATCAGTGCCGAGGCAAGGGTGTGCACCTCAATTGGATCAATGGGGCCTCAGCCTTGCGCTTCATTTATGCTCTTTTTGTTCGCTTTGTCGCTTTCTCGGCTTGTTGAAAGGTCTACGCTGCTCAGTGTTTTACCGGGAGTGCGGGAAATAAGGGAATATGCGTGCTCTGAAAAGATGACATCTGAGGGAGCAAAGATTTCCATCGGAGGGTTGTGCGTGTGTGTTTGATGACTAAGCGGAACTGCTCTTTGGGGCAAGTCAAGGATGGATCTTGGCACAGGGATGGGAACGACGGGAGCCAGCGCCGAGACGGAATATCGGCACCCTTGTCGTGGCTTGACGCCAGATTTGTGGAAACCGGGCCCGGGATGGGGTAAAATGGGAAAGGTCCAGATTAAACGTGCGTCCCCTTTTTTCCTCTTTTCTCCCCCTTCCCACCCACCCACTCAAGCCACAGTCCAGGAGAACCGGCGGTCCACCGAAATTTATCTGCTGTGGAGTGCAGCGTTCGCGAGGAGTAATCAACAAAATCTCTGCGCTAGTCAACGTCACCCCTGTAAGAAGCACGAGCTCAACGTCAGGGGATTGAATGAAAAGATTCCCCCTGTTGCATGCGACTTGTAAATGAGAAGAGAAAAAAATTATCAATTTGATTGGACTTTTTGAAAGGGTTTGTTTTTCGCGTTTGGTCAGGGGAGCTTGAAGGTCAGCACGACAAAAGATCCCAAGGAAACGGGCTAGCGAGCCAGCTGGGCTGAGACTTGACCATCCTTTGATCCCTTGACGTAGTTGCGCTCTCCAGACCTTGTGCTGGATTTTTGGGTACATGTGTATGAGCTGAAGAGGCCAGCCTTCTCATGCTTGGAAGCCAACGCTTTGTTCACTCGTTCTTCTGGCTTCGCCTGGAGGATTGATAGTGTAACAATACGTGTAATGCACACGTACAAGTACACTACCTCGGTATTGTGGTGGCCAACATTGACTGAATGGACCTCGAATCCACTCATTCGTCCAGCGCACATCCTTGTCTAATAAGGGTGACCGGCGATGTTCCCACAGACAAGGCCAAAGATCAACATACCCTCCATGCCGGATGTATTTATTTGATAAGGGGAGGGCGCGTGTGTGTGTGTGTGTGTGTGTGCGAGCTCCTCGGCCCCGTCACATTGCACACCACTGGGCCTCTTGTGTTCCAAGTGTTGTCTCACCACGCCGTTATCCTGGCTTCGGGCCCTGCCTTGGCAGTAGATGATCCATCATTGATCAGTTGCAGAAGGACGAGGTTCACGGCCTGACGTGCACTATACCCGGCCCGCTTCGTTGTGTACCTACTTGTATGTCTCTCTTGCCAGCGCGGTTCAAAATTTTGCCGCTGGTTGATTCAAGCCGAAGAAAGGCTCAAAGTACACCATTCCTATTGTTGTTACCTCCCCCAATTTCAGTTCTTTCAGTCGCGTTTTGTAGCTGCTTTGCCTCATACGAGAAAGAAATGCTATGATCGAAACCAGGGCTTTTTCGGTTGACAGGTGAATGAAAGAAAGAAGGAGAGAGGAGATAGTAAGGACTTTTGAACGCAGAGGCCGTGATGCCGAGCTTCCCTTGGGACAAGGCCATGGCCGGCGTGGGAGCCAGACGCCACATAAATATACTTCATACATAGAGTGAGGTGGGTTAGACCAACCAACACAATGAACATCATTGATATCCATGGATGAATCAAAGTCTGACCTTATTCTTCTTGTTTGCATTGTCAGCTGCGCTACAGCTATCCCTGGGGGCCTGTTTGGGGCGTGAAGGGCCTTTGCCACATATCTCGACGGCTGTTTGTATTCGGGGCAAGCTGCACCGGATGATCGTGGATGTCCGTTCAATGTTCTTGGAGATTGATACTTGGGCCATGGTTGGACATTGATCCGTTGATTGTATCCACTGGATCCATGTACAAGTATTTTCTGGGAAAAGAATACCGAGATACCCTCCCAAAAGTATGGGGGTGCCTGTGTGCCTGCCAGCCTGGGTAGCAGGGTGGGTGGGTAGGTGACCCCAGTGACCCCAGTGACCCGTGCCTTCCTACGGTCGACGAGATGCAAAAAGGGAAAGTGCTTGCTCTGCTTTGGTGTTTCTGTGGCCTGTGTGGACAATGTGTGGACAATGTGTGGACAGCGTGTGGACTGTCGTTGTATTCATCTTCCCCATCATATTTCCCGTCCACTCAATCCAACATTACATACATGGAGTCGAGACTCCATTCTCCATGATCCGTGTGGTCTTGGCCTTGGCCGTGTCTCCCCTTCGCTTGGCTCCCCTTTGTCGAATTTCCCGTCCGACTCGCGTGACCTTGTCTGGTTAATCCGTTCTCCCCTCTTCTTGTTTTGAGTTCCTGAGCAAGACACTGCCTCTGGGGATCGAGTCTTTTCTTTTCCTTTCTCTCTTCTTTGCTCTCTGTCCTTTGACCTGTTTTCTTGTCTTTTCCCTTGAGTTTTCCTTTTTCCTTTTTGCCTTGCGAGACCCTTTTTTGCGTCGGGCCTCGAGCGAGACGGAAACCCCCACCGAAATTCTTATCTCTGCCGGTTACCTGTAAACCCTCGACCCGCCAAGACTTGCATTTTTGCGAGCGATTTTCCCTTGGACAAGGCTCGAAACGAACGGACACCATTCGATTCCATGATCTCTTCTCGTCACTGCTCCTGCGCCTCTCTGCGATTTGCGTAGGAGGCAAGTGAAGCTTCGTCCGCATCTTTTGTTCAGTATGGCGCTCTCTTACACGGCAGACGCTGGCCTCTCCAAGTTCACACATCTCGGTCGCCTGTTGGTCCGAACCGCGCTCGCCTTTATTCTTCTCTCCACCACACTGCAGACTCTTCAAAGAGGTTCGTAGCTCGCCATGCGTGTTTTTCAAATCGCCCCTCTGCGAGAAGGGGGACCAGTCGCCGTGCTTGGGGGCAACATGAGAAAAAGGAAGCAACCATGGGCGGAATTGTTCTCTGCTTGCTACCTTTTTTTCCCCTGTTCCTTTTTTCTCTTCTTCCCCTTTCCGCGCTTTGAAGCTAACGTCGACCCTCCACTCTTTTATTTGGACCCTCTGCGTCTCTAGTGCGGGATGATGATTACAAGTGCAAGTCACTCTTCCATTCTGGTTCCTGGGGCACTAGCTCCAACACCAACCGCCCCTTCCTCCAGTGGATCCCCGATGATGGCACCGTCCACGACTACACGCGCGACGACACCGTTTCATGCCTCCGAGGCCGACGCATTGTATTTGTTGGCGACTCGTGGATTCGACAATTATTTTGGGCTGCAAGCACTCACTTAGACCATTTTAAGCAAGAAGTTGCCACTCTCGATTTTCATCTCTCGAGCGAAAAGGAGCGTAATTTGGCCCTCGAAGCAGAGGGTGTGAGGCTCGAGTTTATTTGGGACCCATGGCTCAACTCCACTAATCTAGCCCGGGAATTGGCCCGCTTCACTCCGGTTGCCGAAAATGACGAGAAGCGTCATCCCAACGCCGCGATTGATGCGCCGGCCCTGCTCGTTGTTGGCACGCCAGGCATGTGGGCAATGAGGCATGGCGGCGCCGAGTCTATGAACACTTTCCGTACCGGAGTCGACTCGTTGTTGCCCTTCCTCAAGTCAGACCTGGATCCTTATACTAACGGCATGTACGGTGCGCAACATCAACCATTCGAGGCCATCCCGAACCAACTCATCGTCGTCCCTGTCCCGATTCCCTACTACAAGCGCCTCACCCCCGCGAGAAAACAAACCATGACTCCGGAAAAGGTCGTTGCGATGAACGACTATCTTGCGAAGCTTCCTCGTCCGTCCAATCGCACATCCCCTGGGTTTTTACCCATATGATTGACGGACAGCCTGATGCTTACAACGTGAACGGGATCCACGTTACCAAGGATGTACGGGAGAAGGCGTTTAACCTCTTGATCAACGCCCGGTGCAACGCCGGTCTTAGTCCTAGAGTGGAGGGCGTTCGGTCGCTGGCCTGCCGTGCTGCCGAGAGCTCGACACTCATCCAATCCGTAATTGTTCTTGTAGGAATCGTCGCTACCCCCTTGGCTTGGTTCAAGTCTCGGGGCGAAACCCCCACCGTCGCTTCAGTTTACGCAGCGGTCGCCCCGCTCTCGCTTGCCGCGCTTCTCTGCTGGATGACCGAGAAGACAACCATCTTCACCAAGAATCTTCGAGACTGGGACCCGGCGCAGTTCGCGTTCCAGATCGTCGCCTTCGCCGCCATCTCTTTTATAACGCTCACGAACCGGCAAGATACTGGACGACCATCCGCCAAGGCGCCACCCGCGATACCTCGAGAATATTCCGACGAGTTGAAGGGCCTCCTCCAGGTCGTGATCATTTGGTGCGGACAGTACGATGCCGTTTCAAACCTTGGCGTCTTCAAAATATTTCGAATCGCCATCGCCGCTTATATCTTCCTGTCTGCGTATGGACACGCTACGTACTTGCTGTCTACTAGTGACTATTCCTTCCGCCGCATTGCCACCGTCCTGCTTCGTTTCAACTTGCTCAGCTGTGTCCTCGTCTTTACAACGTCGGCCCCTTGGACGACGTACCACTTCACGGCTGTGGTTTCGTTTTGGTTCTTGGTAACTTATGCAGTGCTCGCAGTTCATAAACCGGCGAACGGCAATATCCCCGCGCTATTCCTGAAGCTTATGGCGAGCGCCATCGTGGTCAACCTGGTGATACTGCGATCCGGCCTTGTCGAGACCTCGGTCAATATTGCGAACGCCATTTTGCGTTCGAGCTGGGATGGGGGCAAGCTGTCCCGTGAGCTTGCGGTGGATAGCATTACTCCGTTTATCGCGATACTCTCGGCTGCTCTTACCCATCGCGCTGCGCAACTCCGAACCCACGACGCCCCCGTTCCAAGTGATTTAAAGCCGTCCCTCTTATCCGAATTCCTCGACGACGTTATCAGCGCTATCGCCGGTCACGAGTCCCCACGCTTCGGTGCCGGTCAGCTGGCTAAGTCGATCTTTACCGCCTTTGCCGCCTTCATTTTGGCGACCATGGCCTTGGTCTTTTCCAATGTCGTCATCCGATACCGTGATACCGCAGAGTTATGTCACCCGCTCCTCTCGTGGGTTCCAATCGTGGCAGCCGTGTACATTCGTGGCACTTGCCAAGGGCCTTATCTTGCATTCCCGGCTTTCCTCGGCAAAATCGCTCTCGAGGTATATCTGTTGCAGAACCACCTCTGGCTTGTCGGTGGTGGCACGGATATCCTCAGGTTATGGCCTCGCAGGACCGATCCTTCCATACTGTACCTCGGCATCTATTATATTCAGCGCATCTTCATCACCATCGCCTTTCTCTGGATCGCGGCCAAGTGCCACGATGCTACCCGCGCTGCCGTCGATCTGATCGTTGGCGGTGACGCCGCGGAGCAGCAAGACCTCGAGGCTTTGGATGCCGACCTCCTCGAGAGCAAGGGCGCCGAAATCAAGCTTCTAAAAGCCCAGATCCAAGACCACGAAGTGAACGTGAACCAGTGGACGCAGGACCCGAAGTGGCGGTTTGGCGTCTTCCTCGGCGTGCTTTGGGTTGCGAACCTATTGTACGATCTCTAAAGTCCGAGAGCATGGGACAACACACCTTGTCCCCCCTCCAGCATTTGTTTTACTCTCTTCTTTCCCACGTGTCCCTTTTCTTGTTCATTTTCCTCGTTTAGGCCTTTTCCTTTTTGGAAAGGAAAGCATGTCCAACGAAGACGAGACTGCCTCGTCTCAACATCAGAAGCATCATTCTCATTTAGAGAACCATACATTCACCAACCTCTCCTCCCTCTCCATGGCCTCCCGAAACTAGGGAGGTCCCCGACCCAAAACTACGGGACTTTCGTACGATTTCCCTTCTTCTCATGTCTGCATACGCATAATGCATAATGGTTTTATTATACCGGCCTACCCCCGGTATTCATTCCCATCACCTTCCTTGCTTCTCTTGTCTTGTTTTCTTTTTGCTTAGTTCTCCCGCACGATAGGGAAGCGGTGATAATAGCGGCGGCGGTCGGTCATTGACCGATTCCACCCAAGGACGCTTTTTATCTTGACATTTTCATTTTTTTCTTTCTTCTTCTTCGTCTTGGATGCCTTCGATTCTTGTATCTATTGTTACTCTTTTAAAACTGCCATGCCTGGGTTGGGTCTGCATATTTATATACTACTAGCGAGCATGGCCGCCAAGCCTCGGGCGGCGCACAAGATGGGAGGAATTGGACTGTAATACCTAACTTGAATAACGATACTCTTTCTTGTTTACTTCTATTTTGTTTCCTAATAAAACTTTCCTGAGAAGTAGAGGGAGGGTGCGTGATGAGGAGTCACTATCGACTCGTCTAAACTCGCAACTAGGTCATCATCTATGGAGATGAACGGTGAATACGTGAGATACAAAAAATGGTTATCTTCAGGATGCAGGCCGCATGCACAAATTGGTGCTTCGTAGTAATGTTGGAGCTGGGAAAAAGATAATTCCCAGTATACAAAGTGGTATAAAACTCCCGCCCAAAAACAATGATACAAAAGAAAAACGCAAAGGTAAAAGGAGGGCTAGGGGCTGCTCCCAACCTAAGCAAACTTGTGCCTCGTAGATGTGAGAGCATCCTCACACCCTTGGAAGTACTCTCGCTTGCCACTCGTTGAGAAAGGTTTCCTCGGGATCAAACTCGTCCCTGATTTCTCTCCAGCGCTTGTAGTTCACGTACATCCGAGGGACCATCTCCTCCCCGGGTCCCTCATCATTTGGCCCCAGTGGACCCTGACGGCGTCACCAACGTGTACAGGCGCATTTCCGCTCGCACCCTTTTCGTCTATGATGGGCTTCTCTGCGGGCTCTTCGGAGTCGCTCTTCTTGAGCCCGGAGAGCGCGACTCTGACGGCGGCGTCATACCCGTCAACAACTTCCTGAGCGTACCCAGTGCTTGCCGTAAATATGAACTCGAAGGCGCACGAATCTTCCGGAACACCGAGCATTGCGTTTGACTTTCCCACGAACCTCACGGCGGCCGGGGCTGTGGTATACTTTCCTGATTTGCAAGTTGGCGCGCCCGCTGCCTCACTGCCTCGAGAGCGACGAGGTACTGGTCATCGGCAAGTGGAACATAGATCGTACACGCCAGCGCCGGGATAGCGTTCGTGCCGGCGCCAATGTTGAACACATTGAAGCTACGGTCAATATACGCATCGTTGATTAGGGATTGCAAAGCGGAGTCGTTCAATCGCGGGACAAGGCTCGGGAACACGGCGATGAGGGTATCAACGGTGCGTATCAGGATGGAACCCCAGCGCTCCTGAAACCACGTGGAGAAGGCAGGGCGGCTGAAACGCGCGGGCATCTCGAGCGTGCGAATCAGGTCCCTACCTGGCGGCTGGAACGAGAACTTGGCGTCCTCCGAAGGGCTCAGGGCGAGAGGGTGGCGAGTGGTGACCACAACCTTATCGCTGTGGGGGTTGATGAGAAGCTCAAAGTGGTACGCCGGCTTTGGGTGGCTCGCGAAGCCACCATCCTTGCCATCTGAGATTGTGGGGGTAGCTGTGCGATCTCGGCGGGAAGGAGCGTCTTATCGATGCTAGTGAGCTCATAGACTTTTTGTTGGCGAGCTTGGTCTTTATCTCGGCGATAGAGCTAAGCGTTCGAACCTCTTTCAAGTGAAACTTTGGCGCGAGGCGGAGTAGATAGGACCGCACCACTCCCATAGTCCCCATGTTGATAAGCGCAGCGTTGAAATACTCATCGTTCTGGATAAGCCGAGCATTGGGAAAGTGGACTAAGAAAGCACTGGGATCCGTGACGGCTCCTGAAGCGGAGGCAGGTTCGATGCGAATAAACTTGCCGTCGCGGCGCACGAGATCGATGCTCACGATGGCATCTGCGAGGTGGGACGATGTCATGACGGATCCGTGCGTGCCCGTGTTGAACATACCGCCAAGGGTCTGGCCATCGAATCCACTAAGTACGGGGAAAGCTAGGCCCAGCTCCCAGGCAAACTTGTTTACCTCACGGATAGTATTACCGGAACCACCTCGTACGAGAGCCTCAAGCCCAGGCTCCTTACCCTCGGTGGTGCATTTGGCGTAAACATGTGGAGCTTCATCCTGTGCACGTTGGAGGAGTTTAAGGTTATCGGGTAGGATATGAACGTCGCTTGTCATGGCCACACGCGACCACGAGTGCAACGAACCACCTGCCTTGATTTTGTGATTGGACAAAAGGCCAGTGCGTACCCAGGCGAGTGTGGGGCTGAGATCGTCGATAGAGGGGCAGAGCATGATCTTTGGTGTCCAGACGAGGTGGCGGCCGTTATTTGCCAATTGAAGCGGCACGACACTCTCGATCCAGGGTACGCTCGACGGTTCTCGAGCGGGCAATGCAGCGTCGCGTGCGAAGTAGCCATCTTCTACCCATGCAATCTCGCCAAGGTGTCCATCAGTGCCGAGAAGGTAGGTCCAGGGGTGAGTGGATGGCCGCCGAGAGGTAAACCATCGAGTAGAATCTTTTGAAAGGGAACTTGGAAGAAGGTGCGGTTCCGATACTTGAAAACTACCCAAAATATGGGCGGAGGCTCTGGCGTGGTGCCGTTTAGTGCGTCAGATGGGGGAGGTGAGGTGGCTGTAGTACGAACACGGGTGATTAGGTAGACCTCCCGCCTCGAGCGGCTGGAAATCGCATCGCGAAGTGAATCGACGTCGTCGTAGTGCGATATGGTGGAGGGTGTGAGGGTACGCTTGCCAAGATAGGAGCGAGGCCGCCACTGCAGCTTGGGGTGCGAGAGCTGAGAAAGAATGCCTGGGAGAGCCATTCTTGTGTGATGGGATCGCTCGCTAGAGGCTCGAAGGTGATGAGGCTGGGCCAGGGGCGGTCAGCTAAAGAAGTGGCAGGACCAAGAGTTTGAGGTCCCTGGCCGCGAGGTCAGTCAAGTGAGACGACTGTATCGGGCGGTAGACGTGGAGGAGTTGGCGGAGGTGGAGAGGCTTTGACAGAAAAGCAGGAACATCAAGTGATTAAATGGCGAACGCGACTGATGACATCTTGAGGTCACACCTCGCGGAGACAGCTCTAAACTCGAGAATTATACGCTGTAATAATTTACTGATTATTATTGTATATTTTGTAACGCGTATAGAGGTGGAAGGATAGAGGGTATAGTAGGTGGAGGAAGAAACGGGACGGAAGTGAAAAGAAAAAAAGAAGGAAAAAAGAGACCAGACAAAAGAAAAACCAAGACCCTCCCCAGAACAAAAAAGCCATCTAGCAGGGCAAGGCAGGGGCGGCGAGTTGAGGTTGAAGAAGCCATGGTTGAATGCAAGATCCAGTGTGATGAATGGGAATGGACGAGGGATGCAGGGTGGTGTTAGCCCTTTCCTAATTGAGCCTGGAGCCGCCACCTGCAGCGACTCGAGCGGGTACCAGAAGGTGGGAGCTCTGATTGCGACTGCCTATCGGAGCTCGAAGAGGTTTCTCGGGCCTGTGGTCCAAGCCCTCCTGGGTTGCACTTTCAGGGTTCTTTTTCGTCTATTTTGCCCTTCTATTGATCCTTCCTTGTGGAGCAGTTGGTGCTTGACTGGGGTCGGTTGCGCAACTGACAGCGGGGAGCACTCACGGGCCAGCCAGATCAAGGCAAATCTCGACCCCGGATGATGGATGAGGGATGCGTCAATGGTCCATTCTATCCATCCATCGATGGATTTGATGGCTCAACACTCGGAGTGAGAATCCCAAACAGAAAAAGATGGACGGCTTGGAAGAAGCTGGGAAACGTGTCCTCACCAAGAGGCTCCTCTGGGGGATAACGCCATCACAGCCTGCCCTCTGTTACGTGCTGCATGTGCACTCATGGCGGCGCTGCTATCAATGATAAAGTGCCGGGCGCCCAACTACGCTCTGGCAAGGACACTGATGAACCTCGCTCGGTGTGCTTTCTCCTTCCCCCTTTCACTCTCCTCGCTCTCGACAAGGGCTGTCCAGTGACGCTATCACCCAAGCCAAGCAATGCTGTCCACCACCCTCGTTCCAACGCCCAACCCCTGCCTAGCCTCGGGCACGGGCATGGTTCCGTCTTCACCGCGGTGCGCTAGATCCCGAAAAGGGCACAAGGAAGCTCCAGAGCAGCGCACAGAGAGGAGGAGGAGGGGGAGCCAAGAAGAAAAAAAAAAAAACAGCTTCACAGGTTGAACCAGACTAATGGGTCCGGACTGTTACTCCTGCTTCTTGCATGGCCCAATTACACCGTCCCTGCAAGGTTCCCCGGCCAGACTCATCCACATGGTCGAGACCTTGACGGATCATGCAGGCTGGTCACAAAAAAGCAACACAGGGAATTTTTGTTCGCTCCTACTTTTGAAAGGGTAATAAATATGCGACAGGGCAACTGAAATCCATGCTCGAAGCAGGATACCAAGGTTTACCATAAATTTTCTTTAATGACAGGCGGCTCGCACTCTGTACGCAAAACAAGGCTAGCAGCTATGGTATCTATCTGTGCTCTCCACTAGAAGAATCCGATACAATCGTGTGACAGCCACGAGCCAGCCACAACTCAGGGCACTGGCTTCAGGCAGCTCACTCCACTTGCCGCATGTGAACGGCCGGGCAAAGAAAAAGAAAACAAAACTAAGAAGAAGGGGGCCTAGGTATATTCGGCAGAATGATGCAGCGGCTACAGGCAATCTATGACTGTTCTAACTAATCTAATTTACACATGGGTTCTCTTCAAGTGGGATTCTCGAGGGCGATCTTACAAGCTCTCGTACGGCGAGACATGTCCATTACTGTTGTTTCTTTGCTGCCTGCTTTCGAGTCTCTTTGCCGTTGCTGTTCCGGGCAGCGAAGAAAAGTGAAAAAAGCACCCAACCGAATCCGACTAAAATCGTCAGCGCTGTACCCGCCTCGACCCAACTAGACTTTTCCACGGCTAGAACAGGCACACGAAGCTTTGTCACAAGCGTCGCGTGGCTGGCCGCGGTGGAGGGGTCAGGTCGCGGTTCTACGTGCCAGAAGACAGTGCGGGGCGCAAAAAGACGGTCATAGCCAAGGTTGGCCCGATCAAAGGGGCTGTCGGTGAAAGACGCTTCGCCCTCGGCCTTGCATGCCCAGAATACAGAAGGGTAGGGCACCTCCGTCTGAGCGAGGCCGCCGAGCGCTGGGAGCATGTAACGGAGGTGGAGGGGATCTCAGCTGTCCATGGCGAGCTACTCGAGCTCGGAGGAGCCAGGTCAAGGAGAACGGCCGAACCCCATTGAGGGTCTTGTACTCGGGCATCTCGAGGTCGACTGGCGTGCTTGCATATCGAAGCCTGGTGAGGTTCTTGGATGCCATGAACAGGTCGTCGGCAAGCTGGTAGCGGTCCGCGAAAACGGTCTTGGGGAGGGTTAGGTAGGCGTGAAGACCGCATGAGCCATCGTAGGCCTGATTCTCGACGGCTGCCGGCGGCGGCTTAGGTGAGGAAATGGAGAGTCGTAGGGTGGGATGCAACCCCTGAGGCTCCACGACGCCCACCGAGAAGCTAGAGTCCGCCTGTCGATGCCGTGATGGGATGGCGTAGGCGATAATGGACGGCTCCTTCTTCTCGTCGGTAGCAGCCGCCGCAACTAACCCACCGAGCCCGATCTCATGGGCATCGCCGGCAGACGGGTCGGTCGAGAAGATTCCCAGCTCGGCTCTGTGCTCCGCCGTCGACTTGACAGCCACGTTCTGGATCCCACTCGGCCAGAGGGCCGTGATCCGGAGAAGTTGAGACACGGGGTCCCATGAAATGTCAAGCGACGCAGCTGTCTTGAGAGCCTCAACGGAGGTGCTGCACTCTGTGTCGCCGGGGAGACGCAGAGAAGCTGCTGGGCCTTGGTAACGAAGAGGTCAAGATGTTCATAGACCTGGTAATACTGCAAAAGTCCGACTTTGTGGAGCCCAACTCTGGAAGATCAATGAAGGCCTCGGGATCACCACAGTCTAGAGGACCAAGATAGCTCTCAAGAACGGAGCAGATGCGTGTTCTGTTGAATGGACAATTAGCTACAACCCGGCTTTCATGTCGACACAGGCAAACCTGCGGGATTGTAGACCTACGAGTCTTGGCGGGCTGAGCCGAAGGGAGCAGAAAGGAGGTGGAGGCCGGGAGGGATACGCGAGCTTAGAGGCTCTCTGGTTTCATAGGGGAAGAGGTCGCCCATCTCACGTGGAACTCATGGGCAAGGCCGCGAAATATGATCGCGAGATCATCAGGGAGCTCATCCAAGGGAAGGGTGAGGCGTTCTTCCCTGACAGCCAGAACATCTGGGGAGGAGATGCTCCCATGGTCAAGCTTGATGGATGCGGGATCGACACCGTGGTCCGGTGTGTGGATCAAGGTAATCCTCCGCCGCATTGTGTCTCTAAAGCTTAGCTGGATGCGGGATTGGGTGGGTGGGGGATAAGCAAGGCAAAGCGGCGTGGGGAGGGGGAAAGTGTGCAGTTGAGTAATACAATGTCCCGACGCAGCTACGTAAGGGATCGGTCTGCGGAAAGGGGGAGGGCGAGGAAGTATTACGCGAGAGGCACCGGTGTCAAGGTCAGCCTAGTGTAGCGGCGATCCTGTCCTGTCGGTAGACGGAAGCAACGCAAGTCAAGTGCGGCTCCAGATGAGTCGCGGCGTCTCCTGGTGGGGAACGGGTTGAAGGGGGGCGCAGAGGACGATGGGAGTGGTTTGGTGTCGTGTGCCTGGCGCCAGATTGGAGCTATTCTTGACAGAGATCTCGGTGACGTGTTGACAAGGGTCAATGAATGACGGTTGGCGGCCTGGTGTGGTGCGCTGCTTGAAACGGCTCCACAGAAGCTATAAGGAGCTTGTCGCATGCGCGCTGAAGGCAAAAGCAAGGCTGGTAATGGAAAGCTGCTGTCAATATGGAGCAATCAATAATAGGGGATTGATTTCGAAGGAGCTCAGCTTGCAGGAGAGGATGTACTGTACAAAGCGGGTGTTGCCGATATGCCCACCAAAATCGGGAGTCGAGCTTCTGGAGGGAGCACGTGGTCCAGCCAAATGAAATTCTTGGCTTGGCCGACTCGGGTCGCGAATGGGCCATTCCTTCAAAGTACCGGTACCGAAAATCCATCTGCTTTTGTTCACCGATGGAGAATCGCCGCTAAACCAATTTGGTCCACCGACAGAAACATGCGCGACAACGCCTTCCTTCTCGGTTTCGCTCCTCTCGCTCCCTTCCCGCCGGGCCAAGCCCACTGCCGCTCTACTGAATAGAGACTGCGACGACAAGGTGGTTTCTTTGAAGCCAAAAGACCATTGAGGGCACGAGGGGGACAACATCAATGTCACTCATATTCACGCATCTCTTCAATCTTCACTTCCTTACATGTTCCTTTGCCTCTCGTGCCGCTTTCCCCCATAACTTTTCCCTTGGCCCCCAGACTTAGAAGACAGACATCCGTTTTTCTGATTTTTAAATTTCACTCCCTCCCAACCTTTCGTTCAAACTGCAATGACTGTGATTCTGTGACTCTGGCTCTTTGGCTAGACCCTCACTCCCGGGACACGAGACCGCGCCCCGGAGCACGCATACCCACATTCGCGCCAAGCCTCATACGCTCTCACCATGACAGAGGCACCCTACGTAACGATACGATCGAGGCAGACGGCCGGAGGAGGAAGCAGCCTGCCCACAAGTGTATGTGCCGACTACCAAGCCGAGACCTCAACCGTTGCTGTGGTTGAGGGGGTTTGGATTTCGCTTCTCGTGATGCCAACATTCTAATTGGAGCCCTTGCTTGTTGAACAGAGTATTCCTCCGCGATCTGCCACTCACGATATAAGCCGCACGAGCTATCATGTCAAGCATATCAGCCAGTTTGCTCAGACCCTAGAAGAGGTTAGCCAGAAAATGACCTTTTATTTATTCCACGTTAATCTTCTCGGCCACCGCTGACATGGCTCTCGCCTTCTTTCCCCTAGTCCGCGAAGAGGGCGTTTCCTAATCGTGGCCGGTCCTCCCAAAGGTATAAGAAGGTACAGGCTCTCCTATTGCACTGGAGTACCGATGATCTCTTTGTGCTTCCCGAGTTGGAGGACCTGGAAAAGTGTCTGCGCGAGGATTACGCCTTCGAGACGGATATATTTCCCATGCCTGCCGACAATGCGCACCTGGAGCTCATGATGAGGATCGGCCAACTAATCAAGCAGCACGAGTCTACCGACACCTTGTTTGTGGTGTACTATGGCGGACACGCGCGAATCGACGAGTCGAGGCAGAGCAGATGGTGTGCGTATGTGGGCATTCTTTCTAACATCTCCCCCAAACCTACCTACAGTGAGCGATGTTAACCTTGGTGCGCATATGCTAGGACGAGGAACCCCGATTCCCCGTGGTTACAGTAAGTTGATCCTTTGTATCCAAGCTGGGATCCTGCGCATTCTATGTGACGACGTTGTTGACTGTCTCTCTAGGTGGTCCGCTATCCAGACATTACTTGAGCGATCCATATCGGACATTCTCATCCTCCTCGACTGCTGCGCCGGTGCTGCCAGCGCCACTTTCTCAACCGGAAGTAGCATAACCGAAACCATTTCAGCTTCGAGTTGGGACGCCATCGCACCAGACCCGGGCAGGTACTCCTTCACCAACGCCCTGATTGAAGTGCTCCAGGAGTGGCGCATACGAACGTTTTCCGCCGCGATGCTGCACGCCGAGGTGCTCGCCAGGTTAAAACACCCCCGCCCCATCATGATCAATGGCAAGTATTTTGAGGCTAGGTCAACACCGGTCCATTTCATGATGACCTCAGATCACAAGGCCCCCAGTATCGAGATTTCGCGCACCGCCGCCTGCGAGCCGTCTCCAGCTTCGCCTCCCCAGGGCCCTCAAACACCCCTTGCCCACCCTATCCCCGGCCTATCACCCCCATCACGCGCGATCACGCCTATATCGACAGCAGCTCCGAGGAGGTCGTTGGAACACCAGAGACGAGCACCACCAGCGTGAGCGCCGCGTCGGAGCCCAGCGAGAATGTGCCCCACGTCATGATTTCTCTAGCCCTCGAAGATGACCAGAGACTGGACTTGAATGCTTGGGAAAGCTGGCTGTCTAACTTTCCCGCCCTCGCCAAGTATGTCAAGGTCCAGGGCGTTTTCAAGAGCCATTCCACTCTCCTCCTCGTTTCGATGCCTGTGATGATCTGGGATCTTTTGCCCGAGAATGAGGCCACATCCTTCGTCGCCTTCATCCGCTCCAATAACCTCGCAATGCCAAGCACTCAGCCAAGGACCGCACCAACTGCCGTATCGTCTACCAACGACCAAGCCGCGCCTACGAATATCCGCCCGCAGTCCGAGTTCTTCGACGACGGCACCACTATTACCCCTCCGTTGGACCGAGCTTTATCCGAGAATACGAGTCCACACAAGATGCGCAACAGCAGGGCCGCAGCGTCGGCCTACGGTCCGTTCAGTCGGCGAAGTCCTTGCCCTCATTACCCTACCGGACTTCACCCTCTGGGGCCAGCCGGCCGACCGGGGATATCTCGAGGACGCTCATCTACAACCAGCACCGTAGCGCGAGGAGAACCAGGTTCGGTGACAAGGTTCCTGAGCCTCCTAATTTCGCGGTTCACATCGAGAACAGGCTCGAGTACTACTACCAGCGAGATCAGCACCCAAGCGACGCGGACCGGGAGTTTATCGCGTCGAACCTTGGAATAGAGGCCACGCATGTGGAGGTAGGCTACCACCTACGTGTCATCTCAAGTCTTTGGGCCTATTCACTAACGCTTTGTTCTCAGGCATGGTATCACTACCGACGGGAGCGGGACATTGTCCGACAGCAGCTCCAGGCTTTAAAACTAGACGATAGGCGTCGCGATGGCCCATCTGGGCCCAGGATGATCCTGCCTGGCCACTTGAACGATCTTCTTAACGTTACCCTCCCAGGACAGGTTTTCCTAATCGACCTTCGGACGCCAGCGGACTTTAGCCGCTCTCACGTCCATGGGGCGGTCAACCTGCGCGCACCGGCGGCGTTCCTACGGAATGCCTCGCTCGACATGATTGAGCAGGCCTTCGACGACGATACGAGCAAGAGGACTTTTGGAAATTGGCACTTCAGCAAGTGCATAGTGTTCTACTCGAGAGGAGTCGAGTCCGCGAGCGAATGTTGGGCAGCGGAGGCGCTAGCGCCCAGATTCAGAACATGGAACTGGGACGGCGAGGTCTATCTACTCAAAGGCCACTACCGAGAATTCAGCACCTCATTTAGCAAGCACATTGAGGGCACTCGCATGACGGAGGAAGCTAGACAACGCGTCGAAATGCTGCAGAAGCGGACGACTAGCCAAAACGACATGGCGGATGCGGAGGCTCGCTACAGGCAGTGGCAGGGCGAAAGATGGGAGGAAGATCAAACCGGAGGACCCGGAGCCTCGCCCACCCTGGACAATGAGCGGCGCGATGTTGCGGAACGCCATGAGCAGGACCTCGAGGAGGAGTTTGAAGCTAGGTTCCCCGAGCTCGCGCGGCGGGCACGAGAGATGTATGAGCCGGGTGACGTGATGATGAGGAGATACCCAGAAGCGCAATCCACTCCCGTCCAGGACGGCCTGATGAGCGACTACAAGGCTGGTATGGTAGAGTACCTCGATAGGGGACTGACGAAATTGCGGGAGACTGGAGCGGCTCACCCTCGAGGAGAGGCGGCGACGGGCTCGTCGTCCGGGGCGATGAGGGCACCTGGTCGATCTAAACTACAGGACCTGCAGTACTACGATCCACAGCATTACGAGAGAGGCGCTGTGGGCGCGACGCCCGCGGCGACAGTGATCGGGGTGGAGGCTGCTCGCAAAGATAGCCGAGCGTCAGAGGAGTACGTCGAGATCAGCAAGGGCGACGCCGGTGGTGATGCTACCTTTGTGAAAGCGGGGGCCTCTGGCGAGCTCGAGGGTGCATCGTCCCGTCGGCCAGCTAGGGAGAAGTCGAGGTGGTGGAGGTGAGGAGGCCCCGCCGCTCCTGAGGTTTTGCTCCTTGGTGGGCTTGGCAGTCATGAATCGCACTCTCTTTCGGTTACAGTTTCCAAAGAGCTGCCCTTTGCCGCCTTTTGCCTTTTGCCTACTAGGACAAGGAACCAAGAGAAAACGAAAAAGAAGGGAGAACAAAGCGCAAAAGTAAGAAAGAAAGAAGCTACAGGGACTTGTAGCGGCTGCTGTCAACCTGTCTGGCACCATGTCTATCGGGGGTCCGACAGCTGCTTGTTCGCCCTCCCCGCCGGCGGATGGGGAGTCTGGCGCCTGACGTCCGTGGGAGCCGGCTTGTCTCTCTTGGGGGAGGGGAAGAGGGGGCGCCATTGGTAGAAAGCTACCCGCGGAGACCATCCTCGTGCACCGGACCGAAAACGCTAAAGCCAGTCAGGTCAGCTTGCCTGGGTGACAGCGACGTCGTCAGCTCATGACATGAGCTTTTGGAGGAACAAGGGATCGGCGGCAAGCGGCAAGGAGAGTAGAAGCATATGCTCGTCCCCCTCCCCCTTCTTCTTCCTCGAAGCCATTTGATCCACTTATCCACCTCGGGACCGAAGGGTAATTTGGATGTTGCTCCCATGTCCTTGGTCCCTAGCCTTTCCTTCTTTTTTTTTTTTTCTCGCCTCACCTTGTTTCTCTTCTTCACTGCTGTTGTCCGTTTTTGTTTGGTCCTTTCTGGACTTGTTTCCTCTTTCTGACGGCGTCTCGTGGTCATCTTTCCATCAAAAGTTCAGTTGTACTTGCGGTATACACAAGTGAGAGGAACATGGGTTGCCGAATCGAGCATAGTTTCTGGAGTTTGCCTTGGGGGTTCTTTTCCTTTTGCGGCCATTCCCTCCCCACCGCCGTCATTTCTGCTTGATAGCGTTCCCATCTGTTAGTCTCACGTGTCAGGCGAGGCGGGTATGGGTATAGCTACTATGCATAGCCAGAGGGGTGAAAAGCCCAACATCATGAACGACTCAATAGACCAAGTTTGACCTTTTCAGCCTGCGGGCAACGCCGATGGCGTACGAGTCGAGTTTCGTATCTGCAAGTAACGCCTCGCATCTTGGCAGGCTTGCTTTGAAACCTTCTATCCAACCTTTTTTCTCTCCCTCTTCTGAAAGGATTTCTCATGAAAAACTCTCTTTTGATCTTTTTTCTTTTTCCTTTCTTCTCCTTGTCTTTTCCAGCTTGGCTCTACACCTTGTGGTTCCTCCGGGCCCACCACGGCATTACTGGGGAATCCGTGCCGTCGTTTTGAACTAGCGAGACGGAGAGGCGGAGACCTTGTCTCTTCACTCGCGATGTCCATGCCTGCTTTTGTTCTTCATCTCGCTCCGTCTTTTGTTGGGGAGCAGGGAAGGGACGGGCGGGGCGAGGCAGGGTGATCAGCCGAGGCCAAGTCCCTGTGCCCAAGCACCATCTTCTCCACGAGGGAAAGAAGTGAAAAACGGGGGCGGGGAACAGGAGACACTGGCAGGAGACATGAGCAGGAGACAGGAACAGGAGGAGGTAAGTGGCACATGTGTGGTTTCCCGTCGAGCTGAGTGTGTCAGGAAGGACCACGACGCCGCGGCGTACTCTTTCTTTTCTTTTTGTCTTTTACAGGATGTCCGGGCCTAGTTGAAGGGGTTACAAAAAGAAGAAAGAGAGAAAGGAACTGAACAATAGCGTATGAAAAAAGACAAGATGGGCGGGACCTATCCCGAAAAGGCTCTGGATAGACAATGTGGATACGCAACCGAGGAAGTAGGGGTCTTGATGGCGTTGCCTAGGCGCCCGGCTAGACTCGAGGAACTAGGAAGACACGAACAGCAAGGGGATGAACGAGAGTTCCCGAGGCTACTCGGTTCTCGTTTGTTCTTTTGACAAGAGAGAAGGCGCCCAGGTTGAAAGTTTAAACCAAGAATTCGGACGGTTTTCTTTTGCCCTTTCATTTACCAGTGGTGGTTTGCCAGCAGTGGTTTGCCAGTGGCTGGAGGGGTCGAGGCTGCTCTACGCAAGGGGGGCGTGTGATAAGATTCGGGGTGGGAAGATGGATAGAGACGGGGAGAGATGTCTTCAACTGCGAGTGTATTGCTAACTGTGTTCCAGGGAGCGCAGAAACAAGATGACGAGGGATGTATGTGCAGCAGAAAGAAGAAGGGAAAATGAGAGGCTGGTGGAAGTAGTGGACCTACGCTACTTTCTTTCTTCTTCTTTTTGTTTTCCCTTTTCCATCCGTTTTATTTTGTTTTATTTTGTTTTATGTTCCTTTTCTTTTTCTTTTGTTTTCCTCTCTCATCTTCCCTGTTTCTCTTGCCGGGACTCTCGTCCGTGCGGGCTGGTTCACGGTAGAGCAGATGGAAATGTGAGTGAGAGGCACCTGTCTCTGCCAAAATAGCTTAGGAGTTGGGCGAGACTTTGACTTGGAAGAGGCTCCCGTGGCAACGAGACCCCATCATCCAGACGCGGCTCAGGAGAAAGATGCCGGGCTCCACGACGACCAGACAGACAGCCGGCCTCCCGAGCAACGGGGAGGAGGCTGGGAGATGGAACGGGATCGTCACAGGGCCGGCTTTTCTCTCACCGGCGAGTGAAGACAAAACCTGAGCTAGGAGGAGTAACCTACAGTCACTAGTGTCGGTCATGGGGCTAAACGCACTGCGCGAAGACAGCTGACGGGGCATGGACCTTTGAGACGGGGCACGTCTGCCAACTCTTTCTTTTTTCCCTCTCTTGTCAGCCGTCTAATATCTGCTACCTGCACTCAGGGACCCCTGGAGCTTGTGTGCTAAAGGAAAGGGGTGGTAAAGGGTGCCCTCGAAAGACAACTGATAGACAGATGTCGGCCCACCTTCACGTACGGACATCCGGAAGTGCAGGGAAGGCTAAGCGGGGACTGTTGGCACATGTGAGTGCGGGATGGGGAGCCTCTACTGAGGCGAGAGCAGGAAGAGGAAGAAGGCAGCAAGCTTTCGGTTTCTGCTTTCTTTCTTTCCTTTTTTCTTTTCTTCCTTTTATCTTTCACCGCGGAGCCTTGTCTTGAGGTGGGTATGTGGGATGGATGATGCCACGGCGCTGGTAGTAGTCGTTCGCCTTGTGAGAGAAGAGATGATTTTTGTGGGGGCGGGTACCTTGGGGAGGCGAACCTCGACTGGTCTGGCTTGGCCTGGCCATCACGTTTTCCCGACAGCCTGACACACATCTCCATTGAGCTCAGATTCCTACTCGATACCTCGGGAGGGCGTGCAGTGAGGTACAGAGGGAGGGGGTGGAAGAGAGAGGAGAGGAGCGGCAGCAGGTTGGAAAGAGTTTCTGCCACTGAGACGCCAGTGAAAGGTTCTCACCGCACTAGGCGATCTGCCAAGATCTATCTTGGTGGACGAGGTAAAAAAGAAGAAGATTGAGGAAAGAAGAAGAGAGAGGAAAAGAAAGAAGAAAACGATGAAAGGGAAAGGGGAAGGCTAAGACGCCATGGTCGAGAGAGACAGCGAAGTGGTGCCGAAAGAGCTAGAGGGGTCTATCTTGCAGACGACAAAGACAAGCGGGACTGTCGGTTGCCTTGTTCTTCTTTTTTTTTTTTTTTTGGTCGAGGAAAAGGAAAATAGGGAACTTGATTGCTGATCCAAGGGACTCGTGAAATGTGTAAAAGTGTCGTTCTTTTGGAGGGACAGGCTTGTGTGGATTTTGGAATCTTTTCTCTTTTTTTATTAGTTTTCTCTTTTCTTTCTTTATTTTCCTTCTCTTTTTTCTTTTTCTTTTTTGCCCTCTCTTTACTTCGGCATGTCTTTGATGAATCTTGCAGGGCAGTTCCCTCTTTGAGCATCAAGAGAGGGCCTCAATCTCACCAAGATGAGCTCCTCGAAAGACAAGAGGTTTCAACAGACACTGAAAGCGCAATCTGCGGCCGACGGGGGCGTGTATCAACGTCGGTTTCTCAAATGGAGACCATGAAAGAGATCCATCGAAATGAGAGGGTATCATCGATCCATGGCGAGGAATTCCTTCAGGCACGCACGCACACGCCTGTTTCTGCTAAGGGTCCGCCCACCTGTGTCTCTCTTTTTCTTTTTCTTTTTCTTTTTTCTTTTTCTTTTCTTTATGGATATTTAGTTTATTTCTTTTTTCTTTTTCTCGTTTTTTTCTTCAAGTTCCGAATCCTTCAATGTTTCTTTCTGCAAGTGCTAAAAGTGGCAAGATTCGGAGTAAAACATCGAGTACTTGCATGTCTTAAAGAATATGGTCGAGGATCCGAAGATTGCCTTGTCACTCCCACGTTGCTTTTTCTTCACTCTTCTCACTCTGGCCCATCTTCAGTGGATATAAATGGAATAGATACATGTACGCTCTTGACATTCTGGCACTTGTACTTTGCCTGCGCGCTTGCTTGGTCCCGCCCTCGTTACGCATCACATCACACACACGCCCCATCTCCATCTTCCCCACCAAGTCTTTTTGGTCCTCTTTTCTTTTTCTTCCTCCTCTCTTGGTGCCAGCCCCGGCTCTAGTGGATTACGAGCGCGGTTTCTAAGCGCAAGCGGACCGGTTCGTGGATAGTGTGGAGGGGTGGAGACGCCGCTTGCGAACCTCTTTTGGGGCCGCCGGGCCAAAAGGAAGCAAGCTTGGAGCTGCGATGTCTTGTTGAGGAAAGCGGCGACATGAGGTAAACGCCTCCATTTTCCCTTTCTTTTCTTTTTTCGCCCTTCTTTGGGAAGAGGGCGGGGGCAGTTTTCTCCTCTTTGAGGCAAGACGGCCGCGTAACTTTCCTCTCCTAGCGCTCCGGACTATCTACGAATATCGCAAGAGCATCTATAGCTCACATCTATAGACCAACCCTTACTCTTGAGCTAACTGCCCCCGTTCCCTTTTCGGCTCCTGGAAGATTCTGCATGGGTAATGTGTCTTCAGCGAGGTTCAACGATAGTGGTCAAACTCGCAATGACGCTGTGAATACACAACAAAAAGAGAAGAAAAAAGAAAGAGGGAAAGGCTAGTGCCGCAGGGCCTGT